GGGCGGGGCCACAATAGGGAATCCAAGTTTTACATTGAAATATATTTAAAAAAATCTTCTTCTCAAGAACCACTAGGCCAGAAAAGCTGAAACTTATGTGGAAGGATCCTGGGGTAGTGTAGATTCCAAATTGTTAAAATCATGACCCCCGGATGAAGGGTGGGGCCACTATAGGGAATACAAGTTTTACATTGAAATATATAGAAAAAATCTTTAAAATTCTTCTCAAGAACCATTGGGCCAGAAAAGCTGAAACTTATGTGGAAGCATGCTGGGGTAGTGTAGATTCTAAATTGTTAAAATCATGACCCCCGGGGGAAGGGCGGGGCCACAATAGGGAATCCAAGTTTTACATTGAAATATATAGAAAAAATCTTTAAAAATCTTCTTCTCAAGAACCATTGGGCCAGAAAAGCTGAAACTTATGTGGAAGCATCCTTGGGTATTGTAGATTCTAAATTGTTGAAATCATGACCCCTGGGGGCTGGGCGCAGCCACAATAGGGAATCCAATTTTTATATTGAAATATATAGAATAAAAAATCTTCTTCTCAAGAACCACTTGGTCAGAAAAGCTAAGACTTTTGTAGAAACATCCTGGGGCAGCGTAAATTCTAAACTATTCAAATCTTGACCCTGGGGGTAGGGTATCGCCACAATAAGGAATCCAATTTTTACATTGAAATGTATAGGAAAAATCTTTAAAAATTTTCTTCTCAAAAACCCCTTGGCCAGTAAAGCTGAAACTTATATGGAAACATCCTGGGGTAGTGTAGATTTTAAATTGTTAAAATCATGACCCCCGTGGGTAGGGCGGGGCCACAATAGGTATTACAAAAAGATGGTCTGGTGAAGAACAGCAGGGCCAAAGTTATTCAGGTGAGCGTTGTGGCCCATGGGCCTCTTGTTTTTAATTCGTCATTACCAGCTACATTTAGCAAATTGCAGTTCTTCTGCAAGAATCTGATCAAATCATGTTTCAACTTTTCAAACCAGAATTTTTCTTGAAATATTTCAAAAACCTGTTCCTTGTAAACATCTAAAATGCACAGTACCAGTAATTGATTTTAAGTATTCTCATATGATTCCGAGTTACAATTATTGTCTTGACCTATGTAATATGTTCTAGTACAATTTAGTACAATTTGTGTTTTTAACACTTGTTTGAATGATATACTTCACTTAGTATCATAAATTTGATATTCAACGGACCTGCCCGTACATGAATTTTGAAAATCTAGACATGCATGGAATAAAAAGGTTTCAAAGATATTGAGAAAGATTTGAATAAGGTCCCTAGATGACCTAATAAAAAAAAATCAAACTGATACTGAACATAATTTTCCTCATTGACATTTGGAAGATTTGGTAATTTTTAAAATGTTTGAAGCTCCGTATCAATGATACATCCTTCAATACACAACTTAAATATTAACGTTTATATAATGTATTTCTCTATTTCAAAAATTTTAATTCTGTTAACAAATACTGCATAAAACTTACTGACACAAGGGAGAAAATGTTTGATTCTTCTATATGCATAACATGTTCAGTGACGAATTTTATCACCGAGTTTCAGTTATACTGATCAAGAATTGAGATGTGCATCAACAGATTTTGATATTAGTATTTCTGATATTTTAAATCATGACAAATTTCAATGGTCAACAAGTATCAGTAATTTTCACATTCAACGGACCTATAAAAATATGTTTTTTTACAAGAATAAAGAAAATCTTACACATGAAATCAAAAGGTTTCAAAGAACTTGAGAAAGATTATTTTTTTAATTACGAAATAGATCAGAGATTGAACTTTTCTTTTCTCATTGACATTTGGAAATCCAGGCTAACACGTAATCTCATGTGCTTTCTAATTGCTCCAATATAATTCCGGGTTTTTCCTTTTTACGTTTTATGATATCACCGCCAACGGATGGAATTCTTCATCCACACATCCAGCATAAGTCTGTTTTAATTAAGTCAACTTGAGATCACCCTGTGTTGTATCCGACACTCTCCCCGGCTTCTAGATGAGATTGTTAGCATGGTACTCAATTGGTAAACACATTTTCATGTGAAAACTATATTTGAATTCGTCATTGCCATATATACGAGGGTTGTCCCAATATTTTATAGCCTGATATCATATCTTTAACAAAAATTTACGTATGTCGATAAAAAAAAATTTGGGTGAATTAAGTATGTTGTTGCTTGATAAATTCCGAAGTTTTAACATGATTACTTGAAAGTAATTAGAATTGCAATGTTATCTTGCGACTGCAAGAATCTGGGACAATGCACAGAAGTTTAAAAATTACAATCGCGATTTATTCCTGTATTTCTTTGACACATTGAAAGCTGATTAGCCTTCTACAGGGGAATGAGGTTTAGCTCGGTGGCTTGATTGGCTGCATTGACTTTCCGAAATTTTTGAAATCTCATTGGTTATCATTACCAAAAATTATTTTCTTTCATTTACAAAAAATACTAAATACTAAAGAACAAGGTACGGTTTCAATACAAATCTTGCCCTGTGTTTTTCTTAAAAACAAAAGTGATGTAAAAACTTAAATCTCATGCTTTTTGAATTATTGAAATTCCATGCAGAAAGATCATACAAATCTTTTTTCTCACATGACCTTCCAAATGCTAATTGTGATGTCATAAACTTGTGCATTTTCCCGTATTTTCTTAAATAGTTGCAGAAGACACCAATTTTCAATGGAATTTTCTTTCAGATAATACTGTCCACAGCCATCGCCCACAAAGATTTTGAGATATGTGATTTTTCAAAGAATTTTACACAACATATCTGAAAATTAACGTGCCGACGGCTGTGGACACTATTTTCTTAAGGAAAATAACCCTTGAAATGGGTCATTTTGAGGCTTTTTCTGTTTAAAATAGAGAAATGCATCAAATTAATGACGTCATATATCCAGAATGGTACTCCATCAAGCTATATTCTTTCCCGATTTATTACAGTCATATACTCAACTAATATTTAAGCCAGTTTCAAAACTTTTTGAAAACATTAAATTTTTAGGGCACAATAAAGCTAAAACCATACCTTCTTCTTTACATGTCAACCAAATATCTTCCTGTTTTTGGACATTATCAGATACTTCTGTAAACAACTCATATATCAGAATATACGAGTACTAGACGGCGAAGATTTGGTTGACATATTAGTTGAATTGAGAACGAAAAAGTTCGCTACTCCATCCAGAATTTTTTGGTAACAATGTTGATGGAGCTGTGCATGTGTCATGTCAACTTTATATTTTCTCTCTGAACGCAGTAACTGCTCAGAGGTGTAAATCTTCCATGTGAGTTCGTATATTATTCACGAATCACTTGAAAGTGGATATAAATTATGAATGAATGTTTACGGTTATAAGCCTTTTAATCCAGTTTTCAATCGATTTTTTTTATGTATCTTCAAAATTATGATACTTATTAAATTAAATTAATTTTTTACATGTATATTTAAGATTATGATTATTAATTAAATTCATCTAATTATCCCTCTCAAAGTTATCTATCACTTCCTGTGGTGAGAAGAAAAGGGAGGGTGGCAGTACAAACTTTCTTAAAAGGAGGTATGAATGTTAGATTTACGTAATGCTTAACATTAATTCGGAGATTAACATAAAAATTTCGGAAATAGTACATAAAAATGAAAAAAATAATATATAAAAATTTTATGTTATGCAGTATCGACTTTCGATAATACGAAACTGCGGCCTGATCATCCCAGTCCTTTTAAGGACATTGGCAAGGTTCCTGGTTATTGTATAGAATTTTTCAAGAACTTTTGAGTAGGTTTAAATGTACTAAATAGGCTATATTCTGGATCGTTTTACCTACCAATCCAGCATTCCTTTTTAGATTTTGTCAAATTAGTGTTTTTACAATTCTTAATGCATTTCCTATGTAAAATGTTGATAAAAGGGACCTACATAATTTTTCACCATAATATTTCTTCAAAACATATTTATTTCATACAGTTTTTGTATTATATACGTTATTGTAACTTCATTTCCTATGAGTTCTAGATATTTTGGTTGAAAATGTATATATAGAAACAAGACATGGATATACCGGCACCGATCATCATTTTTGAGTTGCGTCCCTTAACAGCTAAAATTGGTCAAGAGACTGGTTGATTGTTTTTATCATGTAATTGACTGAGTTGATTGAAACACATTGTCATAAAATATTGGCATAGATTTATTTTTAACTTTTATTCGTAATTACTAAATGCTGATTCCTTCACACGACCTAAGAACTGTTCTCAGTCGGCATGGTCGACCTACCTGTCAGCATATGTCACATCTTTGCCCTTCCCAGCATACTGAGCATAAATGACGACCTGTTTGCTCTTTGTCCCTGAATACAATGCACAACAAAGCCATTACTACTTTTCTTTCTTGCTGTATAGATGATTCTACCCGTTGAAGGAAGTACACGTGCTTTTGTTTACCTCTATGACATACGCTTTATTGGTTTTCACCGCTTAGAGAATTCTACACGGGAGATCACTCTCAATCACTATTTTACAAGTGAAAAAACCCATGTATTAAATCTTTTTTCTCCGGAAAGCTTTGACTTGCCAATGTCCTTAACAGCAGGTAATTTGTCGATCAGTTGGGTAATTATCCATTTTTCCTTGATATATGAATTGCGGGATATACGTGTGCCAGATAGCGTAGAAACCAACTGAATATTTTCCTATAATTTAATTGTAATTGTTCAAGCATTTCATTTCATTTTCCATGTTAATCATATAAAATAACATCTTCATAACAAGAGGCCCTTGAACCACAACGCTTACCAGAGTCACTATGGCCCTGCAGGCCCTTGTTTCTCTTCCTTACCGTTAAATTAACCACGTCCTTTGACAATAATGACAATCAAATTAATATTCAGCCCAAAACAAATGCAAACTTTAGACAATTTAATAAAGAAGAATGGTTAAAATGCTACTTTTGTAATTTTTTATTTAAATTAATTATTTAAAACTTATGCAGGCCAATTCAGATTTATCATCGGTTTTCACATACATAATTTTTTAACCTATAATAATATTTGCGAAATATATTGGTTTATTCTTTTTCTCAGATCTGTCCTTCTAGACATGCCGTTTGCTTCTTTTTAAATTTCTATTTAGATGAAGGGACGTTGTTCAAATATTGGATCTCCATCTGGAGTTCTAAGCCACTGTCGGCCATTGTTCTCTGGATGGTCCTCATACACCCAGCCGGTCACTGTAAGAGTTAACAAAATGAAGATTAATGAATTTGTCCATAAAGAAAATATTTCAAAAGGTCGAACTAAGCCAAACTTTGAAAATAATTATGTACATAGTTTTATAAACTACAAAAATACGAGTACGATGACAGAAGGATTAATTTTCAAATTTTCATTTTATGCAGAACTAATTTCTTTTATATTGAGTTCAGTTGTTGCCTTTGTAGTATTATTGTACATGTGCATTTTGAGGTCATTCATTTTATCTTTCTAACAACTAGAGAGTACATCATTGTTTCAAGTTCATTTTTTTTATAAATAGCTTATATATATATATATATATATATATATATATATATATATATATATATATATATATATATATATATATATATATATATATATATATATATATATATATATATATATATAGTGTATTAAGCACATATTTGTTGTTGAGTTCACATCTAATTAAACACTTTTGTATATGAGATTCAAAAAGCTTAATGTAAAAAAAAAAATGTCACAAATTCTCAGTTTTGTTGAAATACTCCTAAATAATTATACCTATACTGGATTCCTAAACTTAATGAAAATGCAAACAAATAAAGAGAAATGTCAAGCAAATGCTCTACAACGCCCTAACTTTACGCCTCACAAAAGTATTAACTGCTATAAAGGAGAAACTTCAGACGTACTGTACATGTTTTATACCGCGTGGAGTAGTGGGTAGAGCGTTTACTCTAGAATCGCGGGATTAGGAGCTGATCCTCACGTCAAGGGTTCAAATAACACTGCGGGATGTGGAGACCGGTCCTTCGGATGAGACCATATAAACCGCAGTAGGTACTGGCACGAAAAAATCCCTTACTGCCTTTTATTTGTTTTGTTTGTTTGTTTGTTTGTTTGTTTGTTTGTTTTTCTTTTTTTTTGTTTAACTCATATTGAAACGCCATCACTTGCAGATTTAGACCTGTACTCGGCACTTATAGTCTTTGAGCAGTCAGGGATTTTTTTTTCTTTCCAGCACCTATACTGCGACACGGGACCTCGGTTTATGCGGTCTAATCCAAAGGACCGCTCTCCACGTCCTGCAGTAGGATTCGAACTCTTGACGTACAGATCAACTCCTTACTCCGCAATTCTTGAGTAAACGCTCTAAACACTGCACCACGCGGGCGACCTCAAAAGCTGTAAGTGTCGAGTACAGGTCTAAATTTGCAGCCCTCAACCGGCAAGTGGCGGCGTCTCAATATGAGTGAAAAATTCTCGAAGGAAACAAAAAACCAAACAAACATACCACAGCATATTCTAGAAGTGGTGTGAATCAAATGTGGATTCTCAAGAACTCCAAAGAACTTTCAGAAAATTTAAATCACAAAAATTTTCAAAAGTCAGTAACATCAAAACGTACGGATTTCTACACTTTATACAACCATTTCTCACGATAAATCAAACAAAAGGCTTTTCGATAGCATAGACAACTGCTTCTTCAATAAAAATGGAACTCGGAAATTTTCATATCTTGTGATTGGTCATCAACAAAATAACTTAAAGTTTGTTATTAATCACTCTGATTCTACACACAGCTACTCTGAAGTTAGTATTAAAATGCTGCTAGAGTTCCTCATTGACAACATCAAAGTAGTCTTTAGAGATCAGCAAACTATATATTACGATGGGCACTAATTGTGTTCCTTTATTAGCTGACCTATTGTTGTATTCCTATGAAGCAGAACTAATTCAAAACATTCTGAACTAGTGCTAATTGTAACGGGAACCGTTACAGATGTTCCCCAAACGGCTCCCCAATCCCTTATGATGCCCCATTCCCTACAAGCTTCAATAAATTAGACAATACTTTTGTAATATAGATGGACACTTTATTTTTAAGGGTATTTCATTGGAAAACTACTCCGATATAGCCATATGGGTATTAGCCAATCAAATTTCAGCGCATGTGCTTGCAGATGTTTTCTACATTTTTCACATTAATTTTCTTATAGTGTCTCACAATCCATGCATTTGTGTTAAATATTAAAGAATCTCATTGAAAAATAAGAGAGATGTAACCCTTTAAGTATTAGCCTATCAGAATTCAGCATACGCGCATGCATGGCCTTGCATTCAATTTTGATAGTATCATAATGTAGGAGCTCCATGTGCCTATCTATGTCGTAAATTTCATCCTGTTTTGTTGAAAACCAAGGGAGTTATAGACATTTAAAGTTTCAACCAATCAGATTGCACCACACCTGCATGCGCGTGTTTTCAAGAAATTTCCTATATAACATGTTGTAGCACCTTATAATATCTACTTATATTCTAAATTTCAAAGCATTTTGTCAAAAGACAAGGAAATTATTGAGATTTTTGTATCAGCCAATCAGAGAAGAGCGCACGTGCATGCGCGTGAGTTCACGCTAATTTGACCATGTCATCTTGTCTAGAATTCTAATATATCATTATATTTTGAGTTTCAAAACAATTCATCAAGAAATATAAAAGTTACGGCTTCATCAAGTATATCAGTCATTTCACTCATTGCACGCGCGCGCACGTGCATGCATGTGCGCGCAAAATGACCTTCGTTCCGAACACCTACACAACATGCCTATTAACCCTAAAAAGGTTTCATGTCAATCGGATGAGTGGTTCTATGAGAACACTCCCGGACAAAAAAGTACCGGAGAAGAAAGTAGAAAAAAAGAATAATAATAATAATAATAATAATAATAAGAAGAAGAAGAAGAAGAAACAGAGTAAAAACAATATGTTCCCAAACTTCGTTTGGGGAACATAATAAGAAGAAGAAAACACGTGGTGTGGCCTTCAACTTGACATTTAAATACATCGATTTATCAATTAGCAATAGTTTCTTCCATTCATATGTCGACTCATATATCCCAGAGAACTCCAAATAAAAGACACAACAGAGTCTGCCACATTTGTTTCATATTTGGATGTTTTACTGACTATAGACGATAAGGGCCAATTATCAATTAAATTTGATGACAAAGGAAATGACTTCATCTTTCTCTATTAATGTAATAATATTCCGCTGTGGTGTTTATGTCTCCCATCTTATTCGATAGTCAAGAGCCTGCTTCGAGTACGATCAATTTTTAAACCGAGGCAGACAACTGACAGATAAGTCAACAACCTCTATTGAAGCCAGCATTTCGTAAATTGTATGGTCGTTAAAATGACCTTGTTAGCAAATATAACCTGTCATTGGGTCGTATTTTGACTGACATATCTCATTGTCAGGCCTTTATTTTTATACTAAATTTCACTACGGATTACTCCTCTAACTGATCAAGATACAGGGCTTACTGCGGGTGTGATCGGTCGATAGGGGATGATTTCTCCTTCTTGGCACTTGATCCCACCTCGGGAATTCCTGGGGGTCCATGTTTTAGGCCCCGTTTGCAGATTTGCATTGTAAGTAGAATCGATCACTGTTTGTTGCTTAATAAAGTAATCCTTTGAAGAGTCCAGTGAAATGGATATGAGAAATATTACACTCCCAGCCTCAGTCATGCGCATAACGGGGCATAAAAACAATTTATTGATTATAATTGTGTATGTGAATGAAATACGTATTATTCATTCGTTTGAGACGTGGAATCATTAAATCCGCTGGCTGAAAAACTTTTAAATTTAATTTCTATATACGAACGTGGTATGCACGTGATTTCTTTATAAGCTTACCATCAAAGAGTTTTTATTTTCCTATATAAACTCATGTTTGTCAAACTCAAAAGTACATATTTCAATTATACATCATTTTAAACTTCTATACCTAGTGTGTTCATGATTTTTTTCTGTGCAGGGAATTCCAGTGATTTGGAGGGTATTTATTTGTTGTTGCAAAATCCGTGAATAGATTTACTGTATACAAGTCTAGCTATAGGTCGACGTGTACACTATCGTGGTTGCAGTTTGTCTGTTAGATTTACTCTCGATGCCTTTGTAAGAAACTTAATTCATGCACCTGCCATACTACAAAATGCACACAACACTAAAAATGACAACATTTAATGTGTACATTTATGTTACCTGTATCAATGCCCCTATTTCCAGGTGTTCTCGTTGATGCTTTTCCGTCCAAGCCATCAGCATCTGATCGTCCGTCACTATTTCCTGAGGGAATACCTCTCCCTTGTTCTTCACCTTAGCAAAAGAGTAAAAAATAAAGTCCAATGTCAAAATGTTCTACTATAACAACGAGCTAAATATATATAAAAGCATTAAAGTACAATGCAATCTTTATAATTTATCTGAAAAAAGAAAAATATGTTTTTGATGACAACGTAAACGTTCATAGTACAATTCTGAATACTGTACAATAATGTGCTATCTTTATAAATACCCTTGTTCCCAAATGCCTTTTCCTTGGAAGAATCTAATCCATTTTCTGGATATTGATCGTCCCCATATCTCCCAGAGTTACCACCCTTCACATATCCTTCACCTGCAATCAAAGAATGTACCTTAGGAACTAATCCAAAATAAGATCTTTGTTTTTGAGCAATGAAATATATTTTAAACACTGCAAATGTTTAATTTCTTTACCTGAAAATCCCATAAGTCCTTGTGACATTCTGACTTCTGTTGGAGACACGAGTCCTTCCCTCCTCCCATCTATGTCTATTTTTGTCATAGGATCAGATTCATTATCTCCTCCGGATCCAGACCCAGTGGGCGATTCTTTCCCTTTAGCAGATCTAGATCCAGGAGATCCGGGTCCTGAATATACCATGGACGGATTCCCTACCATGGTCACGTGACAAACGGAGTCGTCTGTGTCCGAGACAAAGGGCCTTGTGTCTGAGGAATTCTGACAACCAGAAGTCATGTCTCCTTTTGTTTGTACGTTGATGAGCTTTGGTTTAGATTTGGAAGTATTGCTGAAATATGTTTATTTTCTTTAAATAGGTGTCATTTAAGTTAATTCAATATTTCATTCTTGCTTTAAAGAACTTTTCTTTTTGAAACTTTAGAAAAGACTTTCAATGAAGTTTATCTTTTATTGAAGAGACGCTCAAATACACCATCCTAACTTGGAACCTTTCATAAAGACAAACCCAACTATAACAACAATGCTTACTCCTTATTTTGTTTATTTTTTCTCCTCCACAGTAGATAGATGATTAGAGCCGCCAACAAAGCTAGAGCAAGGAGGGAGAATATGATAGCCAGAGCAATAATCAGCCCAGTTTTATCCCCATTGCTTGAGGAACGAGAGGTTCCTCCGGGGTAAACGACGTTTTGTCCAAACGGCTTGACATCAGTAACCAAAAACTCTCTCCAAGGTTCATCTTAAAATAAGAAAAATTCATAAAAAAGATGCAAAAATATATGGTAAATGCGATGTATTTTTCTCACTTTCTGATTTAAATTTCAAGACTTTTATTGCCTTGTAACATTATATATCAATTCTTTGATACTCGTAAATGTATACATAAAGAAGCATTTTTATTAATTTATTAATTATAAATAAAATGGCTCTTTTAAAACGTTTCAACGGTTTTAATACCCGTTCCATTGATGGTGGGGACTTTGTCTTTGTTGAGCTCCAACGAATCTAGGAATTCTCCATTAGTCATGAATGGTTTGTCCATAAAAAGGTTGCCTTCCCAATTTGTCAAGTCGTTCTTCACAGCATACACATAAACTACCACGGAGCTAATATAAGATAGAAATTAGTTATTAATAACATTATTCATACCTTAAACTTATGAAACTATAACGACCACTAAATGGCTTGTTATAATTCATATCAAAGTTCGTGAATAGTCGCCATTTATTAAAAACCGCTCAAGGTACATAAATAAATGTTTGCACATTTATTCAATATTATCTTTTTACAGAATAAACGTAAGATGTACTGTTCATCTTTAAAATAAAATTATAATGTTTTCGTAAGTAGTGGCATGACCGGTGCAACCTCGAAATAAGACGTATTTTACCGTGAGTCTAACCAAGTGCGTCTATTTGCCTTCCAGTTTTTATTTTCATTCACTCATGTGATGTGACAATTATTCCGTGAAATAAAAAATCTTTATTACTTCATTTTGTCAGTTCTACGAGATCTTATCTTAAATTCAATGGAGAGTGCTAACAAAAAATGAATAAACAAATAAATAAAAATGACGCCAGAAGGGGGAGGGCTGTTGTCTTTTGCCACAGTTTATAATTTCACCTTGGAAAAACTCGCATAGGCTTATAATTAGGAAATGTTTGAAAAGAGAGAGAGCGAAAAAAATGACCAGATGGCCTCTTTATCAATGGCAAGAGAAGTTTCAGAGAGCGATAAAGAGAGGAAGAAAGAGAGCAGATGCATTTAATGCCGATTTGCGGTCCGGTGTCAAAAGTTACTAGTAGTCACGTCTGAAAGTAACGTTGCTCGCGTGTGGTAGAAATTACCTCTGTCAAGCGGATTATACTGCCAAACTCAAGTGAGGATCTTAGATCCATTTTCAATCAGTCCACGAACGTTTTGATAACCCCTGGTACACTAATTGATGCAAACAGTATCGCTGCTGTGGACAACTATATTTTTGCCTAAATTTTTGTGTGAAACAAATTACCCTTACGTTCTTCATACTAACTTTAGTGCAAGTATTAGAATATTTTAGAACAATTCTGCACTTCACTGAAATATCTATGTCCATGTAACGTTATTGACAAAACCAACGTTTGTTTGATTATTTTAGTGCAGATTTGCAAATATCGATTTTCCAAATCTGCTTTAGTTGCTATCGAATTCAAAGTTACTTACGTTGATTTGTCTTCTATACACCATCGTCGAACATATGCCGTAGCATAAAACTCTCCAATCGTTTTTTTCACAAGTGACAGAAATTCTGATTCCTTTCTTAAGTACGTAGACAATCCCATTGATAATGAAAACGAAATTATCGTTTCACTTGCATTAAACGAATCTATTCTGATTTTGGCGCTCAAAGATGACGTCAGTTTTGGTGTGCCAAGATCATTCGCACGCACCAAGATGACATTCTGCGATTCATTTACATTCAGGTTTGTACGTATTTGCCCTAGAATAAAAGCAAATATCAGCTTTATTTATTTTAAGATTTAACATAATTAATTTATGAGATTCCATTTTTCAAACAGAAAAAGAACTAAGAACTTTTTGCAATTGAAATTTACTTTGACCACTAACACGTTTAAAACACTCTTGATTCTTTTTATTTCGGAATGTATGTTTATTGAGATATGAATTCCCATTCCTCTTTTTGAGTCGTACTAGGCTAAGGCCAGAATAGTTGTTTATTATTTAACAAAAATCTACCTGATTTCCTATCAACAAGAAATTGGTTTTCTCCGTTAACAGGATCCATTTCATAAACAACTTCTGCATTTTCCTCCTGATCTATATCCAGTGCAGTAACGGTTGTGATAATATGGTTACACGCATGCTCATATGACACCTCTGCATTATAAAAAGATGGCGCGAATACCGGTCTATTATCGTTAATATCTTCAATGAAGACTGTGACCGTTGTGTTGGAAGATAGAAGGGGTGTGCCAGCATCAGAAGCCTTCACCGTCATCGATATGTTGGCATACAACTCTCGGTCAAGTTCTTTAATGAGTATAACATTTCCAGTTGTGGTATCTACCGAAAAATATTGTAACGCTATCGCACCATCCAGTGGTAATGTATCAAGGCTATAAGAAATTATTGAATTGAACCCAATATCAAGATCGTACGCCGTTGTCGTTAAAATTATGCTTCCTACAGTGAAATTTTCAGACACTTCTGTTGAGTACAATCTCCTCGTAAATATCGGCAAGTTATCGTTTTCATCGTTTACAGTAATGTTCACCATTGCTTCAGACGATAAAAATCCGCTATCTTCAACAATCAATATGATGGAGTAAAAGTCCTCTATTTCTCGGTCTATGACATCAAAGCTTTTCATTTCTCCTGTTGTTGTGTTAATCATAAACTTACCCGCATGACCTTCCATATACGTTTTTATTCTGTAAGTTACTAATGCATTGATACCTCTGTCCCCATCTATCGCATCCACTTTTCCTACAAGCGTTCCAATAGGTGAGTTTTCATTTATGTTTAGAACGTACATATTCTTGTTGAATTTGGGAATTATATCGTTGACGTCACTCAGTGTTACTGTTGCGGTGATTGACGTGGACATCTGTGGGGAGCCCAAATCCGAAACCTTAATCACCAATTCATACACAGGCTGAGATTCCCGATCTAGATCCGTTGCAACCTGGATGAATCCACGAGTCTGCTCGATTTTGAAATGAAAATCTGAGTTTCCTGACACTATGGAGTACAAGAAGCGTCCATTGTCTCCTGTGTCGGGGTCGGTAGCTGACAAAGTAAACACTAAAGAATGAACAGGTTCGTTTTCTGGAATGGTTCTGTCATACGTTCCTTGGATTATCGGGGCATTATCATTAATGTCCGTCAACGTTATTGTCAGAGTAACAAAACCTGTTCTGGCAGGAAATCCTTTGTCAACCGCTTCAATAATCATCTCAAAACTGCATTTAAAAATAAGTAGTGTAAGTATGGTAGTGTTATTATTTTGCTTGATTAAAATTAAATTTTATTTAATTTATTTAATAAAATTTCAAGTTAAATCTTATAAAAAGTAAGAAGAGAACTGATTTTTTTTTTTTATGTATTTGCATTTAGTTATAAATTCATTTACCTTTCTTGCATTTCTCTATCGACTTGTCCGTTGACAGTCACCTCCCCTGTCAAATAGTGAACGCTAAATGGTACATTTGATGAAGAACTAAACTCAAATAAATTATTATCACCGAGGTCCGAGTCGATGTCTTTTGCAGTTACTCGTGTAACAACATCTCCAAAACTTGCATTTTCTGCAAGAAATTTGGTCAATGTGGCCGTTGGAAATTCTGGTGCATTATCGTTGACGTCTACAATGCTGATATTCACGGTACATTTGTCAGAAAGGACAGGAGTCCCAAAATCTATCACTTCGATAACCAGGAGGACTGCTTTGGTGAATTCATAGTCAGTAGATACCGCAACACTTATGGTGCCATCATCAGGATCAATCAGAAAATGCGAATTAATGTTGCCCGAAATGATGGAGTAACGGAACAAGGCGTTGTTGCCGGATACATCTGGGTCTCTAGCCGTTACCTTACCGACAACTTTTCCTATATCTGAGTTTTCAGTGTTTGTAAAGCTGAAATAAGAAATGAATAACATTTTAAGATACCAGTAACATATCACTTATATCATGTATATAAACATCAAATTCTTTCATGCATTTATTGTCATTGAAACAACAATTATTAGAATAATAATTGTATTTATGTATTTAATGCGGTAATTTATGTAGAGCTTTTTAGTAGGATTTTATGTTTGTAAATTGTGAAGATTCTTAGATCCACGCCCTGGCTGATGTATCAATAGCTTTTAACCAATGATGGTGTAAGGTCACGTGGTCAGCTCAGCGAGTCATTCAGTTATTTTGATACTCGCACGCTGACCACCGCTTACACGAGGCACGTCTATTTTGAAGACCCACCTCCACCCCAGCATTCCTACCCCTTAATATGGTTAATAAGGTGTCATGTAAAATTATATTTAAGCCTATTTTGTTTTAATGTGCCATCTTTTTGCTAACTTGGCTTATTCTGTTTTTGATGTGCCATCTTTTTGCTAACTTTTTCTTATGATGTTTTGGCCTTTTTTGTTTTGATGTGCTATCTTTTTGCTAACTTTTTCTTATGATGTTGTGATTGTCTTGTTTTACAGGTACTTTTTTCTAGTAATTTTTGGGGGATCAGACATTATCATATTTTACGTAACTGATAACCAAAACTTGTGAATCTGATCCCCCTCTTGTGTGTTAAATTGTTTATGTTTATACCGTCATTTTAATAAATGGCATTATTCATCTCTATGAAAGTGTTTTATTTGACTTGTACAAAATTAGCAAAAACTAGCTGCGTTGAGCTTGCCTATAAGCATTAGAAGGCATAAATGTAATTTTGAAGTTTGAAGTATTTTCAATATCCTCAAGCATCTAATTATAATAGAATGTAGAAATGCATATCCACATGGCAAGAACAAAGTCGCTGAGGAAAGATAAATGGCTGAATCAAATGAATTCTGGTAACTGTGATATTTAAAACACTATATGCATATACCTGTATTTTTCTTGTTCGAAGGCGGGGGCTTCGTTGACGTCATTTACAGTTATGGACACAGTTGCTGTGGACTCTTTCTGTCCGTCAGACGCACGTACAAGTAATTCATACGATGACACAATTTCAGCGTCCAATGTCCGACTGAGAATTATTTGTCCGCTCACTGATCCTAGGTTAAATTTTGTCTGTGGTGTCACGAAGCTGTAGGACACTGCGTCCCTGTCACCATCAGTGGCGGAAACTGTTGTAATGTTAGCCCCCGGTAGGGAGGTTTCATCAAGAGTTTCATAGTATACATCTAATAAAAATAAAACAAAGTAGAGATTGAAATAAATTCATTGCATGCAGGTATCCCTCTCTCTCTCTCTCTCTGTCTCTCTCTCTCTCTCATTTGATTTAAATCAAAATGCAATTAAAGAACATAATGTGAAAAAATATTTTTCCATAATATGGAAATATTAACTTGTGCTTGCTGGCGACATTGCGATTATCCATACCTGAGTTAGTGAATACTGGAGTGTGCTCGTTTACATTAGTGACGTCAATCATGAAAGTTATTATCACTGGGTTTGAACCGCCGTCTATCACAGAAATCTGAAGTTCGTAAAAGGATTGTGTCTCGAAGTCCAAAGGTTCTTCAAGATAAAAAAGTACGTAAACAGGTAACCGATTGATGGAATTGTTCATCTTAATTGCATAGTTTGAAAAAAGTTGGTGCATTCTATTAAACTGATAATTACAACATATTTTTATATCGCTTTTTTCTTCACTTTTATACCCGATTTGGGACCATTTTTACCATCAAATCCAATCATTTGCTATTTAATAATTTTAAATTTAATTCCTTTAAGCCTGTTTATGCATTAACTGAAAATCCAAAGAAAATATCTGAAAAGATTTTGAAAGAAAATAGACCAAGTTAAATACTAAGCTTCATCCAGAGAGTCGTTGAAAATTTACATGTAATGCAAAAAGGGAAATAATTCTTATTTAGATTACAAACTGTATCACTTAATTGTAATAACTCTGGTAGACGACTACTTACCTTTGAGAATGACTGTCTTTGAATTTGTGAGTGTGAATACAGATCCTGGAGGATTCTGTACCATAACAAAGGTCAGGGTATCCCCGTCAGCATCTGTACACTGCACGTCAGTAGAAATAACGGTACTCACGGCTGTCAGAATAATAAAATTCAAAACAAACTTTAATATTGAGAAGTAAAATTTGTTGATATTTGATTTGTTGATTGTTTCTACAATAATTCTATCTCTAACAATTTTAATTACTTTCAAAATTATTTGATGTTTAATTGCTGAAGTCGCTTAGAATTTACCAAATTAAAGAACATTTTCTAGGGGATAAATACTGCAAATTCAAAATACTGTTTTACAGTATTTACCAAATGAATTTACCAAATGAACAGTTTCAGAGAATAATTACTAGTACTGCAAAGTCAAAACTTCCATCTATAAATTCTAATTCGAAAACGAAAAACATTGTTTATCAATATCTTTTCAAGTTTCATTCCTAAAACCATTTTTTATTCGTCAAGTTTACTAACCCGTATCTTCAGGTAAATTGTACGCCCCTGAATAAGTTGTCCAGGTAGGTGCGTTAGTTAACTAACCTATATCTTCCAGTACATTGTTCGCCTCTGTATAAGTTGTCCAGGTAGGTGCGTTAGTTAACTAACCTATATCTTCCAGTACATTATACGCCTCTGTATAAGTTGTACAGGTAGGTGCGTTAGTTTACTAACCTGTATCCTCCGGTACATTGTACGCCTCTGAATAAGTTGTACAGGTAGGTGCGTTAGTTTACTTACCTGTGTTCTCCGGAACATTGTATGCTTCTGAATAAGTTGTACAGGTAGGTGCATTAGTTTACTTACCTGTATCCTCCGGTACATTGTACGCCTCTGAATAAGTTGTACAGGTAGGTGTGTTAGTTTACTAACCTGTATCCTCCGGTACAATGTACGCCTCTGAATAAGTTGTACAGGTAGGTGCGTTAGTTTACTAACCTGTATCCTCCGGTACATTGTACGCCTCTGAATATGTTGTCAAGGTAGGTGCATTAGTTTACTAACCTGTATTCTCCGGTAAATTGTACATTTGTACGCCTCTGAATAAGTTGTACAGGTTGGTGCGTTAGTTTACTTACCAGTGTCCTCCGGTACATTGTACGCCTCTGAATAAGTTGTACAGGTAGGTGCGTTAGTTTACTAACCTGTATCCTCCGGTACCTTGTACGCCTCTGAATAAGTTGTACAGGTTGGTGCGTTAGTTTACTAACCTGTATCCTCCGGTACATTGTACGCCTCTGAATAAGTTGTACAGGTAGGTGTGTTAGTTTACTAACCTGTATCCTCCGGTACAATGTACGCCTCTGAATAAGTTGTACAGGTAGGTGCGTTAGTTTACTTACCTGTGTCCTCCAGTACATTGTACGCCTCTGAATAAGTTGTACAGGTAGGTGCGTTAGTTTACTTACCTGTGTTCTCCGGAACATTGTATGCTTCTGAATAAGTTGTACAGGTAGGTGCATTAGTTTACTTACCTGTATCCTCCGGTACATTGTACGTCTCTGAATAAGATGTACAGGTAGGTGCGTTAGTTTACTTACCTGTGTCCTCCGGAACATTGTATGCCTCTGAATAAGTTGTACAGGTAGGTGCGTTAGTTTACTTACCTTGGTCCTCCGGTACATTGTACGCCTCTGAATTAGTTGTACAGGTAGGTGCGTTAGTTTACTTACCTTGGTCCTCCGGTACCTTGTACGCCTCTGAATAAGTTGTACAGGTTCGTGCGTTAGTTTACTAACCTGTATCCTCCGGTACATTGTACGCCTCTGAATAAGTTGTACAGGTAGGTGCGTTAGTTTACTTACCTGTGTTCTTCGAAACATTGTATGCTTCTGAATAAGTTGTACAGGTAGGTGCATTAGTTTACTTACCTGTATCCTCCGGTACATTGTACGTCTCTGAATAAGATGTACAGGTAGGTGCGTTAGTTTACTTACCTGTGTCCTCCGGTACATTGTACGCCTCTGAATAAGTTGTCCAGGTAGGTGTGTTAGTTTACTTACCTTGGTCCTCCGGTACATTGTACGCCTCTGAATAAGTTGTACAGGTTGGTGCGTTGTCATTTTCGTTAAGAACACTCACTGTTACCGTTCCCGTGCCCTGAAGAATTTAGAAACAATTCATTTGAATGTTTCATGAATAAAAACCAGAAAAATTTTCTTGTCAATGTCTTCAGTTACTGCTTTAAAACATTATATATAATATACGGCCTTAGATGTTTTGGCAACTAGATTTACACCAAGTTAATACTTCTGTTACTAGATATACCTGTAAGTACTTCAGCTCGACCAATTAATATAGTTTATAAATTTATTTTTCTGTAAACGTAGACTACATAAATTAACGCATTTAAAATTAATCACAACTTTCCTCATCAACTAAATAGCGTTGTCATAAATTAATGCATTTGGAGCAAAGCTTCTGTATGGATATGTATCGTATATCAGTGTATAATAGAATTTGCAGACAAGAACACGAAAAGAGTTCATTTTGATAACCATTAAATCAAGAACGTTTACAGTAACTGATGAGCAAACCTTCAGTCCGCCACCGTCTCTTGCCACTACATGTAACACATAGTTCGTGACTGCTTCGTAATCAAGCGGCTTTGCTAGCTTTATTCTTCCTGTGGTCTCCTCGATCAAAAAATTGTCCTCCCCGCCGTTTGTTACTAGAAATACGTCTACATTTATCCAAAGTAGTGTCTTTACATGAATGTATTCAGAAGTATTCTCAAAAAATTTCAAGTTACAAAGTGAACGTATTTTGAAAGAAAATGTTGATTTACAAGAAACTTTTTTGTGTGAAAAAGAAAAAAAAAACAAAAAAACATGCCATACCAGATTCTATTTCATACGACACAACGCCGTATGGTTCCTTGTCAGGATCAAAAGCTTTGTACAATATAATTTCTGCTCCTACAATCTCACTCTCGCGCACGTTCACTGTAGGTTGACTTTGGAACTCGGGAGCTTTAGTGTTGTTCTTTGTGACGTACAAACGTAACCAGACTTCGGTTGACCTTGACCCGTCCGAAACCTTAATGGACAAGAGGTAATTTAGGTTCCTCTGGCTGGCATCAAGATCTGTGGAGTGAAGTTTAACTTCAATCAATATAAATACTGTAAACCAACTTTTATTCGCGAGTGAAAAATATTTGCGAGCTTCACGACCTACATTAACTCGCGAATATTAATCGCCACGAGCATTTATTTTGCTTTGTATTTGTATAGAATGTTTCCTGAGTCGTGGAAATTAATCGTTTAAACTGACGAATCGCGAATAAAAGATGACGCAAATAATAGTTGGTTTACAGTAACTAATTGCCCTTATAAAACAGTCTTATCTGCACGCAGGTGTTTGCTTCTAAATGTTCTCTCCTTCGTACTTGGTTGACAAGCGAAGAAGCCACAATAGTTATTTTATATTTTGCATAAAAATACAAGTAGAAATTGAGCACAAAGTGCACCCATTAGCTTCAATAAAATTGGCTCCCATCATCCACGCAAACACTTGACTCTGCACTTGTGTACTTTTTCGGCGGTGTGATACAAAGTAAATTGATAGGAATTGGTTTTATAAAGAAGAATTTCTTTTCTTCCTTTAGCTGCAAATCTGCCTCATTGGGATTTTATTTGCATTATGCATATATGCATATTAAAATATGAAGGTGAGCATATCACCTAAGTTTTTATCGAGTTTGTAGGACACAATAGATGATTCAGAGAAAACTCTTTTACAGTCTCCATCCTTTGTAAGGATATGCCAATATTTTGTCAGTTTTCTTTTTCAATGTCGTATACAGAGGTTGTATTTTGTGACAAAAAAGCACATTTAAGGTCTTTAATATTACCCAGTGACAATCAAAATGAACTTAGTGAAGATTTTGACACACCTATAAAACACTGGCAACAAGAGAGTCTGAAAGAGAATTCATGCAAATATAATAATATGACTTGGCCATCTGTGATAGGCATCCCAAAATCGCTAGACAGTTAAACAGGCAACATTGTAATAAACCAACCCTATTAGGGCAGAGAAAATAAATTAATAAGCTACTGATATGTCAGTGGACTGTAGAAAAATAATGTGCCTAAGGTATAATTGTCTAGTTTAAGAGTTTATGGTGTATGATATACCTTCAAATAAATCAATAATCTGATATGTCAAGTCAGAAAAATGCAAGTACCTAAGATCTAAGATCTAATTGTCTACTATAGGGATTTATGAAGGTACAATCACAGGACGAACCTACACCATTCAGTCAACTGAATTGTTACTGAAAGGCTTGGAAAGGTCATTGAATGTCAGACCTCTGCCATTCAATCACCTTTCAGTAAACTTTTAGTCACCTTTTAGTTGACTGAAAGGCAGAGATACATCCTGTGAATATACCTTCATATATATTTAATTTTCATTGGAGTAATGATAATTTATCCATATGGTGAATTAATTGTCATGTGCTCCAATGTCATACATCATATATACCTAAATTTCAGAAATAATTCCGGTGCCAATATTGACTCAAATACCATACCTTAACTGTCAATAGAAATACAATTATAAATTCACGTACATAGCTTGTATAAGCTAATTCTAAAAGGATTAATCAATAAATGTAACCATTCTAGTTAAACATGAATAAATATATTACACAGAATCCTTAACTTTCCTTGTCCTCATAGAAATAATATATCTTTTAAATTATTCTTTTATCCTTGCTGTATTTAATTTTCCTACAAAAGCTACCTGTACTGTCCTTCTTCCTTTAAAAAATATAATATATACGTGTGGTGATAAACAATATCTGCATTCTGACCTTTTCGAAGCTCAATTTTTGGTGGAGTTTTAATGGCAAATTCACCCGAGATGTCTCCACTTTCTATCGTGTAAGTTAAAGGGTCTCCATCTGCGTCAGAGCAGGTTAATGTGTATATCTGAAATCAATTATGAAAATAAGATACATTAAAGTGGTACAGGATATTCTGCAAGTTCAAATATAATAATTATAGATAATATTTTTATTATTTTACGCAACCCGAAGAGCTCAATTCTGCAAAAAAGTTCAATATTTTCTCTTCTAGACATTCATTTATCATATCATCTGGTTATCAAATGCCAAAAACTAACCAGTGACTATATTTCATACAATGAATGAATATTGATGACCAGGTTTCTTTCTGTTGAATTCTCTTTCTACTGTAATTTGTCTTTAAACCCCCTTTATCAGACATTTACCTCATACGATAGTAATATTTCTCTTTCGAATAAGGAACATAGTTTTAAAGCTTATTTCCTCCATTTCCCATTTGGTCTAAAGTTTTAATTTTTGTAATATTTAGAAAATAATAGTAAAATTGATGAAAAGAAACAATAAATAATCAATTGAAATTTCAGTGCCCAGTATGTTATTTTACCAACATTAAATGCACAGCTCATGTTAGAGAAACTTCTGCTCTTTTCATATATAATAAAACATAACTCTCTCTCTCTCTCTCTGACTTTATGAAGATACCGTGGCTCCTTCTGTAGCCAGGGTGTCATCCATAGTCACGTGATAAACTTGCGGCGTGCATTGTGGGTCGTTATCATTTACAGGGGTAACTATAATAACGACATTTGCAATAACTGATCTTGTTCCATCAGACAGGCGGACATCCAGCGTATAGTTTTTCTTCGTCTCGTAGTCTAATGAATTGTTTGTGAATATTCGTCCATATGCAGGATTAATATCGAATTTATTGTCATCGTTACCTCCTGTCAAAATATACAAAATATATCCAAACATACAAAGTATATCAAATATCCAAAATATGTCAACATTTACAAAACGTTTTGAAGAATAACATATTGTTCTATGTTTGCAAAATGCTCTCAATTTCTTTAAAATATGCATTTTAATTTAATCACTCTCCGTGATCTTCACATTTCACCCCCCCCCCCCGCCCGAAAAAAAAACCGCTCTTTATCATGCAAATACTCCCTGTCATTAGGCACCCCATTGTAAAATATATGGATAAATAATATCACGTACACACAATTAAGCTCTGAAAAATTATTTAATTTGTTTTATTTTTGAAATTTCATGATAAAGTCCTTACCTACCTACAATCAAAAATGAAACTTCCCCGCCTGTTCCAAGATCATCGTCATTTCCGGTTAAAGTTATCACCTGCATACCTACTGGAGCGTCTTCCCGAACCTGAATGTACGAGGATAGTCGTTAATAAAACATTTTTTTCTTATTAGACCTTATCTTACAATCCAGTTTATTTTTACAGAGTATCCTGGTATCTAAAATATATATTCTTAATACAAAGCTGAATACTTCTAGAAAGATAATTAATACAACCTTCTTAGTTGTACATGTATCACCTTTTTCAAGAATACATGTGTAAGCTTTTCCAAACAACAAAACGATTTGTACATGCATGGCTTTGATTCTCTTGTTATCTCTCTCTCAAAAACAAAACTGGTTGCTCATTTTAAATTTAAACACACTGTATAATTGCATTTAAATTATATTTTGCATTCACGAGCGATATATATTTACGAGATTTACTTCTTTTTTAAAAAATGAAAGTTACTCATTATAGAATTTTATTGAAAAAGTATGTTCAGCAACGAATATAACTGTAGCTTTTCGAATGGACTTGCGAATGTTAGATATCACCAATATTAGTAGTGTTAGAGAGTAAAACATTACTTTCACTAGAGTGTAAATTTTACATTTTTCTCCATGTAGAAAATGACCAAATGAACACTGCAAGGAACATGAACTTAGATACATCAGAAATATACTGTACCAAAGCTCTAAATGGCATTCCTATAAACTCTGGATCGAATTCATTTTTGGAGTCAATGTACACAAACACAGTTGCCTCAGCTGTTTTCAGAGAGTTACTTGAATCATTTCCACGTATTAGCAGTGTGTAAACAAAATTTTTGTTTATCGTCTCTAATGCTTCGTAATCGGTCGGGATATTTGTTGTCCTCAGGTCTGTGTTATCAATTTTAAATTTCTCCGATCCAAAATCATCACCATCAATCTTTTTACGTATAGGGCAGGGAGTTCCAGCTGGAGTGGTACAATTAAGTGTAGTAACCAATTCATCTGAAATTTCAAAATAAAAAAAGATGGCACATCTTAATATCAAAGATTGTTTGGGGAAAATGTCCTTGATGATGAAGAAAAGTCTTGGACTTTTATCTCGAAATCAATAAGTAAATGGGTTATTGTTGCCTATAAAGAATGAGAAACTCTATTTGGTTTTATTGTGCTTAAAGAAAAAGATTTTAAGAGCCTTTCAATTCAGTCCTCAGCCTTATTATGACCAAAAGGACAGTGAGTTCTCCTTCGCATATATCAATATCATATTATGTATAATCAAAAATGCGCTTTCTACAACTATAATGTATATTTCTATTGCAATTCTTTGCTTTAAGAGTGCAAGAGGGATCTCTGTCCCCTCCATAGTTTTGTAAAGGTATTGAGGTGTTTCAAAAAGTGCAAGAATTTCTTTAGAAATTGTGAAACGAGCTTTTTTTTTAATCCAAATACATAAAAGAAGGGGTTTCCACTAGGATTGTCAGATATTAATATCAAACTATTAAGCCTCACTTCCCCCTTTAAATAAAATAAGTTTTTATCTTGGCTTTCAAATGGAAAAGGTAAATTTTAAGTTCTGTTTTCTTTTCTTTTCAATTTTTTTTTTAATTTTTCACCAAAACCTTAACTGTTTCCTCCTCCAAATCCAAAATAAAGCTAAATAAGAACAATTAATGATTCCTTTAATTATTACATGTAGAAATAAGACTATGATGTGTTAATGAAAGCATCCTACCTGTGCTTCCTTCTTCAACAGTGACAACAATAACATCTGGGGAAAAGATTGGAACACTTGCTCCATCACTCAAGCCTACGAAGTAATTAGGGAGCAGTAAATTTGTCAGTTAATTTGCTTTGAATAAACATAAATTTGCTACCAGGCAAAAAATCTATAAACTTAAAAGTGCATCTCATTTAAATTTTCTTTTGTGGAAAGTTATTTCATCGTCGGTAATCTGCAAGTTTTAACTTTTGTGCAAATAAAATATTGGTTACTGACTAGGTCTTGAAATTTTCCTGTTCTTTCCACATGACATAAGAGTTGTAATTCTACTGTGAAGCTATCAGAATTTTTAATTATGGTGAATATGTATATATATCTCTAAAAACGGTTCAACCTAACATGCTTTTGAGAACTAATTAGATGAATACTTTGGGAAAAAATGTATTGGTAACAAGGAGAAAAACACAACATGTGATGAATTTTGCAATTTAATGATAGTTTTCGAATTAATGATTAGTATTTTCTTTTCTTGTATTTAGTTGCTCCCCCCTTTTTCAAGAATACAATTCTTAATGTCATTAGGCTTGCTATGAATTAGATTTTCAGAGAACGTTATCGGAATTGAGTAACATTTTCGCTGAAGCGTTTTCCACATGTTTTTCTTCAGCCGTTGGCATATTTTTTTTTTTTTTTTTTTTTTTTTTTTTTTTTTTTTTTTTTAACAAAATCTTCCTATTCCATCGTAAATTTCACCTTTCGTTATATGTTTTAGATTGGGTTTTAATCGGGATTATCTCTTAACCGCGTTTATGAAGAAATTGTTTTGCGTTTGAAAAATTTTCTTGTGCTCATTAGTAGATACTGAAAGATATAGTACCATATGTACTTGGATAGTATTTCCAAAAACAATTTAGTTGTATGTAGTTTTAAGTTATTAACTAAAAGGTTCAATTTAAGAGATGAAAATCTCAGACGAGGTGTATTATCTAAACTTCCGTTGCCCTGAAAGAGTTCTGATTCAAACCCAAATAAAAACACTTGGGAATGAAATAATTTTACAGAACTAGACCTAATTCAAAACAAGCCAATAGCTTATAAATTATAGAATTTATAGTGGGCACATGTATTTTACCTAGGACGTTGCTCAATTCCACAAAACAGAGTTATTTGATTAGTTCACAACAAGCTTAATTGTATTAAGGGTTTTTTTGTGCAAATAAAGGAGCAAGGAAGTTCTACAAAATAATTCATCAATTATAAATATAAAAAAGTATAATTATCAAAACTTCTATAAAGTGCAAAATTCATTGTATCCTTTGTCTGCGCCTTAGTTTAACAGCATTACATTTATTTCCAAAATGTGCATTTAATTAGTTCACAAAAACATGTCCTTTAAAAAGCTTTAAGCTACTGATAGTAGTAGCAAAATTAAAAATGAAAATTGTGAGAGGACAGAATGCATTTTTCAGTTTGGTTGGCGTTTTCAAAAAAATTAAATAATTAAGAAAAATAGTATTTATAAAAAAAAAATAACATTGTAAGGTATATATTTCTGGATGTTCAATGCATTGTAGGTTTAATTCGCGTTTTTCTATTTTTGATGAGAGAGAGATATGCACTTTTAAAAAGGGGAAACTAATCCAACTTTTATGAAATTTCAAAAGTACTAACAAGTGATTATAGGCAATTAATTTTCGATTTACATACCTGGCAAAATTAATTGAAGGCTTAACAAAAGCAGCCAAACTCTCATTTGATAAATGAAATTTTCTCCACTCAGACGAAAATTCAGACTGATTCTATCCATTGTTTTCTTTGTTTAAATCTATACGCTTTTTGCGTAAATAAAACATATTCAGAATATTTAATTCCGCACAGGGGACTAGATTTCACGATAAAGAAAATTGACGTTTAAAGCAGAAGGTGTAGCTATGAATTAGAACGCTTCCATTTTATCGAGAATACGTATTCGCAAAGCATATTTAAAGGGAAGGTGTACTTCTGCTTATGGAAGTAAAAATTATTTTTCCCCTTTCTTTCTAAAAGAGTTTTCATATAAAGATACGTTGGAGTAAATTATATATAAATATATATATATATATATATATATATATATATATATATATATATATATATATATATATATATATATAATGATCCTCTAATAAAACTATAATATCTCTGTATATCACTTCAATTCTCAATGGCCGTGTAGTGTAGGATTGATTGATTGATTGTATGTTGTTTTACGTCCGTTCGAGAATTATTCACTCATATAAAGACGTCACCATATACCGGTGAAGGGCTTCAAATTTAGACCTTTACTCGGCACTCAGGGCCATTGAGCGGTGAGAATTCTTTATCGTGCCAACGATAAGGCCAATTAAGGTCTCATCCGAAGGACCTGCAACTTTCACTTCAAAGTGCCGAGTTGCTGTCTATTTTTATCGACTTAGGGCAGTCGCGGCCGTGATTCGAGCACACGACCTTCCGATCACGGAGCGAGCGCTCTACCGACTAAGCTACCGTGACGGTCGTGTAGTAAAGGACAGCGCCGCGAGATATTCATCGGCATCGAAAGCAAGTTTTTTGGACTCGCCTAGATGGCCGAGCGGTCTAGCGTGCTGTTCCTGTACTGCTAGGAGACAGATTCCGTAGGTCGAGAGTTCAACCCCGGGATGGGGCGGAACTGAGTATCCTTATAAAAGTCAATTTCTTTGTGCTTTTTATATATTAATATTTCTTCACTCAGGACAGTCATGTTATTTTAAGAGTTGTTGTAAAAATGTGCTTTATAAATAAAATTAATTCATTTTAATGTGTATCGGTAACTGTCCTCTAATAAAACTAAAGTCCAAATAACTGTTCTCTCTTCCATTCTCAATGACCGTGTAGTGTAGGACAGCGGCGCGAGAATTCCATCGGCATCGATCGAAAGCAAGTTTTTTGACTTGCCTAGATGGCCGAGCGGTCTAGCGGTAGTGAGTATCCTGTGAGTTTCTTTTTTGCTCTCTCTCTCTCTCTCTCTCTCTCTCTCTCTCTCTCTCTCTATATATATATATATATATATATATATATTGTATCATTCTAGTCTGCTTTAAATGGTTTTATTATCAAGACGAACCTTAATATCATCTTTTCGCTTAAAAAATCAGTAACAAGACTACCTCAAATAAATCAAAAGATTATCGAATCTCTAGATTTTCTTCGAATGTGACACAAGTTTTTGCATACAAATATCAAGTTTTTCATTATGAATATAAACATTCCACAAGTCTCTGAGTCTATACCCTGGATTTTCTAAAAATATTCATTAACTGTTACTTCCAAACTATTCAAATGTAAACAAACCCTACAATGTCTAGACACTGAACATCTAAAACAAAATCCTCTTCTTGCTCTTCCTTTTTTTTCAACAATAGTCCAGCTGCACACATCATTGCTGATGATGTTAGTATACAAATGTAGTTGAAAATAACCTGAAATCAATCATTTTATGGCACTAAATCGAGGAATCCCTATCTTTCAAATGGTGACAGAACTTCATTTTTATTATGAAATTCTGTCGAAAATTATGCGAGACAATGGGCGGAATATGAAGAGTACCTTTTGTCTTGACACCTTTTCAGAATTGATTCATTATTACATTTAAAAATCGGTTAGTAAGTTAAAAAGCCAACCATGAGTTTTAATTTCTTACATCACTTGCATATTTAGAAAAATACAGGGTCAGTTTGGTATTGAAACCGTACCTTGTTCCTCACGAATACTGGTTATTGCTGTATTTATATAAGCTATAATCATAAAATATTACTTGAGAGCGAAATTTTTGCGAGTAAACAGTCTCGCGTAATAACGCCAAAATAAAGTTCTCGTGAAAGTGTTTTACAGTATAGTGTTAACTTTGACACTTTATTAACAGGATTTTTGGATGACAAATGCTCCTATATAAAGAGTTTTTCTTAGTAACACTCAGGTAGAAAAAACATTATCTTCGAGGTTGAGCCGTCTGGACATACCATTGCTTACAAAGCCATTAAAAATTTGTTAAAAAATAAAATTTATGATTTATAGTTTATTATATACATAGAAAAGATTATGCTAATTAATTGCTCAAAAATTCATTGATGTACTTTGAGCGGTTTTAATTTTATGGGACAAGTCCACGAACTTTTTGATAGCTCCTCGTATATATTATTTTTAGACATATAGCAAAGGTATCTTACAATTTGAATAAGAAGAATAATGTTTTAGAGACTTAAGTGATGTTTTAGAGACTTTTGGTATATTTTCATTAAAACAGAAGAACAAGCATTAATTAGCTATCCATTTTGTAAGGCAAATAAAAAGGGAGATGCAAGCAATTTTAACCAAAACTGCAAGTAAAACTTTCATATAACTCCAGTAACCAAAAAAAAAAAAAAAAAAAAAAAAATAGAATCAATTAATCATATATCGACCCTAAAGTGCAATTAATTTATGTGCTTTACATATGTTTCATCTTTGATTTTCTGGATGCTCTCCTTTATCAGAGGAACAATAAATCTTGCATAAAGAAGAAACATCAATTCTGTTCGAAAATATATGTAACTCGATGCGTTGATCCAGCAAACATCAGTTCTTCGGAACAAAAAAACTCAATCTATTTTCTTCTAAGTGTATTTAATTTGTCCGAAGGAAGAACTTATTTGTCCTCACAAATATTTTTTTCCTAACGAAGACCAAACTTGTCAGAATAATTATCTTATTTGGCAGAACATATATCAATTTCTGGGCCTCAACGGCACAATGGTATTCTATTATTTTCCGTATTTATAAAAGTTAAGGATTTCAATGATCTAAGTTTGTTATTAAGATTCTAAAATTACAAAATGCATAACCTTAAAAAATATTTTTTTTTAAAAAAAAAAAAGGAAAAATACTAGAAAAAGTGTTATGTAAAATGGTTATTATAATGACCCAGGGATTTTCAAAAATACTGACTTTGATTGAAACTGTTGAAACCCTGTAACATCATCTTATTTGTCAGTATCCTGCCTCTGTTTATAAGATCGTCCTCCCGTTTGTCATATAGTTAACATGTTAATTGGCCATTAGGTATATGATCAGTAAAATACGAAAAGGATAATGTCAAAAGATTAAGATAACAGTTTTTAATCAAAAGCCACTATAACAAATCGTTCGATTTTTATTGTGTGCTGAAAACACGAGGTTAGATATGAAGATAACGAACAAGGATCATTCTCAAAAGTTCATTGGAGCATTACATGGGAGAAGGGCAAACACGGACCTCCAAAAATATAAGAGGTGGGATAAGGTGCCGTTTAGGAGTAAGCATCCCCTTCGACCGCTCTCACACTTGCTGTGTGCTCCTTGTCAAGATTGGACAAACTGAAAAATCAGTAGAAAATTCGGTGTAAAAATAATGTATGAAAAACGTCAGTCAACATTCGACTTAACGATAGATTGTATTTCCTTACAAGATCATTTCATCGACCATAGAATTTGCGAAATGTTGACATCAAATGAGACTGTTGATATCCTTATATCATCAACTCATTTGTCAATAGCTTGCCTCGTTTTAGACATTGCTTGTACGTAGAACGTAGAAGACGCTCTTGCGTTTCGAATCAACTGAGAAACACAAAGCCCATATACAGATGATAATAATATATTGTAATATAAACAAGCATTCTGAGAGTATTGCATTAGCAATACTAGTCCCCTACCGGCAAGTGTAATCTGGTTCCGGCTAAAAACTGAAAATGCCATAATTCTGTCAAAAATCAACGAAGCGGAATGAAATGCAAACTTGATATATAACTCATCAAGGTAAAGTAACATACCAAAAATCAGCTCAATATCTGCAAGCGTTTAGAAAAAAATTGCGGAAAACCTTGAAAAATTGTAAAGGTCGTGATTCCGCCAAAAATCATTGAAGCGGAAAGAAATGCAAACCTGCTCTGTAACTCATCAAAATACACTCACATATTAAAAATCAGCTCAATATCTGCAAGCGTTTAGGAAAAAAAGTGCGGAAAACTTTGGACAGTCTCTGTCAGTATGGTTCATTTTAGCTGCAGAACTGTATAGCTCTCCGAAAAAAAAAAAAATAGTCACAGACCGGAGAGCTACAGTGCCACCCATTGAAAAAATGTATATTTATTGCGCACAAAAAAGTGCTCTGTTTCTCGATTTATTTCCACCAGTTTTTAAAACTGCCAGCTCAAAATATTACTTACCGTGTGTTCCTAACATATTTTTTTACCGTTTCCACAACAAAACATTCCTTAAAAGTGTTGTTAATAGCCCTCCTGGCCCTGAAATTGAGGCCAACGAAAATTCCGCCTATTTATACTGCCATTTTGGTTTGCGGTCCAACGCGCTTCGTGTAGATGTCAACTACGAGAGAATTTGATAGAGGTGTAAGGATTTTTATGAAATCTAGCCTTTTTGTAATTGAGGTAAGAATTTGGAGAAATTAAAATCCAGTAACGAGCGCAACTTTTTGTGCGCAATAAATATACAGTTTTTTCAATGGGTGGCACTGTAGCTCTCTGGTCGTCCATCCCAATTTTTTCAGAACAACGAGCTACAGATCTGTAGCTAGGTTCATTTACTCTTTCTATCTTATAACAGGTCAGGGAGTGTTTTTCAGTGAAGGAAAATCCCGAGTTTTGTTGCACTTCTGATATTCTTTCACACTGTACCAGATTCTTTCACACTGTGACAAAACGTAATTTTTATTCAATAAATGATTTACAGTACTTCACTGATGAAAGATTTAATAAAAACATTTTAAGTATCATTCAAACAGAGCAATCAAAACCTAATAAGAAACAAGAAACTAAGCCAATACTAGAAAAAAAACATATTATAAGAAAATTAGATTTTATTTTTACAAATAACTGATTTATTAAACTCGCCTTAAATTAGCATCAATATACAAATTCGGCTTCAACCAAACCAATCCGTTTTATTGCATAGGATCTGTATTTTTCTGAGAGATGAAGGGAGCATGTAAGAAGTCCTTGTAATATACCACAAGGGAAGGATAAAGAGAGTCACATCATGTGAAGAAAACCCTATCCTAACTCTAATAGGGAGTAGGTTAATAGAAAGAGAGAATTTAATTATGAAATATATGGGATCCTCCCATATAATTTGGAACATTCAATTAGAAACAAAATTATCCTCTATGTCATATTAAATGTAAAAAAAAAATAATAAAATGTTTTGATCTCTGGCAGTTAATTTTACTGTACTCTTTCATAATTGTCACTAGGACGAAAGGGAAATTTATTTTTCTTCTTTGCGTAAATTAGACATGCAATGGCAAATATCACAATCCCTATGGTAATTACAAGAGTCCAGCCTAATACGTCGGCACTTAATCCCAAAAATCTTGAATTACCAGTATCTATAAAAAATATATACATATACATCTTAAAATATTATATAAATATTAAAACTTAAATGATTCACTTGAATTTTATAATGTAGCTTTGGTAATACTCACCACCATTTGATTGTTCGTTTTTTATTTCATTTAACCAACACGATGTATAACCATGTGAAGGTTCTGGAAAATTTGGAGCACCAGTTGAGTTAGACGGTACTGACAGAATCATGCCCATTCCGTTAGTATTATGTAGATCAATATGACAGTGAAAAAACCATGGCCCAGGGTTACTGGCCTTGAATCGGACAATAACATACCCGCCTGTTGGAACAATTATCGTGTCTTTTTGTGGTTGGTATTGCATTTTTAGACCGGGAATAGAATCAGCATTGTTCCATGATTTGTTTCTCCAAATTTCAGCATTGCAGAAGCTATTGTTGCTCTTTCCTTGACATTGGATATCATTTGTTTCTGAGATAAACTTTGCCGATGTTCGATCATAAGAACCAAATCCCATCTTGACAACGTAAAAATAATGACCATGCAAATGCACTGGATGTGACCAACCTTTTCCGTTACCTATATTCGTTAAAACAAATTGATAAGCTTTTCCTTTATCCAGTTTTTCATAATACGTGCACTTACATATGCTGTCAATCCCGCAATTAGCATTTTCGCAACTTGATTGTATATTTGAAAATCTGTACAAAACTGGTTCACTGGGAAATTCAAACTCATGTCCATTAACCGAACCCGGTGTATAACCATGATCCCCAGGAAACGCAAAATTGAAAAATAAGGTTTCTGAAACATTCTGTATTTCCGTGGAATCAGATGATGGTTCATTGCTGTAAACGTCATCAAAATTCATGCAATATCTAAATGATTCTGCAGGATAATACAAATAAGGACAATTAAATGTGTAGCAAGGTTTCTGTGACGAACAAGTAATTGGAGTTGCCTTTGAAGGATATTTAAATGGAGAGCCTTTATAATGAATGATTGCCTCGGCAGCATGATATTCGTTGAGGGAAGGATCCAATACCTCAAGACTTTCGGCTACGAAGAGGTAGGTGTCAGGTTCTTTCGATGTTCGTACAGTAAAATCGAATCGCTCCCCTGGATGAATGATAAACGATTCAACAACAAGATCTTTACTTTGTTTTCCCACCCCTTCAACAATCTCAAATCCATCGGAAGCTCGTATAGTTAATTCGGGATGGCCTTCAATGTATACGCGAAAGGGATAAAGTGTTGCTGCACTTATTACACGAAATCTATAGGTTTTCATTTGATCTACTTCAAAAACTTGTAAAGGTGATCCATTGCTTGTTGATGAAGTATCATAAAAACGACCCATCCCATTAATCAATCCGGAATGAAAATGAAATCGGCTAAAATTGGCACCATCCACAGAAAATGTCGTCGGAATTAATTTTCTTGTGCCAGGATCATAAACACCATTGAGCATACGCTGGTATAGAGTCTCCGGGTCATCATTATGGTTCCAGTCTTGTAAAAGCACAGTGAATCCCACTTGCGGCTGGGAGAGAAATTTATTTTCAGGATATATAATTAGCGCACCATAGAGTCCCATGCTTCGCTGATCTCCAATATGAGCGTGGTAGAAATGGGTTCCATGAGGTTTCGCTTTAAATCTGTAAGTATAGTTTTGACCTGGTAGTATCGGACACTGAGTTATAAATGCCACTCCATCAGAGTATGCAGTATTGAGTTGATGTATTCCATGCCAGTGGATTGTTGTCGAATCTGTATGCATAAGATTTCGGACATGAACAATTATATCCTGATTCTCATGAGCGACTATTGAAGGGCCTGGAAACAAACCATTTACAGTTATTACTAATCGAGAACCAAAACCATCTGCAGTTATAACGTTTTGTGTTCTGTTAGCTGGTAGAGGGGAGCTTCCACTTTCATCATCGAAACGATAAAGATTGCCATTTTTTGGCCACACAAGAACGGGATTTGGTAACGTCATCAGCGTAAGTCTGTGTTCTATTGTGAGGTAGCATTCACAAGTCTTGTCTTTTTCGCTACAAGTCCCAGGCTCTTTACATGTTGGCCCATCCATCGATCTATCCCACCACGTATGTGTGGCAGAAGGCTTGGATGCATGCACCACCAACACCAGTAGTGTCAATCTGTAAAAGGAATTCAGGTTATCCCTCAATAAACCATCGTAAATTATCTGCCTCTTCCAAAATTGTGAAATCCATGGCCCTAGGATCAGGGGTTCTTGAGTAATCTCTCTCTCTCTCCACCTCTCTCTCTCTCTCTCTCTCTCTCTCTCTGTGTGTGTGTGTGTGTGTGTGTGTATTATTCACTTAATCAGGGACAGTGATACTAGGTACAGTACCAACCAGACCCAACCTGACACCTAAGCAGTCCCAGAAAGCAGTCCCGGGGACTGCTTTTGGACCGCTCTGGGACTGCTGTGGGACTTCTCTGGAACCGCTCTGGAACTGCTCTGGGACCGCTATGGGACTGCTCTGGGACTGCTGTGGGACTGCTCTAGAAAGCAGTCCCAGCAGTCCCTGGGACTGCTTTGTTCACTCTTGCGTGAAAAAGGTTCTGAGTGACATGACAGCTCCGCCCCTTGTGTATTCTGAATTTACAGGCTCTCTGTTGTTGTTTTGTTTACTTTCAGCAGAGAGATGTTTAAGATAAAACAAGGATTTCTTACAAAATTTAAATAGGTAGAGATAGTTATACATGTAATTACTAAACGTCTTCAGGGGCTGTTAATTTACACAATTTTAGTCTAGAATGTCAGGAGATGATTTTTATTCCTTAAATTAAACTTTAATACAGGTGTTTGAAAAAAAATTATCTAGGCCTATTTATTTAATTAATGCTGTCAAATTATTTACTCAAAGTTTGCATTAGCACTATGAAAAAAACAAAACAAATAAAAATCAAGCAAATTTGTCATTTCACTAAGATATTCAGGGGGACATACTGTAATGGATTTTTTCTCAATTAAAAAACTAATACCATGCTAGAAAAAAGAGTATTCCATGCTATTTTTTACCGCCCTCAAACAAAACCTAATAAATTGTAATTAATTAATTGATCAAGAAATAAAATTAATCTACCATTCCTCATCACATAAACAATGTGAATAATTATTGGGGATTTATTTATGAATTACATGTAGTTTTTAATTTATAAACAACTTATTAAAATATTTTATTTATTTAAAAAATAAACATTTGAAAATATCGGGAATTGTGACTTATTTCTTATTTGTTTGTGTTTACCTGCTCGATTAATAAAATGCAATACAATTGTATAAAATGGTGTCAACACCTGAGGTTTCAATTGCCTTTGGGCATGATTAGCAGAAAGTCAATGCATGTTATTTGGGTATCAGTGTTACACATCACTGAACACGCTGGTCGACAATGACACTAATTTCAATCTATGTACTGCAAAAAATCTTTGTTTCAATAAATTTATTTCGGGATTAATTAATTTTGAACATAATCTGAGGGGAACATTCGCGTGATTTACAGATACACACTCGAACGTTTATATGATAAAACACTTAAAACTGAGTGTTATTGTTTTCTGTTACATAGAGAATCTAACAATAATTAAATTGGCAAGTCAGTGAAAAAAATCATGACTGAAATATTATATTCGGCAAAACTTAACAAGGAATTTTTCAAAAGCTGCAATTCTTAAGAAAAATGCATTCAGAGTATAGTATGTGAATCGGCCTTGCTCTATAATTATAAGATCTATTTAAAGCTAATAAAAACAAATTCAAGTTTAATTTTCTTTAAAATATAAATAAATAAATAAATATGGAAACCAATAGCAATCACAGAAAAAAATGATTTATTTTGGCGAAAAATTAAAATAGCACATAATTGTGTTTAAATAGTAGGTGTGAAGGTCTTCTTCTTTCAATAATTATTATTTGTTTCTATATGCGTACTAGGATTTTCTTAACAGTTCAGAAATGACTGTCGCGTAAGAATTGTAAAAATTTGTCGATGCTACTCAGAAAGAAATGCATCATCAATTTCAACTGCCTTTTATAGTTACATTGTTTATCGGTAATCTCATTTCTGAGTAAGCTCCGCCCATTAAAATAATTAACCCCGCCCACTGGGACTGCTTTCTGGGACTGCTTTCTGGGACCGCTGGGACTGCTGGGACCGCTGTGGGACTGCTATGGGACTGCTTTGGGACTGCTTTGTGTCATGTTGGGTCTGGTTGATATTGTAAATATCTTAATCAATAAGGTGTACTACATGCCTATACCCCCCACAAGATGAAACACTTCCTTTAAGTTTGGCTTAATGGTGGCTTATAGGTCCTTAATGATGGTTTAATGGTTGTCTTTAAGTCACCATTAAGCACCTTTAAGCTACATTTAAGTAATAAATACACCACCATTACGTTACCATTAAGCCATTTCAATGTCCTTAATGGATGCTTAAAGGTAGCTTAATGGTGGCTTAATGGTGGCTTATAGGTGCTTAATGGTAGCTTCTAGACAATCATTAAGTCACCATTAAGCCACCATTAAGCTAGACTTATAGGTGCTTAATGTCCAAACTCCATTAAGCTACCATTAAACGACCTTTAAGTCACCATTAAGTCACCATTACGCAGTCGATAAAACTGCTTTTATGGGTTAAATATTATTTTTATAACGATTTCTTCACAAAAATTATAAATGTCGAGTTTATACGTTTGTTAATTCGGCGAAAATAATGTAAAAGAAACGAAATTAAAAAAAAAAATGAAAAAAAAGCATTCCCAACAGGATTCGATCCCACGACCTTTGGATTGAAGGGCGAACGCTTTAACCACTGAGCTATCGAGGCTGTGAAGTGAAATATAAAACCTTTATTTTTAACAAATCTTGTTTGAAATAGTTACAAATATTTTTCTCTTATGTTTATATTTATTAATCAATAACACAAATAATTATATATATTTAAAAAAAAAAGAGAAAATTTTATAAAGTTTTATATTACGTTAATATTCTTTAACCGTGGACCGGAGTTCGGTGTGATGGTGTGAAACAACTTTTTGATTTTAAGTAACTGAATTCCTCGTTCTGATATTCGCAGATTTATAAGCATGAAAAGATTGAAATTCAACAGATATAACAAAATTTTGTTATTAAAAAGGAATATATCATCGACAGAGAACGATGGGAAAAAAGCCAGATTATAGTTCTTATAAATATGTTGCCGATATTTACGATTTTTGACAATCTTTGCGTAACAAATAAGTTATAAAATATTTTTGTAACACATCATCTCCAGTTTTAATTCTTTTTATATCATTATGGGTATCAAAATAATTGTCTTTTTGTGTACAATCATAATTTCTAATTTGCTATATGCTTGCGTAAATTTTAAGTTTTGTAAAAATAATATATCATCAAAATCTGTCACTGTACGTTCCCGTGTATAGTTTCCCGTTAATTGATCGGAAACTGGTGGGGACACCTAATTAAGGTCTATTGTCTAACTAGTCGATATACTGTACACTGATTATTTTACCCCGCTTCTCAATGTGTATAAATCTGTTCGGATGCCCTGTTTAATCTGATCGGCTGTTCTTCTGAAAATTGATTTTGAAATAACAATCATTGAAGACGGACTAAATTTTGATCAATTCTTACATCTGCATTATTTTAAATAAATTCTTACTTTTGCAGTATTTTAAAAGAAAGGAAAAAATAAAGGCACTTAACCACGAATTTATTCAAATTATTCATGAAGTAATTCAATGATTGGCAATATAATCTATACCTATATATTTTTTTCTATCTTAAACATTTCTCTACCCAAAGAAAAATTAAGAGACTTAGAGATATTCCAGAAGAAAATGACTCTAATTAAAACATTTCCTATGAACTCGGCGGCGGAACGTGGCTCTCCAAACACGAAAGAAAAATATGTGATTTTTAAAAAAAATAATATATATTATGTATTTATGGATAAAAATAATTTTAAAACACGTATTCAAACAAACTGATTTTAGGGAGCGAAAATTTTAAGGCATTTGGTGAAGCTGTTCTCATTTCCCGAGTTTATACGCATTGACAAAAATGTTAGAAATAGCGAGAAAAAAATTATGAATTGAATAAGTATTTGCGTAAATGATACTGAAACAACTTCAAACTTAACAAGTTAGTTTAAAGACTTGATACTGGATGCGTTAAGGTGGTTTAATCAAGTTTGGACATTAAGCCACCATTAAGCTGTAGCTTAAAGGTGGCTTAATGGTAGCTTAATGAAGTTTGGACATTAAGCACCTAGAAGCTGCAGCTTAATGGTGGCTTAATGGTGGCTTAAAGGAATTAACTTCTATAAGCCACCATTAAGCTACCATTAAGCCACCATTAAGCGATTGCTTAAAGATGGTCTTTCGTCCTGTGCCCAAAAATATGATTAAATTTATGAAATATGTAGGTATATAAGTAGCTAATTCTTATTTCCCAGTATTTTGATCCATATTTTAGTCAGACGTAGTGTGTAAAGGTCCATGAAATGATGAAATGAATCCAGCTATCCCATTTGGGTTTATTCATGTAACTGAAGAAAGATCTCAGAAAATAGTTCAGTGTAGAATATGGTGTAAATATCAAACCAAAGGCCTTTCAGTTCTACTCAAGTTAATTATCTCTAAAACAGGAGTACAAAAAAGCAATTTGCTAAAATAACATGATTGATTGTAATATATAACTGCAGTGTTTATATAAGGATTAAATCAAGTTTATTTTGTTCTTGGGTTTATAATCAATAATAAAGCTTAATAATTTTACAAAACTGAAAAGAAATTTGAATAAGCTAAAGCTTCAATTTTGTTCTCAAAATAGAGCCAGGGAAATGTTCTGCTACAGAATGCCTATTGGTAAGGGACCATGAGTAGTGATACACTCTGAATATGTTAAATTGCAGTTTGAGACATATTAAATAATATTCAAATTCTGTTTTTATGTTTATTTTATTTCGGAATTTTGTATAAATTGAATGAATTTAAGAAATAAAAAAATGAGACTTTGTGTTCCCCAGTATTTCCCAGCTAAGAGAAAATTTGTAGCATTTTATCGGGGCGGGAAATACCGGTATTTACCACTGGCAATTCCCACTACTTGTATTTCCCGTCCAACCTTGATATATATATATTTAACGAAAGTATTCAAGCTCAAAAGTCCATTAAACATTACAAAATAGGAGCAGAGCAAACATCTCAGTTGATTCGATATGCAAGAGCATGCTCTACGTATGTACAATTTCTAAAAAAGAGGTAAATTATTGACAAACAAGTTAATGAAACAAGAATATTAGCAGTCTCGTTTAATGTCATCATTTCGTAAATTCTATGGTTGATACAGTGACCTTGTCAGTAAATACAATTTATCATTGAGTCAAATGCTGACCGACGTTTTTCATACTAATTGTTAGGCCATTATTTACACACTGAATTGTCGACGGATTTTTCCGTTATTTCTCGATCATGACAAAGAGCACACAACGGATGAGATCGGTCGGCAGGGGATGCTCACTTCTCCATGGCACCTGATCCCACCTCTGATGTTTTGGAGGTCCGTGTTTGCTCTGCTCCTATTTTGTAATGTTTAATGGACTTTTGAGCTTGAATACTGTTCGTTATCTCCATATATTTCATATATATATATATATATATATATATATATATATATATATATATATATATATATATATATATATATATATATATATATATATATATATATATGAGGGGCATTTGAAAAGTTCTGAGAATTGTGTTTGATAAAATATGAACTGTTTCATAAAAGTTAATAAATTTGATACCATTGAAAAGAGCTGGAAAATTTGCACTTATTTCGATGTCACTTTCTTATTTTTATGACGTATCAACTCCGAAAAGGACGTCTGAATCTCGAATGTTTAGCATACTGAAAAGTCGCGTTTTTGTCCACATGAGAAGATCGAAAAGTGCTGTCAAAGGCTTCTTTGAAAAGATATTTCAAAGAAAATTTGTATTGAGGTAGAGTAAGACTGAAATAATGGTACTGTTTATCTACAATTCCATATTTCATTTTATGGTTGGTATATAAGCACGGTTTATGTCCGGCTATACTATCATACGCATTCATTTCAGATTTTTATTTATGTGATACAGCTGGACTTTCGCTCTATTATATAGCTCTCCATTGTATTAAACAAAACATATTCTGTATAAAACTGATGTGTTTCAATGCAGTTTTCCACAAATGTATCTTGAGTAACAGAACTCTTACCGTTTAGGAATAAAACGTATAAAAGTCTTCCCCCGGACTTGTTTCTGTGCGTATTTTTTTCCGTATTATTTCGACTTTGGCGCTCCTAAACTCACTATTGCTTTAGACTTTCGCCTCAAAAAATGAATCCGATTCATTGCCATGTTCAATCCTATTTATTTTCCATGAGTTAAAATATGCAAATATATTGAGTTATGGTGGGGTTACAACTATGCCGGCGCCATTTTGGTTTTTACAAGAAAAAATGGGGCACCCTAAACGTAACTTCTCTTGAGTTTTAATCGTTTCCACAGAATTAGTTTAATCAGCTGACGAATTAATGCCAGCAAATTTTGTAACACCGTCCACTATTCTCCTTTGATTGTAAACTTTGTCTTATTTACGCAATATTTTGAGCGAGATTCGATAATAACATGCTATATTTGATACACTCTTAAACCATCTCAGACCTACATGTATAGGATCTCCTAAATAAAAAACACCATATGATAGAATGTAGTCTATGTAAACATTATCCCATCTGGCATTTGTCTCCGTTAGCGTGCATCCGAGTAATGAGAAAAAATTGACTTTAAAATTTGAAATTGTGTCTCTTGTAACGTCATTTTTATTATCACTATCCTAAACACACGGGATTCTGTCGTCATATTTTGGAGTTATTACGTCATAAAATGAAATATATGGAGATAACAAACAGTATTCAAGCTCAAAAGTCCATTAAACATTACAAAATAGGTGCAGAGCAAACACGGACCTCCAGAACATCAGAGGTGGGATCAGGTGCCATGGAGGAGTGAGCATCCCCTGCCGACCGGTCACACCCGCCGTGTGCTCCTTGTCATGATCGGGAAATAACGGGAAAATCCGTCGACAATTCAGTGTGTAAATAATGGCCTATCAATTAGTATGAAAAACGTCAGTCAGCATTTGACTCAATGATGAATTGTATTTACTGACAAGGTCACTGTATCAACCATAGAACTTACAAAATGATGACATATAACGAGACTACTGATATTCTTGTTTCATAACTTTTTTGTCAATAATTTACCTCGTTTTAAAAATTGTACATGCGTAGAGCATGCTCTTGCGTATCGAATCAACTGAAAGATATAAACCCCGTATGCAGGTGATGAAGGTATATTGCTGCATAAGTAAGGGAAGTTGACGATTGAAAGGTTAAAGTCATCACGTTTATCATAAAGCTTGGTTGTTAGATTACCATTAACGTCTGTTTCAAGTAAAATGTCCAAATATGAAACAGATGTGTCAGACTCTGTAGTATCTTTTATCTCAAGTTCACCGGGATATATCGTATCGACATAAGAATGGAAATAACAATTGTTAATTGACAATGTGTCGTCGATATATCTAAATGTCGAGTTGAAGGCCACAGCAAGTATTTTCTTCTTATCACGTATAAGATTTTGGACAAATTCTGCTTCATATGAATACAATAAAGGGTTTGCTAATAACGGGGCGCAATTGGTACCCATGGGAATTCCAATAGATTGTTTGAAGACCTGGTCTCCAAAAACCACATAGATATTGTCAATCAGAAACTCGAGCATCTTTTTAATGTTAACTTCAGAGTACTTGTTTGTACAATCAGAATGTTTTTTAACAAAATAATTTTGCGAATGACCAATGACAAGGTAAGTAAATTTACGAGTTCCATTATTGAAAAAGCAGTTGTCAATGATATCAAAAAGCCTGGATTTTAATTTATCGTTGGGAATGGTTGTGTATAAAGTTGAAAAGTCGTAAGTTTTAAAACTGTTGATTTTGGTAAAATCTTGTGATTTCAAATTTTCCAAAAGTTCCTTGGAATTTTTAAGTATCCACATCTGATTTATACCACTTCTCGAATATATTGTTGCACAGTACTCTTGAAGTTTCCCCTTCACTGCTGTTAATATCTTAGTGAGGAGTAAAGAGAGAGGCTTGGTTGAACATTTACTGGAACCCGCTATGTATCTTTGTTTGTAAGGATTTTTTATGAAGTTTCGGAATCCAATATAGATATGGTAATTCAAATTCATTTTGGTTGTTGGGAATATTAAAAATATTTAAAACTGACATATGATTTTGAAGAATTTCTTCCTTAGAAAGAGGACTATGAGTATAAGTTGGATTACCACTTGTAGAATTCAATCCAAGTTCATCTAAAATACATATAATATAATGAGCCTTACAAACAAAGACAATGTTGTTACCTGCTTTGTTAGCAGGGACCAGTACGTACTGATCATGTAATCTATCTAATTTTTTTTCACTTCTGGATTATTGAATACAGAAGGATAGATGGTTCTCATATTGCCCCTCAATCCTTTAATGCGCGATTTTAACAAACATCTGATACATTTAATCCATTCTAACAAAGTGTCAAAGTCTTCTTTTTCATGTCTGGCCAATCGCCTGGCGTAATCCTCTACAGAATCCATAATATTTATGAAATTCCGAATTATGAAAAAATAAGAAACTGGCGTCACAATACGTGTATTTTTTTTTTTTATCTTTCCATTGATATCAAACTCAATTTCCGCTTAACGGTTAATATTTTATCAAACAGTTCTCAGAACTTTTCAGATGCCCCTCGTATAAGTAAAGGGCTTGATAATAGATTTTGATCACGTTGCAATCAGTATTCGAAAAGGTAACTAATTTACTAAAATTTTATGTTTATCGTTTCTGTTTTTGTGCTTTGTTTTATTTTTTTAAGATGTCTTCTTTCCTTAAAAGAAGATATTTAAAAAAAAAACAGAAAGCAGATAAAAAATAAACATAAAATTTTAGTAAATTTGAAATCTTATTGTTCTTATATTCAATTTTACATATACACTGAACATGTATTTTTAAAAATCAGACGAAAAAATACATCCCTGAACAAAATTTTAAATGTCTTTAGCTTCAGAAATACTTCAGTATTAATGAAGTGTATTTGACCTGATACTTACATGAGAATTCAAAGGAATATGCAATTATCAAATACAATAAAATCAATATATAAATAAATGAAGTACCTGATACGTAAAGCCATCATTATCGATATATGTCTAAGGTTTTCCTACAATGCATAGATTACATTCGATTATGTTTCAAATAAAGGTAAAATCAATAAAAAATTAAACTTTGTACAGTTGGATAATTAAAACAATGAAATGGTTAGAAGCACAAGATAAAAAAAGATAAAAACCTGATTTGATGCGACATGAAAAGATTAATTCTCGGCGTGAATCCATTTTGATGAACAAGTTTGTCATCACTATCTGTTGCTTATCTGAATGTAAGATTGCATCCTGTGTCGTAATAGGAAATTTTATAACACTTTTAAAGTATTTGTTTCCACTGTTGGTCTTGCTTAAAAAAATATTGTGAAATATGGAGATAACGTACAGTATTCAAGCTCATAAGTCCATTCAAACAATACAAATCGGGAGCAGAGCAAACACAGACCTCTGAAACATCAGAGGTGGGATCAGGTGCTATGGAGGAGTGAGGATTCCCTGCCGACCCGCTGTACTCCTTGTCATGATCAGAACAAGAGGCCCATGGGCCACAACGCTCACTTGAGTAATTTTGGTCCTGCTTTTCCTCACCAGACTTTCCCCCATGTAATACCTATTGTGGCCCCATCCTACCCCCAGGGGTCATGATTTGACATTTTTTAATCTACACTACTCCAGGATGCTTCCGTATAAGTTTCAGCTTTTCTGGCCCAGTGGTTCTTGAAAAGGAGATCTTTAAAGATTTTTCGTGTATATTTCAATGTAAAAATTAGATTCCCTATTGTGGCCCTAACCTACTCCCATGGATCATGATTTTAACAATTTAGAATTTACAGTATCCCAAGATGCTTCTACAAAAGTTTCAGCTTTTCTGGCCCAGTGGTTCTTGAGAAGATTTTTAATATAAAAAAAGGTCTTCTAATTACGGGGCTCAATTGGTACCTGGTCACCAAAAACTACATAGATAGTGTCAATCAGAAACTCAAGCACCTTTTTAATGTCAACTTCAGAGTGCTTGTGTGTACAATCAGAATGTTTTTTAACAACATAATTTTGCAAATGACCAATTGCAAGGTAAGTAAATTTACGAGTTCAATTTTTAATGAAAGAGCAGCTGTGTTAAAACCACTATTGAAATAACGACCACTGTTAAATAATTATTTCAATAGTGGTTGAAAATGAATTTCAAAACTAAAAAACCTGGTTGAACTACTATTGAAATAACGTTCACCATTGAAATAGTTATTTCAATAGTGGCTAAGAATGCATTTCAAAACTAAAATCTTGGTGGCAACTACTATTAAAGTAACATTCACCATTAAAATAATTAGTTTAATAGTGGATAAGAATGCATTTCAAATTCAAAACCAGGTTACAACCACTATTGAAATAACATCCATTATGGATTTTTTTTTTTATTAATTGTTCATTATGTTTCCAACTTTACAAATGAATTTGTTGAGTTTTAGATATGATATGTAATTTTATGTTTTCCCTTTTTTTGTAGAATTGTAATATTAACACACGGACATCAATGATTTAACCGAAGTACCTCATCAGAGACTTAAAGAGGCTAGGGGGTTGTGGCCATTTTTAGACTATATTGATCTCCTTTAGAAGAAGAGCTCCATATGAAGATATAGAAAATGATCAAATTTTAAAACTAAAATTTTTGAAATTTTTCTTTGCCAAATGATAGTTGACAGCTTAAGATATCATATCTAAAAAAATAAGTTAAATCTGGTGGTTAATTTGTGGTTAATTTGTTGACCCCCCAGCCTCCTTAATTTGTTCATGTCACAAGGTATATTTCTATGTTGCAACCACTATTGAACTACAGTGTAACATTAAATAACATTAAAATAACATTCAAATACCTAATCAAAGACTGATACTTACTAATGAGAATATGGTTATGTTTTATCAAAGTATAAAGAACAGACCAAAAATGTATCTTTCATTTTATAACAAAAGATTACTTTTCCATTGAAACGAGCATTTATTTTGAGTTTTCAAAGTTAATATGAAAAATTTAAATGCAATCATAAAAATGACCTACCGGTAAGCTTCACACTGTAGTTTCCAAAGCTAATATTTATCTTACCCTGCCACTTTATTTTCCTATATTAAATTTAATATCAGTTTATTGACTTAGCTACCACTATTGAAATAGTTATTTTAAAGACGATTGTTATTTCAGTAGTGGATGCAATAAAGTGTTGTTTTTGAAACACATTTTCACAATAAATAATTATATCAATAGTGGTCGGTATTTCATTAGTGGTTACAGTATAGTGCTGTTTTTGAAATGCACTCTCTTCCACTATTGAATTATTTCAAAAGTGGTCGTAATTTCAATAGTGCTTGGTTGCAACACAGCTGTCAATAATGTCAAAAAGCCTGGACTTTATTGTGGGAAATGGTTGTATAAAATGTTGAAATAAGGTCGTACGTTTTTATGTTATCGATTTTGGTAAAATTTTGTGATTTCAAATTTTCTAAAAGTTCCTTGGAATTTTAAGTATCCATATCTGATTTACACCACTTCTTGAATATATTGTACAGTATTCTAGAAGTTTCTCCTTCACTGCTGTTAATATTTTAGTGATGATTAAAGAGGTGAAGTAGAACATTTACTGGCAACCGCTACATGTATGTATCTTTGTTTGTAAGGGATTTTAAGAAGTTTAGAATCCAGCATAAATATGGTAATACAAATTCATTTTGATTGTGGGAATATTAAAAATATTTAAAAATGACGTATGATTTTGAAAAATTTCCTTCTTAGAAAGGGAGCTTTGGGTAAAAGTTATATTACCACTTGTAGAATTTAATCCCATTTCTCTAAAATACAATTAAAATAATGAGCCTTACAATTTACAAACAAAAACAAAGTTGCTACCTGCTTTGTCAGCTGAAACCAAAACAATCTGATCGTGTAATCTGTCTAAATTCTTTTTTCACTTCTGAGCTATTGAACACAGGATAGTGGTTTTCATATTGCCCCTCAATTGCTTAATGCGAGATTTTAACATCCATTTGATACATTTAATCCATTCTGACAAAGTGTCAAGGTCTATGTTTGGCCCATTACATTATACCCTAGTCCACATCACAGGGTCTTGGACAATATTTGCAAAAACTGGTATTTTCACCTTTTTGCCCAGATTGTTTTAAGAGCCTGTGGTCCAAATAGATTAATCTAGAATCAATTTAGCTGGGCGCAGGTACACAAATACAAAGTTTATCACAAAAAAAATGGCATTTCTATCTTAAAAGGGGGGGGGGGGGGGGGTGTCAATATCAAACTCTTGATCCGCAGTTTATGAAAGAAGGGGGGGGGGGGGGCTTGTCAATATCAAACTCTTGATCCGCAGTTTTTGAAAGAAAGGGGGGGGGGGGTTCTCAATATCAAACTCTTGATCCGCAGTTAATGAAAGAACTGCTTTAAATCCAAGAAACTAAGGCCTTTTAGACCCTTATCTTTTCGTAATTTTCTTAATGGGAATAGAAAAAAAAATACCTACATATACTAGTATTTATTATCATGCAACAATAGGGAAAAAATACGAGTGTGTTGGAAACAAAAAATTTAATGTCAAAAAGCAATATATAACAAGATTGTTTTACACCAAGTTTCAACTTAATGATAGCACTTGTTGATTATGTGATTTCCATAGCAACGGTCACATCAGGTCATGCCCTGCCTCGTTTTGAGGTTGATGAGTATGTCCCTCATTAAGAACACTTCACACGTGTTACAGACGGTTATCATGGAATCCAATGATGACGTTTTCCTGCCGCGGAAAGCTCTAACTCCACACCCCATCACAAAACAGTGAAGATTACTGAAAATTACATATTTGTGGCAATGCCACTTCTAAAATGTTTGCATTTTATGTCACTCTATACAATAAAAGTATATATGGAACTCATTTTAATATGTCTAAAATAATTTTACAAAAAAAGTAAACTCAGCTCAATAGTTCTTCCAAAGAATAATATCTACATAATAAATGGTGAGCAATGCTGGAAAATAAGCTAAAACTCAATAAATAAACTTTTAAATACACAGTATTTAGAAAATGTAGATGATTAAGGAATCATTCTCAATACCTGAGAAGCTCTACATAGTAAAAAAAACATACCAAGCAATGTACAGATTAAATTCTCATTAACTACATGTACTTATGAAATAAATGCCAGTATAAATACATGCATCAGTAGATTAAAGAATACATGTTAATATCAAAATTCTTTGACATATATGATCCAAGATTTTCTTCCTGATAATTAAAGCATGATTTTCCTTCTTGAATAAACAGATAATCTAATATTATTTTTTCTAAACTAAAATGACAAAAATTATATCTACTCCGATTGATTAGCAAATGAATATCTGTAAATTAAACATATGTACTATGCAATATCTGTATAACAATACAGATATTGCATAGTACACTCATTTTGTGGCTCAATGTCTGTTTTTACTATTGAAATTCTCCAATGTAACATCCTACTCATTTTACAACAAGCTTATCACAAGATACATGTATGTGCAATTACTATCATCAACCATATCCAGATTTGTTTAAGTAGATATGAGATGACAGAGCAAAGTGTATTAGTATGAAGAATGTATTTAAGTCTACAGTTTGTTCTGGGGGTTTTACAGTCTAGAGTTTGGCCTGGGGTGGGGGTTAGAGCTTGCTGGTCCAGCGGCAGGGTTTAACCTCAGCAGCCCGACTGTTGAGTGTCCATTCCACTTCTCTTGGTCACGTTCATTGTAGTAAAGGTCTAAAAATTGAGCATCAATTTGAATTCTTTGTACATTTACAAAAAGTACATGTATATTTTTGGAGTTCATGAGCTTTACTTCTGTTGAATAAAAATTTAGATTTCTTAATGAAAATGTGCTCTGAAAATTAAACATGTTCAGATATGTTATTTTTTCAAACTGATACATATGATATGGTGTTTTAATTTAATGAGAATTAAGTACAACTCCTAACCTCTGCACAAGTAGGATGGATTCCAATAGTGGCATCAAAGTCAGACTTCTTAGCCCCTAGTCTCATCCCCACTGCAAATCCCTGTGTCACCTCCCCTGCATTGGGACCTAATACATGGAAGCCAATTACCCTCTCCTGAAAAACAAAGTAAGTATTATACATAAACAGATAACAGAAAAGGTGGAAAATGCTGTACTTGCTAAAAAAAAAAACATCGGAGTATAAATGTAATCTGATAAGCCATATGGCTTAAGGAATAAATAAACAAACAAACAATAAATTCTTTGAGATCTCAATACCGGTAATGCTCAAATTTAAGAAGAGTCCCAAGGGCCTTAACAGTCGCTGAGTATGTAAAGGATCCATAGAATGGCCATTTGATGATTATATAATAAAAGAAACTAAATTCACAGAGGAGGTGATGTTGCTCATAAACAAAAAAAATAGGACAATCGTTGATCAACAAAATAGTTGTCTAGTAATTTGCAACAACTCTGAAAGTAGATTTACAGTTGAGTTTTGTTAATCCAGACACTTCTGTTCCTAAGCAAATCATCCGGATCATACTTGGTATATATGAATAAAAAATTGTTCCCCACAAATTTCTTCGGAAAGTGAAGTATCTGGATTATTGGTGTCCAGATTAAAGAGGACACACTCTAATTTTCAAAAAAAAAAAATCTTCCTTACTCCACATCAAGCAAACTGCTGGCATGATACAGTAAAACTCAGATATAACGAAGTCACTGGGACCTGTGAAATTACTTCGAAATATCCATAATTTGTTATATCCGTATAAGAAATTCGTTAAATTTATATAGCTGGGGATCCAAGAAAATTTTGCTATATCCGTGAATTCGCTAGATCCGTGTTCGTACTAAATGAGTTTTACTGTAATAATCAGCATTAAGCCCTCTACTGAAATTGTGAAATTCATGACACGTTTTCTGGTGTTAGGATGAGGCTCTATTGATCATAAATTGCAAAAGCCTAAATTCTTTAAAAATCCCTCCCCCATGTTTTTTGCAGGCAATATTAAGTGCAATGATACGATGAACAACTATGCTTCTACCTGAAGGATCTGGTGTTAGTGTGGGGCTCTATTGCTCTTATAGTAAAATTGCATGGTTATGATCTCCTAATGTATATTGAGCAGACAAATTAAGTGTATAGCTATCATGAGCAAGGGTGCCTTTTCCAAAATTGTGAAATTCATGGCCCCTTGGTCAAGGGTTCTGGTGATTGGGCACAATTTCTCTACAAATTATAAGAGGAACCTTACATTAATCTGGATGCTTCAATAACCCAGATGATTTGCTCAGGATCACAAAAGTCCAGATTTACAATGCTTAACCATACATTAATTTTGATGGTTTTGGCCCCATCCCTCAGGTCCCAGGGAGGCAGAGACTATGAAATTCACAATTTTTGTTCCCCATACCCATAAATGCATATAAATACATATACAAAAATTGGTTGAAAACTGGCTCAGAAGTTTAGGAGAAGACAGAAAATGTTCAAAAGTTTACGACAGATGAATGGCGCATGAAAACAGCAGATAAAGATATTCAAGATCAGACATAATACCTTTTCAGGAATGAGGCAGATGAGTTTAGCATAGCAGGAATTCTCTGGTCGTTTGGCCACTGTCCACTCCAGAGGCCAGAAGTTGGTGTGATAAACCTACAATGAAGAAATCAGTTATTGTGGAATCATTAGATTTTGTGGTGGCTCAAAATTTGTGGAATTCATGGGTACTCTGCAGTGCATCCACAATTCACAACCTTAACGAATTAATAATTGGGGTTCTCGAGTAATCTTTCCTTTTGTAGATATGAGTGAATGCACAAAATTACATCCCCTCGAACCTGTAAAATTTAGGCTATCCACGAAAATTGGCCTCCACAAATTTTAATGATTTCACGGTAAGTTAAGCCAAGCATGAACTTCTAAATCAAACTTATGACAAGGACTTCAGTTTCATATATCAAACATACAAACATCAATCCAACACTAATTTAAATCTCAATTTTTATTCAGTCTCCTCTGAATACTCAAATAGCCATTTTATCTTGATTCATATCAATATATCTTGACTTCCTAGTTACCACTAAAAAACAGATTGTTGGAGGGTTTTTTTTAAATGAAAGTTTGCCGAGCACCAGGCAAATATACAAGAAAAAAGTTCCAATGTTTAGAAAAGAAAATCCCATGTTAAATTACCTCAAGTTTGTCCTCCCCAAACTTTTTGATGGCGTCTTCCTCTGAGTAACCAATACAGCCATACTCTAGGGGGGTGAAAACTGTGGTTGGCACATTGATGTAATCAGTCTAAATCAATAAAGAAAAAATATTCATGATTGGAGTAACATGTTCTTCAGGACAGATGGCAAACAAACCTTAATTTTCAAAAAAAAAAAAAAAAAACAACTACAACAAAAAACAACTAAGTCTATGTTTACATAAGTAACATGAATAAGTTTATCTGAATAAAATTTCAATTTTCATTCAAAGCTTCTCAGCAGTGTCCTATAAAGTGTGAAAAATTTGTACAGATTTATAAGAGTGATGACAAAAAGGAAGAAATTTGAACATAAAAGAAAGTCTACAATTTCTCAATAATTTAGAGATTTGATGTAAGCATCAATTACAACCAAATTAAGTCCAAAAATGTATACCAATCCATGCATCCATTTTTTTTGTTTGTAGTATGTGTCTTAATTGAACATGTAAACGGTACCTTCAAACAGGTGTTTAAAAAAAAATTTTTAAATGTGTGTATATCAGAGTATTGTACATGTAGCATATCTAGGTGAATGGAGGTGTGTTAAAAAAAAAATAAAACCATGTATCCAGGTACTATGTTTTAACAAGGTTATAATGTTTACCAAGAATAATTTAGTTCAAGTGCAACATAAACCAACCAAAAAACCAGAATATATGGTGCAGTGAATTTTTAAAACAGCAACAACAAAAAAAAAAGAAAAAAAAGAAAAAGAAATTGTTTAACTGATGATCTTGTGTATAGTCTACTCACTACTGCGTTAGAACTCACCAGTTCCTTACTGAGCCCATACAGTCTATTTGACAGGAGTTTTCCGGCCTGAATCGCTACAGGAGTCAGCTCAGGCTTCCCCTCACAGATGTCCCCGATAGCGTAGATATTGGACACATTGGTATTCTCCTCCTCATCCACAGGGATAAACCCATTCCTGTAAGATAAGTGGTTTTCTATGTTTGCAAAATGGTGGATATTATGTAGTTCGCCATTCGTTGAGTCTCTGCGTGCATCTTGCTTTGAACAAGCCAAAACCAGAGAAAAAACACTCAAACACATAAATTCTGTGGTCACAGGTTCAGTACTTGTTTTTTTCCCCAACATTTTGAATTTTGCTTTAAATTTTTTTTCTCAAAAATTGATAAAAATATGCCACTGTAGGTTTGTTTGTGTCTGTGTGTGTGTTTGTTTACATGTAAGTAGACAGGCTTTTCAATTATAAGCTGAATAGAGAGAAAATACTTGGAATGGCCCTATATATTTGAAATTGTACGTAATAAACTTGCTCACTTGTTCGTTTTAACTCCCACTTTTTCCAGACCAATGCTTGATGTACATGGATCTCTTCCAATTGCAAATATCACCTGAAAACAGCATCAAGAATTTAAGAACAAAAGATAAATGTTGTCTCCAACTACATGTACAGGTATATACAAAAGTAGAAACCAATTTTGTAATACATTTCTTTTTCACAAAGTCCTAAAAAATTGGAGTTGATTTTCGACTTTAAGATATTTATCAAAAAAAAAAAAAAAAAAAAAACGATTCATCATATTTATAGTTTAATCAAAAATTACTTCTGATGATTGCTTACAGTGTTAAATTCATCAGTAAACTCCATTCCATCTTCATATTTCCCTGTTACCCTGTATTTCCCAGGCTTACCATCCTCTAGCTTTTCAATCTGTCAATTCAGAAAAGTCAAGTGAGGCAAGCTAAACACACACACAGATGATGTGAATAACAATAATAAGCCATACAATTTTTATTTTTTTAAAACAGATGATGAAAAATTGTGCACAAATTATACATGTAATCTGTAATGATGGTCTATCTTCTCTGCTAAGTTTTTTTTTACATAAAACACACATCAGGATAAATAGCACACGTGTATCTGCAAATCCTCATGCTCTTACAGTTAATTAACTCATAGTCATGGACCCCCCATCCCCATATTTCAGACTCCAAAGAGCTCTTCTTCAAACAAACTTTATCAATAAACTAAACATGAATCCCCTAAATTTCAAGTTGCACTCATATAATCATGGAACTATAAAACTCTTATTTCCATATAAACTTTCAAAGGTAAGTTGTGTTTTGATGCAACATATACAACATGTGTCAGTGTTTGACATCTTGTGATGCACATCCACTGCCAACTAAAACGTCCAAAAAACTATGGATAAAACTGTACTATGAGGAGGATTAACCTTGGTAGGCACACAGGGCCTTATGAAGTTGATCCCCTCCTGTTCCATGTAATCTCCAATCTTCTCTGCCATCTGCTGGTCAAATCCTCGAAGCAGGATGGACCGGACCATAATGGTGACATTAAGCCCCAGGGCATGAAGAAAGCCCCCACACTCCAAGGATACATAGGAAGCTCCCACTAGTAGTGTTTTCCCAGGACAGTATGGCAGGGAAAACAGATCATCACTATAAGAGGTAAAAAAACTTTTAATATAAATGTTTATTTAACCATGTCATGAACAGCCATTTATATTACATAAAAAAAAACAAACAATAAAATTAGACAGCTAAAAAAAATGCACGTATAAAATTCAAGTTTTAGTAATCTTTCAGTGTGAAATAATTTTAAACATGCATGGCATTCACATGAAATTATGTAGCAATTCTTTTAACCCTCAACATACCTAGTGATTCCATATTCCTTGGCCCCTGGGATGTCTGGGTATCGGGGTCTCTCCCCCATAGCTAGGACAAAATGATTGGCTGTCTTCTTTATCTCCTGGCCTTTCTTATTCACAGCCTGCAACAGACAGCTAGCGATTATTTTTCATTATACATTGTATACATGCATCTTATGTTGACTGTCAAGATGTCAAAGTGAATTTTCAAATTTTGATTATACATAATATAGCACACATTGCACGATACATAATGTGTTGTATAAGAAAAAGGAAGAATATATAATTTCTATAGACATTATTAAAACTTTACATTACTTGATCGCAGTGTTTGAAATAACCTTGGTCCTACAGCCTGAGATACATAAATTTTGCCGCAGGAACAAATTTGCTTGTATCAACACCCTGCTGTATGTGATTAGCAGTAATTAAAAATTTACATTAATAAATCTGTCTCATATTGTTTTATTGTCCGGGTAGCAAAGTGTAACAAGCAAAGTGGCAGAACTCATAATCACTTCAATAGAAGAGACAACACATCTTTTGAACAACTTTTTAGGATTGGCACCTGCCAGACACAAGGTAGTCAATGTAACAACTTATGTGGTTTATTATACTAATGTATGTAAATAAAAATAATTTTTGAAAAAGGCAATTACTTTCTCTGGCTTGTAGATCTTTGGCAGGGCTGACAACTTTTATCAGCAATTGGTCCTGCATGTCTAGCTATAACCTTATGGTGAGTTTCAAACACTGTTAATTATTAAGCCCAATCACTTATTCAGTCCAATATGCTTAATAAAGACAGTCTGTGCTTGTGTGAATGAGTTTATATATTATACCTTGATAGTGTGTTCATCTATGAACTCGGCATAAGCATTGTGGTAGTCCACCTTTTTGTCCCTCAGCTGGACCCTGTATCCCCAGTTTAGGGATCCAATGTAATCCTGTAACACATATGTACATGATTTTACAAACGTCAGTTTGTCACCCATATCATATCACAGATCTGGGTGCAAAAATAAATAAAATTCTACTACCTGGTATTATGAATAAAAATTTAAAAGGGCATTAAGGATATCTGATAATTTTTTTCCCCTGATTGTTATATATTTCAGCATATTTTCTTTTAGCCTATATTCCATATTCAGCATTAAAAATGTTACATACTTCTGTTAAATTCAATTAAAGAAATCGTAAAGTTTTTCATTATTCACAATCATTTGGTCTTTTCAATTTCTCCTTAAATTCTCCACATGCACTATTCTATTGATATCATATGCATTAATGAGACACAAATCAATATAAACGTAGATTTACTGTGTACAGTAATGAGCACACCATCAGGTGTACACAGTTCAATGACTTACCTGAATGGCATCCTTCATTGTTGTCCAATTATGTTTAACTGCAGAATAAAATGTAGAATTCTGAATTAACATGCAGTTTATTATCTTCTTCAAATAATTATATATTTTAGAAAAAGGTTCAAGTTTCTGGCAAAAGAATCCTATGTATTGAACTGACCATTTTCTGGGACTTCCCATCCAAAGTTACGGGCATCCTGGAGTCCATGTCCTTAAAGAATTCAAGAAGACATGATCAATACTTGAAATCAATTAAGGCATCAAAACGCAGGATTCAATCTCTTATTTCTCTACTGCCATGAGCTATACTATCATTTAACGAACAAAAAAGCATGACTGTATATCATTTTATTTCACAAATATTCACTATTACTACACGTACCTACATTTAAGAGACACAGATCAAGAGATGTTTGTTGTGAAAGCAGGTTGGGGGAGTGTGAAATTTTGTGTTATGAAAAGAATTTTATGTAGCAGGAAAAACGTTCTTGAAAAATCATGGGGTTATTGAGAGAATGACGATGAATTTAACAGCAATAATTCAAGAACTGACTGTAGATTGGAAACAGTTCAAAAGGACAAATCTTTCCTTACCTAATATAGCAGCCTGATGCATCAGCTTCTTAGGGATACATCCAACATTGACACAAGTCCCTCCCAAACCTACAAAAATGTACAGACATTGTATGAACAATGTCATGTACTTCTTATTTACTGTGCAGTAAGATTTCATATCTTTCCAGTAGGTTTCTTGTCTAATATAATTTTTTTATCCTTTCTCTGCACAGAATTATGAGCTAGAATACCGTAAATAGATTTTATTTGGTGTGTACGATATTTGGCGGAAATTGATTTTTTAACAAGTTAGCATAGATTTGAATTAGCACTTTCTGAACGTGCTTTATATATAATGAATATATGTAAACAAGACATTTAGCGAATTACTTGATTAAGCGGAAGATGCTGTCAGTGAAAGGCACTAAATAGAATACACAGTGAAATGTAATACAATTACAGTATTCATTTTATTTTCCTCTTTTGCAGAACATTACCTGACATCATAAATGTACTCAAAATAATATGTTGTGCAAGTCTTGCAGGTGCATTTTTGTTTGTTTTTGCACTTTGTGAAATTACATGTCATGATTAAAAAAAATGAAATTTTTAAAGTCACTTCATTAAAAACAGACTCTAAAAGGTTGCAAGCCGTTATACGTTAACATGGCTGAAAATAAATTTTACCTTCAACAACTATTTACTTTTGCATAACTATATCAAAATATGTAACAAGTAGACAGATATTATGTGCATTTATCATGTTTATGTCCAGACTTAAACTTTCTTGACACCCCCTTTTCCCTCCACTAAACTGTCCATACCCCAGGTTGTTCCTATTGGAGTTGGTTTGACAAAATCAAATACAGCCACCTTCTTTCCAAGGCCTGCTGCCTCCTACAGGAAAAATTACAATAACTATTAGTGAACTTAAATAAAATGTATGACAGGCCTCCTACAATAAACATGATTAGAATAACTATTAGTGAACTTAAATAAAATGTATGATAGGCCTCCTACAATAATATGATCAAAATAACTACTAGCATTAATTAACAAAGTAAAATGAAAAATGGGACAAATGAAAAAAGACTTCTACGACATAAGCTACACTACATAAACTTCATAGCATAAAGCAAGACAAATTTTTATTCTATAGTTATATCTTTTACCTGCAGAAAAAAATCAATAGTAAATCTTAAAGGAATATTGTATAACATACCTTAGAGGCTGCCAAACCACCTGATCCACCACCTATAACAATTAGATCATAATCATAGGAAGTTCCCATATTTAACATCTGCTGGAGTCTTCCTTCCTTGTGAGCCTTCAGTGTATCATCGCATCCTCCTTAAATATATATAAAGCATTGCGTTACATACATCCAAGTCAGAAAAAAATAAATAATAAATAATGGATGTAAAAAACAGGGTTCACTAAGGAATTCACTGTGGAATCATGATTGTTCTGACCAATGTTCTGGGATTTTATAGGTCACGCTCACTGTGCTTATATACAAATTTACGTCCCCATGGGAACAATAACCTTGACAACATATTTGTTCATTGAATTCTCTGTGTAAAATTTTGTCCCCAGGAACCAGTAAAATTTCAGGTGCCAACTAAAACTGGCCCCAGACCTTGTTATCTCAAACTCAATGGGACTGGGAAAAAAACTTTGAGACATCCAAGGATTCAAAACATCAAGGTTGAAATACATGATAGAGGAAGAATAGTTCAGACTTCCAACTCACTTCAACATATCCATGGTCTTAGAGATATTAATGTTCAAAATAACAAAGTTCAACTGTAAAACAATTCCACAATATTTATAGCCCTGTGAAATTTCTCTAACAGCAACATCAATTACATTGACTTTAAAACATGCACCTAAAATAACAGCTAATTACTGGACTCTCAATATTCCTAACATCTAATAACACTGACAGTTTTTTCTTGCCAACTCAATCTATTTATTATCATGACACTATATTATATATTAAACATAGGTAATCAGAGATTACAGAGCTCACCTCAACGAATGTTGTCTTTAAGTAAGGCAAAGTCCCACACTAAACTAATAATCTAGGAGTGTGCATCCCTAGATACAACATTTATGCAATTTTGGTCTGATAGGGCTTGCAGTTATTTGGGAATAGACTTATCTGAAAACTTAAAACTAGTCACTCATCCAGAAAATGTAAGTCAAATCCAGCATCCGAAGCAAGTTTTGAGATTGTTCGTCCCTTGATGCATCATCCATGCAAGTTTGGTTCAGATAGGCCTTATAGTTACTTGGAAATGAGATCTGCTCCAAAAACTTTAACCTGGTCACTCATCCGGAAAATTTAGGTCAGATCCAGCATCCGAAGCAAGTCCAGTAGTGTGCATCCTTAGATGTATCATCCATGCAAGTTTAGTCAATATAGGGCTTATAGTTACTTGGAAATGAGATCTGCTCCAAAAACTTTAACCTGGTTACTCATCCGGAAAATATAGGTCAGATCCAGCATCCGAAGCAAGTCCAGTAGTGTACATCCTTAGATGTATCATCTATGCAAGTTTGGTCAATATAGGGTTTATAGATACTTGGAAATGACATCTGCTCCAAAAACTTTAACCTGGTCACTCATCCGGAAAATATAGGTCAGATTCAGCATCCGAAGCAAGTCCAGTAGTGTGCATCCTTAGATGTATCATCCATGCAAGTTTGGTCAATATAGGGCTTATAGTTACTTGGAAATGAGATCTACTCCAAAAACTTTAACCTAGTCACTCATCCGGAAAATATACGTCGGATCCAGCATCCGAAGCAAGTCCAGTAGTGTGCATCCTTAGATGTATCATCCATTGAAGTTTGGTCAATATAGGGCTTATAGTTACTTGGAAATGAGATCTACTCCAAAAACTTTAACCTAGTCACTCATTCGGAAAATGTAGGTCGGATCCAGCATTTGAAGCAAGTTCAGTAGTGTGCATCCTCAGATGTATCATCCATGCAAGTTTGGTCAATATAGGGCTTATAGTTACTTGGAAATGAGACCTGCTACAAAAACTTTAACCTGCTCCAAAAACATTAACCTGGTCATTCTTTAGCTGAAATTGCAGCATCTGAAACCTTGACTGGTACAATGAAACACATTAGAAGCATCCTCCATGCATCTCTGACTAATATAGGCCATAGAAGTACTTGAAAAGAAAACTGCTCTAAAAACCTTAACCTGGGACGCCGACACTGACGCTGAGGGTATTACATAAGCTCCCCCAACTTCGTTGAGGTGAGCTAAAAAGCACTGTAAGTTCCACTTATTAAAAATTTCATCCAAATTGATGCTATATAATATGGAAATTAAATGATGTCAATAAATCTTGATCTACGTTCGAATATTTGAAATACAACACATGTGATGTTAGCATACCTTGATAAAAGCTTATTTTAACATTCCTTAATTGCAATGCTTATTTTCTCTTCACTATACTAATTAACATAACACTTCAAAATTCCTAATTCTTGGAAATCAATACAGATACCAACACTTACCACACATAAAACACATCATGATCATGTCACCAAAATCCCAAAATTATAGATCCTTTCAGCATCTCACAATTTACGATATTAATCATACTCATTTTTCCATTCCTGCACACTGAAACAATCCCCTTACTCATACATTTCCCCGATAATCTGACAGCATGCTGCATGCATCTTTTCAATCATAAACTCTTATTCCTTAAATTTGAAACAATTTCCGGCAAAAACAAACACTGACCAATTTCTTGTGTATTAGTGCTTGTGTATTAGTGCTAAACATTATAAGGTCACAAGACGAAATTCATGAAGCCTGTCATCAGAGTCCAAGTTTTTTTTAATTATCTGTCAGGCAGGTATTAACACTTTCATCTTCACCTGGGTATTCACGAGCTGATTAAATCTCAGCTCTTTTATTGAAGCGGTTTCCAGATGAAAAGTTAATTAGTAGATAGCCATACATGCATATCCTTGAATTAAGATACTGCTGTTCATTTGCATCAAAAATTAGATTGTATTCATAGCTGAAGAGCAATTTAATACTAGCAAGGAATATCACATGGGAACAAATGTTTGAATAAAAAAAAAAGGTTTATTAATTAGTTTAGGTACTTCCACAAATAAGAGGTTTAGGGCTTTTTAATAATATCAATTACTTATCAAGCATTATTAGTTAACTTTTTCAGCTCTTTGACAGAGATATGTGAATAACAAACAGAATTCATTTGGTAGAGAATTGAAGGACACAAATATACATAGCATGCCTCCTGGGAGGAAAAAATCTATTATATATAGAGGATATTCAATGTTTTGTAGATGAATATGGAATTTATTTCACAAGTGGGACAGGATTTTTTTATATTTTCACAAGTGCGAAGCACGAGTGAAAATATCAAAAAATCCTGTCTCACAAGTGAACTAAATTCCATATTCATCTACAAAACATTGAATTTTCTGTTTATTACATTTTCTTTGATTTTCCCTTTGCCTCTGTCTTTTCTTAACACAGTGTCATAGGCTTGACGTCATAGATGAACGGTTGAAACGTCATAGCTTAGAAGTTGTGCGACTGAAAACATTACATAGCATGGATTTTAGCAACATATTTGGGAAGAAATTTGCAGTTTTAGCTCTATCAAGATGCTTAGTCACTATCTCTATCTTATGACAGGCCAGAAATTATTTTTTACTTACTTTGATATCCTTTCACACTGTGAGAGAATATCATTTTTGGTATCCTTTCACACTGTGAGAGAATATCACTTTTATTCAATTAATAAATCACAGTATTTCACTGTTGAAAATGTAATAATATGAAAAATGTCACAATAATTCATCATGTACAATATATGTATAATATGAAAAGAAAATGATGACTTGCAAGACAAATTGACTGAACATACTTGGGCCTTATAAAATTCTTAAAATACCAATACTTTATGTGTGTGTGTATAAAATTACCTCTCTGACAGATGTGTAAAATTCTGCCTCAGAAAGTTTAACTTTTGGACAAAATTTACCAACTCCATCCTACGGTACATTAAATTAGCCTACTTTCAATCATGACATAAAATAATTTTTTGGAAACTTTTGAGTTAAAGCCTTTGAATCTCTTTCATCCCTGCACAACCTGTACTGAAAATCACTTCTTTGGACTTTTCTGTGTAAAAAAGAGGAAGAAGTGAAGCAATATTTTTGTCTTGGGCAGAAAAAAAATTTCCAAAAAAGTAGATTTCCTTGGTTCTGAAACCTGTAATTTTCTGAAACCTAATACTTTCAAAAATTGAACAAAATTTGCATGGATGATGCAAAAATATTCTATTTTTATAAATTTTCCCATTTTGTGTCGCTTTAATAATAATCTCTCTGATGTTGATACTATCCAAATGACCTTGGTTCATTTTGTAAATAGAGCATCAGGTCAAACCAATTCAACAGAATAAGGATACTTGATGTCTTTAAGTATTTTTTTTCACTTTCAACACGAAGCCTCAACCATTTGGACAATTTTTTTTTTTACAATTTTGAAAGGAAATCTTTAGGAAATCTTAAAAATCTGCTAACTTTACAAAACAAATTTAGTTGTAAACAAATTAAAATTGATTACCTCATTAGTGGTTCTTGTGTACTCATTAGAGATACTCAGCACAAAACGGATCATTGTAATGAGGCAGATAGAACGTTGCCTTGCCAATTACAGGGAACACTTAACAATCACTTTATTTGGAGATCGACCTTGAATTCTTCAGGTTACTGCTACATGTATTAATGAATATTGCTTCAATTAACATTAGGACCTCGCAATCGGAAAGGTACATTTATATTCACTCATGAGATAGCATCATCCTAAGAAAACAGGTAATCAGAAATTGCAGAGCTCACCTCAACAAATGTTGTCTTTAAGTAAGGCAAAGTTCCATACTAAAGTAATAATCTAGTAGTGATCATCCCTAAATGCATGCAACGTTACATTTATGCAATTCTGCTCTGATAGGGCTTGCAGTAAATTGGGAATGGTCTTATAAAAAGATTCTAATAGTGTTGAAGTTCTAGCAAAAAAAAATTAAAAAAAAATGTTTTCCACAGCAGAAAACAATTTAATTAACTGTATAAATGCCTATGCTAGGTTACAAAATGTTCAAGTTATTGCATGACAAATTAATGCTCATAGTAATCCTTAATCTCATCCCTAGACCTTAACCATGATTCCAAAATTTACAGATACCTTCCTCAAACTATTCTCCATCTATACACTATATATATATAAATATATATATATATATATATATATATATATATATATATATATATATATATATATATATATATATATATATATATATATATATATGAGATCTATAAGATACAGATCTATATAGTTACACTGTATTGCATAACAATAACCACATCTATAGTCTGGACAGCGATTTTTTTCTACCCATTGGGAAAGGGTCTGGTACCGGTTCAGTTGGGAAAAATAGCATCGAAGTAGATCAAAGGAGAATTTTCTGGCATTTAAACAAATGAAACATATTTTCAGTTTATTCCAACTTCATTACATATTACCCCGTGTTTTAAAGAATAAACAACAAGTATTTATTGTTTTTCATATCACTGTCCCTTGTTTTCACATTTTCATGCTTTCAATTTGTCAAAATGTATGACATTACGCTGTCTACACCACAGGTCCTGCCATATTACGACTAATCTCTGCTTTCGATTCAAGCGGAAGTGAAACAATTAGTCAACTTGTACAACATGTACAATGTTTCATTTAAAAAGAAATACAATGTCATCATCGTCTGTTGCTTGGCAGTTGAATTGGGAATTTTTAGTCTCAAAATTGGGAAAAATTAACGTTTTTTGGCATTGGGAACGGTACCGTTTATCGGTACCAGTTATATAAGGAAAAAAAATGCTGCTGGACCTTTGACCTTGACCACTGACCTCGATACATAAATCTTTCTGACCATTCTCTCCCTATACACTTATAAATGATTATAACAAAATGCCCTAGTTGGTTATGTACATCAAAATGATTATCAACAATCTTGACCTCAACCAAACGACCCAAAATCAGTAAGTATTTTCTATCTACTCTCCATCTTTCTAGTAAGTAGAAAAAGATTTTTCAGATTTATCATATACAAGATATTGCATAAAAATAAGCAATGATAATGGTATCTAACTGAACAAATGACCTTGACCTTTCACCTTAAGACCCCAAAACTACACTTGTCTATCTCTATCTCTAGCTATTCACCACTTATGTTGAAATAGAAAGAGATGAAAGGTGATCAAGTTATAGCACCACATAAAATTAACAATGAAGAAAAGGACACATGGACTTTGTGATTACAATAGGGTATCCACGTCTTGATGCAGGGTCCCAATAAATACCTTTCTTTAAAATTCATTTTTTTTTTACATTTACATATTCTATGGTTTAATCTAAAACTAAAGATAAGTTTTCATATGAAGTTGAATTTCTGAACCCTTATAATTATATACATGCTTATACTTCTCAGTGTTTCTTGTTCACAAATTATTAGCTTATACATAGTACTAACATACAAAAAACAGTCATTGACCTTTGCAGGCTGTTGCCATGGTAAATGTATGTAGACCTACCTAAATGTTGTCCTGCTACAAACACGTTAGGAACTGTCCTCTGTCCTGTAATCTCTAACAAAGCATTCTGTATGTCACTTCCATTAGCTAGCAGAATAAGAAAAAACACATCAAAATTCAGGAAATCCTATTACAACACACACTGTACTAAATGTAGAACACACGGATATCTTTAACCTGACAGAAATGATGATCCTGGAGGCAATGTTCTGAATTCTGTCTAGGCATAAATATTATTGAAACAGTAAAAGGAGGCAATGCATATTTTATTGATTGAGAGAAAATTGTGCTCAGGTGGAAAAGCTTATATGGTTGTACTACAAATTACACAATGTTACAACCATTAACCAGAATAAAAGACAGTCCAGATTCAGAAATCAATAAGATTTCTGTATTTCTTGCTTGTGCAATGTCAATTGAAAGTTTTATAAAATATGCAAAGGACAGTCTCAAGTTCTCACTAATTTCATCTGAATGTTCACCTCAGCAAGCATTTATAGCTGATCTATAATCTGTGTATACTAAATATAAACTATAATCAAAGAGTAGGACACAGAAGTTATAGTTGAAATGACAGTTTTAAACTCACCTTGTTTATCCAATTCCAGCACCTCAAAACTTACATTCATCGACTTAAACAAGTCTTTCACCTATAAAATGAAAATTTTTAAAAAAAATCAATAAAGCATTCTTAGCAATAAGATATCATAATGTTCAACTACCATTTATGAAATCAGACCTCTCTGACGTCATCTTTCTTTCCTAACTGTCTATTTAACTGTTTTATTTTACTGCTTTATGTCCTTATGTCCAATAAATTACCCATCAATGCCCAATAACCTAATAATCATTGGGATACTACGACTAGAATGGAAAAAGAGAGAGGCCCATGGGCCACAATGCTCACCTGAGTCACCATGCCACTTCTGTTCATTATCAGCAGATTTTTTTTCCCTGTATATTCCTATGTAAAACTTAAATCACATAGTGTGGCTTCATCCTACCCAAGGGGAAATGATTTGAAAAAACCTGAATCTACACTGCCTAAGGATGCTTAAAAATAAATGTGACTGATCATGGAATTGCTGTTCTTTGAAAAGATATTTCCTATATTACTCCCCTATAAAAATTTGATCATCTATAGTGTCCCCACCCTATCCCTAGGGGTCATGATTTGAACAAATTTTGAATTTTTTCTGGCCCAATGGTTCTTGAGAAGAAGATGAAATGTGAAAAGTTTTATGACAAGAACAACAATGACGATGACAGACAACTGACAAATTTCAATCAGATTAGTTCATTTGAGCCTTTGGCTTAGCTAGGTGAGCTAAAAACAACAAGCAAATTAAACTGTTGAAATCGTCTGGGAAAAAAAATAATGACCAAATTACCGGTATATCATATTTGTGATGAATCTGCTTTTAAAAAATGAAAAGAATTTCTTTACTTTCAGATACAATTTACTCCTTTCAAGAATTCTAAATTTGATTTATCCACTAAAAAAAAATTTAAAGACATATTATCATGATTATCTGAATCTGTACACATATTCATGTTAAAGCAACTTTTGATCTCTGAATTAAATCTAGACTGAGGCTTGCAATGGGAGATTTTATATAATATTCAAGATCTATATTTACTTATCTCAAAGGGGAATTTTTACTTATTTTTGTCACTTGACATAAAATGAAAGAGCATGAATCTTTTAGTTACCATGGTAACATACAAAAACATCAGGTAATGATGCTTGCAGAAAATTTTAACATCTTGTTTTCAAGCTCGGAAATATCAAAATGGTCAATATATATATATTCCAAAACTTGCAATTAGGAAAATTATTGACTTTAGTTTCTTCTTTCATTGGTATGATTTCAACCAGGAAATGTATCTTGTCTGGCAGATTAATAGGATTTTTTACTTAAATGAAATAAATGTTAACTACATGCACATGCATGCTTTCTTTGCCGCAACCTACCCCAAAATAAATTATCAAACTGAAAAAAGCACAAGTCATTATGTACACTTTTAAGGCCAATGACTGTCAAACTTGTCATAGCCTAAATAATGTTTTCAACAAGATTTACACATTAAATGAACAAATTGTAAAAATGACTACACAATATATACAGGTATACCTTAGCCTATCTTATCATGCCTATCGGTTATGTCATGTCATTAATCTCATTCATTACCAATCAGGCTATATTTTACTGACCAAATTGAAAAACCATTGCATTAACATGTTCAGGTATATATATATTAAAGCCTAACTTATTGGATATGGTCACAGATGTATGTGAAATATGAAGCAGTATAATGAGCACATGGCATTGTTATAGCAAATAGCTAAAAACTCACCATGAAAAAGAAATGTCTCAAGTAAGATGTACTGTAGAGATTACTCGCTATATTATTATTAACAGTAAAATCAATAATTTAAGAAATATGATGCATTTATCAAAAGAACATTGCATATATTACAGTCTAAAGACATATAACTTCTATTTACACAAATTCAAACATCTGTGAAGTGCCAAAGTAAAAAAAAAAGCAGAATTATACATCTGCAAATTAAACCTTAAACCTCAGTAACATTTTAAAAAACAACCAACGACAGACGGATTTTGAGGTGACAATTGGCAGTTCATCGGCCATTATCTTGCCCAATTTTGACCTATTTTTTCGTTGGCAGACCAATTTTGTGTCCGTTGGGCCCAGTTATAATTTTTTTCTGTGTTGGTGACTGTTTCTTCAATTGAAGCAGTCTTTGAATTGTCCGTCGACCAACCCTCGATCAATGTCCGACTATCTGCAGACAGTTTGTTAAGTCAGTCGTCGGTTGGTCGACATTTAGCCACTGGGTTTTTGTAAATGTGGACCGACAAGGAAAATCAAACTGCGGGTCAGCTCTTGATGATTGGGCGACCATTGGCTGACTTATGAATAATTTAATTTTTTTTAAAAATTATCTGTGTTCCTAGTGATTAATGTGACTGCTCCACATTGCCCAATACTAGTGTCGGCTGATCATGTTTTTCAACATATGATACGATAAAAATTTGGTCGCCCATCCATCGGCTTAAATGTGACCTAGGTATTACACAATAACATGTATAAGCCCCTGTCAGATAATTTTGTCAGATATTGGGATTCCACCTTGAGATGTACATCCTTGGACTATCTTACATCTGATATAATGAACTGCTTTAAAAATTAACAAAACTGTGAGCATGTTGGAGATAACAACACAATGAAACTGTATTTTACTTTCACTATTCATGCATTATTCGCTAATATTTGGGTCAATTGAGGTGCTCTCTAAATGTTTAAGATTGAAAAAAAAAGTTTCAAATTATCAAGAGATGAAATGCATCTAAATATAGAGAGATGATGTTGGATTTTTTAGACTGTGAAAGATGTTTTCCTTTTTTCAAACATAATATAAAAGCTACAAAGAAATAGAACTTAATTTGTTTTTGTATTTTTTTTATTGGGAGGTTGGAGAGATAGAGATCTCATCTATATTTTCAAGGCAGATAAACATACAGATATATGTGCACTGAGGCAAAATATTCTTTAAACTATGATAAATAGAAATTTCCATTCAGGTGACCCATTAGGCTATGGATATTGATCAATACGCTCTTCTTTTTTAATGTAAGCATTCTGTTAAATTAATATTTGTCTTGCTGACAACATCTTGAAAGCATTTGAAATCCTTTCCTCTTTTATCCCTAATGAGAGCTGTGAGTAGGCAGAAAGAAAATTTACAGTTCTAGGAAATGTGGCCATCTCAAAAAAACTAATCATAAAGTCATTAAGCTGAAGTTGAAAGATTTATAATGAAGTGCTGACTCAATTTGATATTAATCTCTCTACAAGACACATTTTCTTTGGATCAATAAAACACAGGTAGCTATACCCTAGCTGAAACAATGATTGCTCTCTGTAACTGGAAACAGTAGGATATTATTTATCACCTTTTTTCTATAAACTTCTCAATAAAAAACCTCATGAACTGCTGCAGTATAAAAAGGGTACTTTAATGCAACAAATATGTGGGTACATACCTCTAATTATTTTTAGAATCGGTAGGGAAGAAAGTAGTGCAGAAAAAATTACAAAGTTCCTTAATTTGCAGACCTGAATAAAAAAAACTGTGATAATGTATTAAACTGAGCCTCATCCTTGTTGATAAGGAGTATGTTCCCTTGCAAAAAAGCTTGGCAGATGTAATTTATCAAGAAGATCAGCAGAATTATTTTATGTATTATAACACCAGTGAGAAGTCTGGAATTCACCTACTTTCACTTTCATTTTCAGAGGTTAACGCAGACAGACGCATTTTGCAGGAAAACGAATCTGACATGCCACCTTGAGATTTTAACCAAGGAAAGACAACTTGATGTGCTTTGATTTGAGGGGTCACTCACTGCTGAACAAAAATTAGAGACATTGCTATGTGAAGAAACGTTTACATTGCCGCCTATGGGAAAACAATTAGTGGACTGTACCCATGTGTGAACATATATTCCTGTACGACATTTTCTATATTTCTGTCTGAAAGACCACTACTACCTTGCATATAAAATAACCAGACAATAACAGTTCTCCAACAGTCGACTAAACATCAAGGACACATTGGTACATTCTTTGCAGTAAATTTCAATAGTTCCTGTGCCAAATTAGGTCTGGAAACTAAAAAATAAACACCCATATACAGAGAATTCATCATATACTGATTTTTTTTTATGGTATGTCCTGTTCCCCTTAAACATGCAAGTGATATTATTATTATCCAGGTCCAATCAAGGGTGTATGGGGATTTACCCTGGGTTTTATTCCATATACCCTGAGGCCGAAGGCATGGACCTGGATAACAAATTTATTTCATATGTACCCAATTAACATGATTAAAGTCTTTCTAAACAAGTCCAATCAACTGTGTTTCAAGCTATATATAAGATTTACTATGTCCTACAATGCTTCATGACTTCATGTTATCTGCTTTTATAGAAACTATGCATTAATTGTGACGTCACATTTTTTTACTACCGTCTCAAGTTGAAAATTTACATCAGACTTTGTAACCAATCAAAGCTTGTGTTACAAGCTACATAGGAAATAAAGGTATATATTGCTACACAAATGAGTGAACTTGACGATAGAAAAGTTGAAGTCACTACATTTAGAGTTTAGAGTAAAAGTTTAGATGTTAGTTTGCATTGTCTTTCTGCAGTAAAATATCCAAATATGAAACATGTGTCAAATTCTGTGGTGTCTTTTATAAAGCATTGAAATTAATTAATTAAGCAATTTTCTACTGCTCATGCCCGTGCAAAAAACCCCAGGAATATCGAGAAATCTTTTTTTTAATTCCTTGGTAAATACTTGCTTTGAATCGTCAGATATTTGAACTATTTTTGTTATACCATGTCAAACACCTGCAAGGATGAGCATTTTTTATATAGATCGACATAACAGTATATATAAACCAAGTCTGATGATGTGCAAATTTTAACTATGTGGTTGACAAACAGGATGCAAATTGTATCATTTTATGCACTACAAATACTTGATAAAAATTTCCTTAATAGCTGAATTTAAGTGAAGATGGGTGTCTGAAGTTGTTTGCCATTACACCAGTATGAAAGGTATCCAATAAACACACATGATACACAGAAAGTGATATTTAGCTTCAGTCTGAGTAACCATATACATGTACATAGTAACATTATTTGACTTGTGTAAAGGCAAATAATGGCAAATTACTTCTCTGAATACTCTTTCATAAATTGGCATTGGATCTTAGTAAATAAGTTTATAAGTGTTAATTAATTTTCTCAGATTTGGAGGGAAAACATCTTCACATATCTTTCACCGGTACTAAATAGATAAATTCAAAACATGGAGTATACGTAGAGAAATTCAAAAATCAGTTTTTCTGTCTAGATTAAAACTACCTATTTAGTATTAGCAGTATTAGCATCATTAGTAGAGTAGCTCACCTTCTTACAGAATGGACATGTGGTTTTACTGAAGATCATAACCTTGTTGTTGGAGACATAGTCACTGATGGTCTCCTTCAGACCCCCATTACCAGACACGGGGGGCATCTTGCCTCCTCTAGCCTCACTCCGATCTCTGTTAATTCGTTTTATATTGTTTCAAACTACATGTGAAAAGCAGAAAAAAAAAAATCTGACATAAAATCTTTGTAGAAATATTAAGTCAATTTTACTAAAAACGTGTTCATCATGCTGAAATATATATTTTTTTCTGTGGAAAAATCAGAATGCATCATGCATATACCATTTACCATCACCAAAGAAAAAAAAATACATGAATCATACTATGAACAAAGACATGAGTCTTTTGAGTTCATGCATGAGCATTACCAACTGTTTAGCATTGTGATACAATGTAATAATAATCTTTAAGACGGGTCATCATAATTATAAAAGTTTACAAATCTGAGGAAATTCGAACTAAAAAGTGTCCCATTCATTATAATCATTCATTACCAATATTCCTCTTTGTTTTTCACGCAAGTACAGTTAATTACAGTTTTCCTCTTATATTATGATTCAAGAATAACAGTATAAACAAATAAAGACTGAATTAAACTTATTAGGCCAACCGACAATCAAGTGTCTTCACACTTTATCCATTTGTAAACATGTTGTAACAAAGTGACATCGTAAGTGAATACAAAATCATTTTTAATATAAAAAGGTCTACCTGTCTTAATTTGGCATGGACAGATTCCTTTCGAGTACGAGTCTCATTTACTGACCCCTTCAAGACTAAACCAACTAAGGCCTAAGCTAAGTATAGAGATATTGCCAACCACGTGGTACAAATCTGACGTCATATGTATTTTCTGCCTCGTCACGCTGGCATTCCCGGGTTGACATTCCAAGAATGTTCACAAAATTTTCCTTCCAAGAAGTAAAATATCTTAAACCGGGAGGAGATAAAAAGGGGGATACATACACATAGATCTATAAACTAATAATAATAATTCTTAAAAAAAAAACTGTTCAGTTGCCCCAGAATATCCATGCATTGAAAATATATTCTTTGTACTTCTGATATCAGAAAATAAACAGATTAGGGGACCCTAGCTGATATCAAAAATGGTTTTTCATATATCAAAAAATTCAACAATATTGCTATTAGCAGTGCTCATAAAAATAATTTATTTTCCCCTTGCCTCGCAAGTAAAATCTTGCAAAAACAGTCCAAATAACAGTTGAATAAAGAAATTATTCTTAATTATCATTAATTTTTAAAAAATTACCATTATTTCCAATACGCACCTATAAAACTCAGTGCATTGCATAACAAAAGTATATTTATAGTTACAGTCATAAAAGAAGAATGCTGTCAGTCAAGTAGTTTATTTTCATTTTTTTTTTTCAAAAGATTCAGGACAGAATAGGGGGTTCTAGATGGCGGTTTTGAAAAAGGAATTATCTTACTAAAGGCAAATTATTCTGAATGCAATTGTCTCATAGTTTTGAATCTCTTCCAGTTGATATTTTTATTTGTTTTGACATTTAAGGTCGAGATTCTAAAGCAGGAGGGCTGGAAACATTCCAAGAATGTAAAGTACCATATCACTTCCCTTCTAAGAAAGAAATACATGTATCTAGACCCTCACGTTGCAAAAATTTTTATGAGGTACATGTACTCGTATATCAGTGTGACTGAAAATTTAAGTTCGAGGGTTGTTATACTAAAGGGCATTTACTACTACTTTGAAAATGACATTAACTTTTTAAATTTTGGATAAATTTTAAGATACGATGCAAGCATCGGGGGAGGGGGCCTGCCTCGCCCCCCTACTTTTTGCCAAACATAACTTTTTACTATTGAAAATGTTCATGGTAAGGCTGGTCCCTCCCCCTTTTGGTTGCAGTATATAGTCAAATAAGGGTAAAGTAAAATCTGGTACTGAAATAAGTTGGACCCATCCACCCACCTACCCTCTATGGGCCTCAAATTACAATCAATGGAGGACTTCTTCAAACATTAACCTTGGTCATAACTTTTGAAAGAGAAAAATAGGACTTTCATATGTAGCTTGTTCATTACCTGTGACAAGACCTTTCCATTCTTGAAGCTTGGCGTAAATTTTGACATTGGCTTTAACTTTTGAATGAGAAAAGATAGGGCTTTCATATTTGACATGTGTATTACCTGCGACAAAACGTTTTCAAACATACTATGATTTTTAAAATCGTGACCTTGACTTTCAAGATTGACCTAATTTTCAAGCTAGTTGATAGAGTGTTCATATTTGTGAATTACCTGTGTCAAAAAGTTTCGAGCGTGCTATGATAGTCAACCCTTTGATCTTGAAGTTTGACCTAATTTTCAAACATTTTTCATTGCAGCTAACTTTTGAAGGAGTGTAGATAGGGAATTCATATTTAACACTATAATTGCCCATGACGGGCATTTTTCAAATTTACTATGAATTTTAACCCCGTGACCTTGAACTTGAAGTTTGACTTAATTTTCAAAAATGTTAACATTACTGATAATTTTAAATATTGAGATAAGATAGGGCATTTACATTTCCGAATGTACTGTTTTTTTTTTACTTCGTGACCTTGACCTGAAAGTTTAACCTACAGGCTCTTTCAAATTAATTTTACTTTGGTAATAACTTTTGAATGAGAGAAGATGGGGTTTTCACATCTTTACATGAACATTACCTATGACAACACCTTTCAGAAAGATAAACCGTGACATGTATATCATTTTTGACTTCATGGCCTTGAGCTAGAATTTGACCTGCTTATCAAAGATTTTAACTTACCTATTTTTTTTGGGGGGGGGGGGGGTGTTAATTTTACTCCCAGACCTGCCATATGCTTACTTTGCCGAAATAATCTTTATTCAAAACTTTTCCAGAGAGGCTTATCAAGAGGGCATTTTGACCAAAATATGCCCATTAAAATGAGTCCTAATTGGAAAAAAATTGTGTCATATCACACAGTATTATTGTTCATTTACGTAGCTAGAAATAAAACTATTTAGCACGGAGAAAGATTTAATATTTTGGACAAAAACACAGAAGAACAAATTCAAATTTTCTGCACTCTGTTTTTGCCGATTTTCATTCTTTTTTTTCCCTTAAGGCCATATGATATTGTCCCTTTAAGCTTCAGCATTAAAAAATGAAACAAAATAAATTTCACATCTTTATTATCAATTTCATTTTTTAACAAAAAATAATGTGTCATTCAAATAAACTATTTTTATAGATATTAGCACCATTCATTTATTGATACTAGGTATTTCAAACATATCCATGTGTTATATATATAATTATATATAAAGAAAAACTCGGTTATAGCGAAGTTCTGGGAACCTGCAAATCCACTTCACTATATCCGTATAACGAACTCCTAAAGTATACATAGCGAATTCACAATAAAGATTTTATGTCAGTTCATATTTCAAAAATTTAGATCTTTGAAAATTCGCTATGAAAGATGTAAATTTCGTTATTTTTAACTTCCTGGGTTGATGGAGGAATCAAAATTAGTTCGCTATATAACTGTAAATTTGTTATATCCGAGTTGGTTATATCTGTAAATTTCACAAGGAATTGTTAAAAATTTCACTGGGAATTTCATAAAACTTCGTTATATCCATGTTCATATTAAACAAGTTTTACTGTACCTGCAATTTTAAAATTCTCTTGTTAAATTTTTAGTAAAAAAATAGCATTTGATATATATACATGTAACAATTATTCATAACAACACAAATATTGTTTGTACACAGTTTTAAAAAATTTTAAACTGAACTTAATGGCACTGCCTAACACATGAAATAATTTCTGGGTATGCCCTTAATAAACTCCGATTCAATTTTTTCTCTTGCAACACATGTACATGTACTGGTATAATTTCAATTCATATATAGACAATGCCACCGTACATTGTAATATGATCATGAATACAATACAATGAATATTGGTACATGTATAAATATACATAATTAAGCAAGAAGAAAATAAATTTTTTAAATAAATTTTCAATCACAGATATTGCTCTGACTAAATATATTTGAGACAAATAGACGTACTTTATATCAGTGAATATAAATATTTAATTAACTGATGTGCCAAGAATTTCACATTCAGTTGTGAAGAGAATGAACTTTCTGTGTTGATATTGTTAATCATATGATTTTCATGCCTTTTTCCAGCTGCCTCAATGATATCATAATGTTGACATTATTTCTTTGGTACATTGGCTAAAGCTGGGATAAGCTCACAATAAATGTCGATTCCACGCAGGAAAACTCTCTCATTCAGAAACTCATTGTGGTCGTGCAGCAGTATTGGGGTGTTATTCATTGGAGAAAAACCTAGAGCTGGAATTCCCAGCTAAAGAAAAATAAAATAGAGTGAAATAAATATAAAAAATTTAGATTTTAAATCAAGCATATCAATTGTCCTTCAAAATGACAAATTTTTATGCATTCATTCACCGTGAGTTGGGTATACATGTTATATAGCAAATGTGTCGGAATAATCCATAAAATTAGTGCAGTACACATCCAATAGATGTCATCCATATATAGTTGGACTTCATTATTATCCAATGGCAAATGCATTCTACTCCGAGACAAAACAAATATATACCGGTATATAGAGGATTTCTAATTTTTAAAGTTGCTTGGATAATGAATTTATTTCACAAGTGGGACAGGATTTTTAAAAAAAAAATTTTCACAAGTACAAATCACAAGAAAAAATATCAAAAATTCATGTCTCAGGAGTGAAATATATTCTATTGCTTGCATAGACTTGAACTGGTGAAAAATACATTTAAAATCACAATACTAGTATCCATGTTGACTATAATCCTGTTTTACTGTATACTGATATCAGCTACATTGATAGATACCTACCTCCCTGATATATCTGATATCTGTAGCAGCAGGGAATATCTCAGTCTCTATCTTTATATTTCTATAAAATCCCAATGTAAATAAATTATAGATTCAACATTCAAATATTTTGAGAAAGATCTATACAAAGGGGCCAACTATACCTAAATTCAGACAGACAGATGATAAATTGAACAATTTGTGTCTGCCAAGCTACTTGTATACAGGTTTATTTTCGCCCCATGTTATTTTGGCCCTTTCATACTTGCAAATAATTTTGCCCCGTTTTAAATTTGCCCAATCACAGTTCTGTTTAAGAAATTAAACTGTGTTTTTTGACTTCACCACGTTTTAAATTCACCCACCTGTGAGTAGGGCGAAAGGTGCGAAAATAAGACAGGGGCAAAAATTTCCCTGTATACAGTATGTAGAAGAAACCGGAAGTTTCTGACAAGACTGTAGCTCTACTGGTTTATAATAAAAACAAGAAGTCTCTGACGAGACTGTAGCTCTACTGGTTGTACTTATAAAGGAAGATAAAAGAAACGCTTGGACTTGAAACTTTACAACAGCAATACATAGAATAATGATCCTTGGTTTAGTCTCTTTTTGTGGCACGATTTATTGCAATCAGACTAAAACTGTAGGAGGAGTAGCCTTTTAAAACAATTTTACAGAAATTTTGATTTAAGTAACCAAGGCAACATCATTCAACAAAATCCAAAAACACTAACGACAATTATTTATCTCAGTGTAGTCTACTTGTATGCCAAGCTATACTGAAATCAGACAAAAAGTGTAGGAGGAGTAGTGTTTCGAAAGTATTTCAAGAAAATTTCTATTTTTAGTAACCATGGCAACAATGTTCACTGAAATCCAAAACTGGTAAGGAGAATTATGTATCTTTGTGTAGTCTGCTTGTGTGCCAAGTTAAACTAAAATCAGACCAAAACTGTAGGAGGAGTAGCATTTTGAAAGTATTTTGAGGAAATTTCTATTTTTAGTAACCATGGCAACACCATTCATTGAAATCAAATACTGATATGAAGAATAATGTATCTTAGTGTATTCTCCTTGTATGCTAAGTTATATTGAATTCAGATCAAAACTGTAGGAGAAGTAGCATTTTGAAAGTTTTTCACAGAAATTTCTATTTTTAATAACCAAGGCAACACCGTTCATTAAAATCAAAAAATGATATACAGAATTATGTATCTTAGTATGGTCTATTTGTGTGCCAAATTATATTGATATCAGACCAAAACTGTAGGAGGAGTAGCGTTTTGAAAGTATTTTCCAAAAATCTCTATTTTTAGTAACCAAGGCAACATCGTTCATTGAAATCGAAAACCGATACACAGAATTATGTATCTTAGTGCAGTCTACTTATGTGCCAAGTTATATTGAAATCAGACCAAAACTGTAGGAGGAGTAGCGTTTTGAAAAATTTTTTACAGGCTGACAGACAGCTAGACAGACGACGGACACCATACTATCGCATAAGTTCTTCTGGTCTCTGACCAGTAGAGCTAACAAAAGAAGAGAAATTAAGCATTTGGAATTGAAACTTTGCAAGAGCAATAAATACATAATAGTGATCCTTTATTTTGTCTCCTTTTGTGGCAAGATTTATTGCAATCAGACTAAAATTGTTAGAGGAGTAACCTTTTGAGAGAATTTCACAGAATTTTAATTTTTAGTAACCAAGGAATACTAGTGTTCATCAAAATCAAAAACCGATTTATATAACTATGTGTCTCAATGTAGTTCTACTTGTGTGCCAAATTATATTAAAGAGACATCGTGATGGACAAACGGGAAAATTGACAAAAGTAGAATTTTTGCAAGACACACACAAATTTTATTCAACTCTTGAACATATTAAGTTTCAGAAAATTACAGATTTCAGAACCTAAAAATCTACTTTTATGGAGAAAAATACAAAAATAATGCTTCACTTCTTCCTCTTTAAGGTACGCATGCGCAGAAAAGTGAAGTTACCATGGTGTCAATTCCATAGATATAAATGTCGGATGACCAAGAATTTTGATATAATCTTCAAAAAAGATGTTCAGAACTTATTCACACTTCTGATTGCTCCAATTCAATGTTATTTACTAGTTTCACGCTAAAAATAAAAGACACATGACCTTGACAATAACAACCATGCCATAGATAGGACTTTTCTTTTTCCGGCACTTACATTTTGCAGTCTTCTTACTTTCACTGTGCAGTTCATATCTCAAAACTTCGTCTTTTTCATATATCTCATAAATCTTTAGCTATATGATACAATTATCTTAAAAGAAACGCATGATATTGACTCACTATGTAACTTTAAAATAGACCAAAACTGTAGGAGGAGTAGCATATTGAAAGTATTTCACAGAAATTTCTTATTTTAGAAACCATAGCAACACTGTTCATTGAAATCAAAAACCAATAATCATATTTAAGCATCTTAGTATAATCTACTTGTGTGCCAAGTTATACTGAAATCAAACCAAAACTGAAGGAGGAGTAGCATTTTGAACAGTTGTTTACAGATGGACAGACAGCTAGACGTACAACAGACACCTTACTTTATTGCATAAGCTCTTCTGGTCTCTGATGAGTAGAGTTTAAAATAAGAATTTTCTGATACCTACTGTCTTACAGTATCACACTGGTATATTGAAAATGATATTACATTACTGTAGATAACCAATTTTTCATGACGCCTTATTTTCACAGTATAGTTATTTGGTATTAATAAGCGAGATACCAATTTTGGTTTATGTAATACATGTATAAAATCTTTGATAATTTGAAAATACGTGAGAATGATATTTTTGAGAGCAGAGGGTCTAGTGTAATATTAAACACAAAAATAAATTTCTCGTGAATAAAAAATGGTTACAGTAATAAGAAAACTAACAGCAATAGGTCAAAGATGCAGAGTGCCTGTATACTCACAATTTTTCAAACACTGAACTGAAAGTGCTCCACCATGGACAGTTTTTGTCTGTAGCTGTCACACCCTGCATGGGATTGTACTTCAAGGAAAAAAGATAAATGACCATGCAACTCTTTTACATGTAGCAACACATCATTTATATTACAGGCAGAAAACATCCCTAGCTGTATCAATTTTTTTTTTTATATGCATGAAAGTGGTCCCACATACATGTATATATGCTGAATGAAACAAAATTAAAGTACGGAAAATGTACACAAAATTCTAAGTAAGAAATACTATCTTACTTTACTATTAATTTAAAAATGATACAAAAATTGTACTACATATAGTTACAGTATTTTGATTATGTTGAGTATTGTTCATCAAGTAGGCTGTTGCTATCTTATCATGGGAGAGCTTACATAGACAGTGTTTGCTACCTACATGTAACAGCCTAATTAGCATATGTTTGATGTTTAAAAGTATTAATAAAATATTGACTGCTTCACCTGTACAAACTCATAGGTAACATCTTCTCCCGCTTCTTTCAGCCAATTCTTCATCATTGCCTCAAAGTCCTCCAACTTCTCAGTTGGTGGAATTCTGATGTCAAAACCTGTAAGACAATCATACTTCACAAAACATGACTCAAAAAGTAAAACATGCATTTTTTTCTCTAGCAAACGTCAAAGATAAAAATGCTTTTAAAATGTGTTGTTTTTTTTTTTTTTAAGACATTTTTACGGTTTACAGAAATGTGCTGATATCATGAAATCTACAAATAATAATAAATCTGACATGACAATCAGTCACATGCACATATACAGTCAAATCTTGTTATCTTGAACTCAATGGGACCAAGAAAAAATTTCGAGATTTCCGAGGATTCGAGATATCCAGGGTAAAATACTTAAAGAACAAGAGGCCCCTGGGCCTAAACGGTCACCTGAGTATAAAACAACGCTGTAAAGGATCCACAGACATTTAAAACAAATTAAATTAATTGACAGATGAAGCTCTTTTGCCCAAAAATTTCATGAAGCTCTTTTGCCCAAGAATTTAAAAAATCTGGCAAAAATACCTTGATCTTCTTGGGATTGTACTTGGTTTTCCCTAGTATTACAGGAATGATAATGAATGCAAAATATACAAATACAATGGACACTTTCCTAGTGTGTAAAATATTCAATATATACAGATATATGTTTGTTATTTGCCTAGTGCTACAATTAAGTACACAAAAAGAGACTTTGCTATACAATATGGCTATTTGCCAGTATTCACTAACTTCAATCAAATAACTTGCTAATTAAATTATATACAAGGATTTCTTGATTTAACACAATTAAGCAAAGGGGAATAACTCTTAATGGCTTCACTTATTACAATTTTTGTACTCTCTTTGCATTGCCTCCTAGCTATACAGAAACAGAGAAAAGACACATTTACTTATATTTATATAATTTACATTTTATATTATTGCATTTAGTCTGTTTGCTTAATACTCAGGGACAGAGGAGAAGATTTTCAAAGAATTAATGCATTTTGCTACATACTCAGTAGAGCCCCACCCAAATACCAGAACCCCTGACCCTGGGACCATGCAATTCACAATTTTGAAAGAGGCACCATTCCTCATCATAATTATACATTTAGTTTGGTTGCTTAATACCCAGGAGCAGAGGAGAAGATTTTCAAAGAATTAATGCATTTTCACAATATAAACATTAGAGCCCTGTCCTAACATCAGAACCCCTGACCCAGGGGTCATGAAATTCATAAGTTTGGAAGATGCACCCATCCACATCAAAACTATGCATTCAGTTTGTTTCCTTTATATCCAGAGTAGAGGAGAAGATTTTCAAAGAAATAGTGCATTTTCACTATATAATCATCAGAGCCCCGCCCTAAAACCAGGCTCCTGGGTCATAAAACTTAGTTTAGCTCACTTTTAATCTCAGTCTCACTTTTCCACCACTAATTCCTTTTGTTAAAGTGAGATTGAGATCAAAAGTGAGCTTGTCTAAGTTTTATGGTCTCTGAGCCAGAACTCCTTACTCAGGGGCCATGAAATTCACAATTTTGGAAGAGGCACCCTTCCTCAACATAACTAGGCATTTAAAATTTGTTTCCTCTACAACCAGCAGCAGAGGAGAAGATTTTCAAAGAATTAATGCATTTTTGCTACATACTCAGTAGAGCCCTACTCAAATAACAGAATCTCTGACCCAGGGGCTATGAAATTCACAATTCTGGAAGAGGCACCCTTCCTCATCATATATACCAGTATGTACTTAATTCTTCAGCTCAATACCCAGGAGCAGAGAAGAAGATTTTCAAATAATTAATCATTTTCAATGTATAAACATTAGAGCCCTGCCCTAACACCAGAACCCCTGACCCAGGGGCCATGAAATTTACAATTTTGGAAGAGGTAACCTTCCTTATCAAAACTATGCATTCCTTTATACCCAGGAGCTAAGGAGAAGATTTTCAAAGAAATAATGCATTTTTACTGTATAATCATTTGAGGCCTGCCCTAAAACCAGAACCCCTGACCCAGGGGCCATGAAATTCACAATTTTGGAAAAGGTACCCTTCCTCATCAAAACTATGCATTTAGTTTGTTTCCTTTATACCTAGGAGCAGAGGAGAAAAATTTCAAAGAAATAGTGTATTTTCACTGCATAATCATTAGAGCCCTGCCCTAAAACCAGAACTGACTCAGGGGCCATGAAATTCACAATTTTGGAAGAGGCACCCTTAGTGAACATATCTATGTATTTAGTTTGTTTGCTGAAAACCCAAGAGCAGAGGAGAAGATTTTTAAAGAATTAAAGCACTATATATTCAACAGAGCCTAACCCTAGCACCAGAACCCCTTACCCTGGTGCCATGAATTTCACAATTTTGGTACAGGGCTCAATGCTTATTACAATCATGCAATTAGTTTGACTGCTTGATGTCAAGAGTAAAGAAGAAGATTTTTTAAAGATTGCATTAATTTTGATGGTTTTAGCCCCACCCTTCAGGCCCCAGGGAGGCAGGGACCATGAATTTCACAATTTTTGTTCCCCTTCACCTATAGATGCTATATGCCAAAATTTGTTGAAATTGGTTCCGCCCTCTCAGAGAAGAAGCTGGAAATGTCCAAATGTTAATAAATGACGGATGTAGCATATAACACACGACGACATACAAAAAGAGATAGCAATAGGTCACCTGAGTGACTCAGGTGATTTAATAAGGGGTCGGGACCTCCAAATCACTTCAACATATCCATGGTTTTCCAGATATCAGTGTTAGAGATACTGATGTTCAACTGTAAAATGTACTTTGATCTTGATTAAAACTAAATCCTTGTCATTTGTGTGAGTATTACCATATTAGCAGAAATTTTAGTGAGGATTTAATTTTGGCATTAGCGAGGGTGCTGAGATTGATAAAATTGAATATCACTAAAAATTAATTGCGTTTTATTTGTAATAGCTTTCTTAAGTGAGGATTTTAAAATTGCTAAAATTACTTCCTAGCTAAAAATAAAATACCAATTTATAAGGACAAATTGCTAAATTTGCGTCTCGCTAAAATTTCCACTTATATGGTAGTTTAATAATTTCAATACTGTACACAAGGAAAGTTTTGCCTCTGTGTTTTATTTTTGCTCCATTTGCCATCATCACTAGAAGGTGAATTGAAAACATGGTGAATTCAATGAAGAAATCTCATAAACACAGCTGTGTCTGGGCAAATTTAAAATGGGGCAAAATTGTTTGCAAATGTGAAATGGTGAAAATAACATGTGAAGAAAATAACTGAATACACTAGATTAATAGCACGTACCTAAAAACATTTCTGTAGGAACAACATTAAAAGACCCTTCAAATCCTCCCTGTCAAATGAAAAAAAAAATACAATTATACAACATACAAAAATTCAAATTAATCATAAACAACAGTGCCACCTAGTGGACAATCCTTGGCAACATGAATCACCAAATGGATTCATCATACACTGACCTTGAGATTAGTCAGGTTCAATGTAGTGACGTTCCCTAGTTTTAAACAACCATGTGTTTTTAATCTGAAAAATTAAAGAACAAGCATTTATGATACAGGTATATTTTATATTGTAGGCTATAAAATGTGTACATTAAGCATGCAGTCAGGGGCATGATTGAAACAGATATTTTTCAGAATATTGTTTTATTTTTTTAGGGAAGTTAAAGAAGACCCATTTGTGTTTTATAACAATTTCAGCACAAGTATCTTATTCATGAGAATTATGCTTGGTTGAAAATAGGTCAGTTCCTCATTAACTTTTAACCTCACTAAATTGAATAAGTCACAAACTGTCTTGGATGTATTTCCCCATTTTATCTTAAAGTGTTGTCATACAACTGCAACATTACTTTTCATCCAACAGTGGTAGATATATCAAAGTACTGATACATGGGAGGAATATTTTTGGCAAAAAAGATTTACTCACATACTTAAATAAATCACAGTTAATTGTAAACTCCCCCCTTCACAGTTACTGTATATTAATGTATTACTTTTTCTCCTGTTCATCCCTATATGACAGGAAGCTGTTAATTACTCTTCTCTGGAAAAAGAAAATAAATTTTAACAACACTGCAGAGACAAAAGAAATAGCATACTACAGGAATTTTTTCTGCCTTTATTTTTTAATGAATGACACCTGTATAGTACCCATAAAAGTTAAAACTTCATTTTTCTATTTTCTGTATTATCTCAGCATTTGTATTACAATGTAAGCGAACAAATATCTCACTTTTCTAAAGATTTAAAACTTTTGTTGTAGTTTTAAATTTGTACATGTATACAGACCACTTTTTCTGCTGCATTGTCCTCTATGAACCTTGACCCATGACCTGGTTTCCCTGGACACTTGACCCGTATCCCTGTATTGAGACATTTTTTCAAAATTTATTTTATAAAATCTTTCTATTTATAAACTTGAGTTAAGGTAATCAATGTATAACGAAAGGATTTTGAACAATTTTGAATCGTTTTAAACTAGTTAAAATTACATTGCTAGATAACGATGAAAGTGAAATGAACCAAATTCACATGACTGATAACAAATGAGAAGCTGATCATTTTGCACCTGAAAAGTTTTTGAAGAGTTGTCTGCCCTTGAAGAAAAATTTAATTTTGTCAAAATATCTGTGGTAAATGATTTATTTTATTTCATATTTTAATAAAAAGAGAGTTTATGCATATTTTCAGCAAGAAATTTGTATGAAATTCACATTACTTTTTACAATATCTTAATAAAATATGCTCTGCCCATAGACGTTAATGTAAAATTTAAGGTGCAATGAATTGGACAATAATCAAAATTTTGTAAATTCCTTTGGAGGAGCATGTTTATTTCACAACACCTTCAAAATGCTACCATGATTAATCGTTTCGGACTATTCATTTATTAGGTACAAATATGGTCGTTATACATTGAATACCTTAAGTCAAAAATGGTTTCTTGCCAATGGATATTTATGATGAATTTGATACCATATATACAGCAGTGTTTGAAACTCACGGTAAAATTAGCTAGACATGCAGGGCTGACTGCTAGTGAAAGTTGTCAGCCCTGCCAAAACTCAATTAGCCAGAGAAAATAAAAGTCTTTTATCGATATGTTTTTAGCGATTATCATATGTGAATGGGGCAAGATCACTATAACTTCCATCCCGAATCTATAGGCCGTTGAATTCAACCCCTTTGCTTGTTACACTTATAGCTACGGATACTATTAGTTGATTTGAGAGATATTTATCAAATATATGAATTTTTATTCAAGGCAAATTTTAACACGTCCAGCCGGGCGTTGATATATGCAAATCTGTTTGTCCACGGCAAAATTTGTGCATCTTGGGGGGTTGGGCGGACGGTTATTTCAATTAAACACTATATATATACAGTAATGTTTACCCCTCATTTTGTTACTTACACCACGGTGTTCTCTCTCCATAGAAAACAGTGAAAGCATCAGTAGGATTGGCTAGTCCTGAACAGAGAACATTTATTGTCATTTAATTATTTCACTTTTATATCAAACAGACATCTGTTTCTATTGTTTGAAGAAAATCAATGTATTGAACATCGAGTACATATCATAACAGTTGTTTTCTTACCTTCATCTAGACCAAAACCAACATTCAGTTTCTTAAATTCTTCATGCTGAACAAATTTGCTCATCCCTAGTTTCCCTCCAATTTCCTCATCTAGTTATTGAAAGAAATTTTTCAAAATTTTAAGCTTGTACATTCATTCTTTATTGCATATTGTATTGAAAGTAAACTTTACATGCATCAATTAAGTAAAAATATAATTGTACAAGATAAGTATTTAAGAACATGTTTATTTCAATACTGTACAGTCAAACCTCACTATCTCCAACTCGATGGGACCTGATTTAACTGCAAGATATCTGAGGATTCGAGATGAGGGTAAAAAACATAAAGAAAAGGTAGTTTGGGCTGCCATCTCATTTTGACATATCCCTGGTATTTGAGGTAACAAAGTTCAAGTGTATATAGCTATAGATAGCATTGAATGTAAATCAATAAAATCAAACCTGGTGTCCAAGTTACATGGATTGTCCTCAAGAAATTCAATTTATTCTCCTTCTTTAATTTCCTAATGGCCTCTACATACCTGCAAAGAATGATGAATTAATATTCCTATTTAAATTCTTGCATGTACATGTACATGTTGTATGAGGACAAATAGAAAAGTTGAAGTCTTCAAAATAAATATAGATTATAGTTGTTAATTTTATAGACCACCACTAAAAGCCCATGGTTGATTTAGTTTAAATTGTCTGTCCATTGACAAAGAGAGGAATATGCAGCTGTCAACCGAAGGTTCCTGATTAGATGAACAAGGACGTAACAAACTTCAAAGAAATAATTTACAAATTCTAAAATTTCAAAATTATTATATTAGTCTTTTAAGATGTTAACATGCAGTGCTATAAGACTTTTACTCTCCTACAGGTGAAACTGGAGGGGACTATAGGTTTCCTCCTTGTCTGTCCATCTGTCTGTCTGCCCCACTTGGTTTTCCGCACTCTTTTCCTAAATGCTAGCAGATATTGGTCTGATTTTTGGTGTGCCAATGTATCTTGATAATTTACTGATCAATTTTTCATTTTTTGGCTTTATGACAGAATTATGGCTTTTTTTGATTTTTAAGAGAGAACCATGCAGATTTCCCACTTGGTTTTCTGTATTTTTGTCCTAAACGCTTGCAAATATTGAACTGATTTTTTTGGTATTTGAGTGTACCTTGATGAGTTATAAATCGAGTTTGTATTTTGTTCCACCTCAATGATTGTTAAGAAATAACAGTCTTTTGAATTTGAATTTTTAAGGGGAACCAGTTACACTTACAGGTAGGGGACTAGTACTGCTTATGCAATACTCTCACATCGCTCTCTATTGTCTAGATTTGGGGACATTCAAAAGCCCCATTCCCAATTCAAAAAAGTTACTTTTTTCCCCAATAGAATGTGTTACATGTAATTTTCCCAAAAGTCATTTCTCCCCCAAAATTTAAGAACATATAGTAAAATGCATAATAAGTGAACTTGCTATTCATTTTACTCTATACAAAAAAAAAGAAATTTTATTAATAGCAAACACCAGAAACCCGATGTACAATGATTCTAATTTATAATGTTTTTCAAAAAGATTCCCTAAAATATTGCTAATTTTCCCAATTTTTATGGCCCTGGTCCCATCCCAAAAATTGGTGTAGAACTCTGTCTCATAATGCTTGTTAATATATGGGTAAATTAATGAAATAACACAGATTGGATTTTCTCCAACTCCCAAATAAATTAATGTTAAGAAGTTTCCTAAAATCCATTTCATGTACTGTAATCGTACTCTTTTCCGTGGGTCAAAATTCCACAGAATCATAATTTGTGTTCAATTCGTGGGTGGAAAAATATGCAAATTTCTTAGATTTCCACTATATGCTTTAAATTGTACTTTCTGTATGCTGGAACAAACTTCCGCAGAAAATCTGTGACCACATTCATAGCGTAAATTAATACCACACGAAAAAAGTAGTTATACAGTATTTCATTGATTTTTCCGGGTGCATGTAATTGGTAGTACTAGTACTCATTCTCTCTCCAAATGCATATAAGCTCACAATAGCTGGAACGGGCGAAGAGAGTTTCACATTTCCGACAAGAAGTACTTACTGTATGCCAACACTTTTCATGTCCTATCAAAAAGAAATCAAAATTACTAAAGTACTGTATAGTTAGTAATTAATTTTAAAAGAGCAAATCTTGTAGAACTTGAGATTTTTATAGACATATTGCCTATAAACATATGCCACTATTATATTATGTGAAATGCAACACCTCTACTCATGTGGCAACTTATAAACAGATATTTATCTGATGAAAATATTAAACTGATTGTTGCATATAATCAAGCAAAAAGGTTGTTTATCAGTTTTCTGAGAGTATAGAAGATTTTAAAATGTTACAATGTATTTTCAGTTTATGATCAATTTATCCCCGCTCTGGAGTCAATTAAAACCCATGACAAAGACACAAGATTGGTAAAGAGGACAATACTTATAACATATGTATGTATATAATCACACTCAGTTTGTTCAGAAAATGTCAATGACTAATGCTAAACATTGCTTCATCCCGAGACAGAGATTTATGCAATAAAAAGTGATCCAAATACTATGTCATGTCACTACAAAATGAAGTACAACACACACCTGAGTTCCTCTAGCATAAATATCTCCATTCTCCATCTTCTTGGCTTCAAATGGATCACACTTCCATTCATTCTACAATGAATAACAGTAGATTTTTATCATGATTATATATGTATTAGTGCAATCAAATGAGTACAGTCTTGATTGATTAGTGGAATCTCGAGTCTTAAAAATGTCATGAATTATTTTTAACATACATGACTTAGCAGACAAGAATTAAGATGCAGCTAGTGAGGTGCTAAAATATGATTAACACGAAGTAATAGAATGGTTATAGTGTGTCATAAACTCACAATTTACAAGTTTTAACTTCACATCAAATGCAGCTCTTCACTAGTCTTAGAATTAATACTTTTCAATCAAATAGATGTAAGTTAAGACATGCACTACCATTTATTGGTTTGTATTTGTTTGTTTAAATCAAAACATATCCTCAAGAGACTGTGCGAGCATTCAAATCCCTGATATGCATGTATGTAGGGGAACAACTTCAGAAAGAGTTAACTATAGCACAAGTTTCAGCTATTCTAGTCAAGTGGTTCTTCATTAGAAGATTTTCAAAGATTTTAATGTAAAACTTTGATTCCCAATTGTGGCCCCAACCTACCCCCAGGGGGGCATGATCTGAACAATTTCAAATCTACACTACCTTAGGAAGCTGACACATAAGTTTCATCTTTTCTGGCACACTTCTTGAGAAGAAGATTTTTTAAGATTTTTCCTACATATATATCTCCATGTATAACTTTGATTCTCTAATGTGGCCCCACCCTACTCCAAGTGGACATGATTTGAACAATTAAGAATGTACACTACCTCAGGAAGCTTCAACATAATTTTCAGATTTTCTGGTCCAGTGGTTCTTAAGAAGATTTCAAAAGATTTTTCCTATATATTTCAATGTTTAACTTTGATTCCCTATTGTGGCCCCACCCCACTCCCAGGGGACATGATTTGAAAAATTTAGAACTACACTACCTTAGGAAGCTTCCAGATAATTTTCAGCTTTTCTGGTCCAGTGGTTCTTGAGAAGAGGATTTTTAAAGATTTTTCCTATATATTTCAATGTAAAATGTTGACATCCAATTCAATTGTGGCCCCACCCAAGCCTTGGGGGCCATGATTTGAACAATTAAGAATCTACACTCAGTCTTATAACCTTAGGAAGCTTCCAATATAAGTTTCATCTTTTTTGGTCCAGTAGTTCTTGAGAAGAAGATTTTTTAATGACCCCACCCTATTTTTGCCATTTCGTGATAAATTGCCCTTGGAAGGCAGCTTGGCCCTTCATTTTAACAACTTAGAATCCCTTTTACCCAGGGATGCCTTTTACTAACTTTGGTTAAAATTGTTCCAATAGTTCTTGATAAGAAGTTGAAAATTTGAAAAGTTAACAGATGGACAGCTGGACAGACGTATTGATGACAGACAATGAGTGATCAGAAAAGCTCATGAGCTTTCAGCTCAGGTGAGCTAAAAATCAAACAACAGCCTCATCAGTGTTGGTCAGTTAGGGAGTTAACAGTTGTACATACTTCAAACACAGGGATGCATGTCCATCAGTGTGAGTAAGTTTACACTGAGACCTGTTACCATTAGACAAGGAGGTTACATACAAACCTCAAACACAGAATAATGGTCAGTTTACACTGAGATCATTAGTAAAGGAATTCGCATACTATTACATACCTCATACACAGGCACCACATCAGTATGGGAAACATGTACATACCTCAAACACAGGCACCACATCAGTATGGGAAACATGTACATACCTCAAACACAGGCACCGCATCAGTATGGGAAACATATACATACCTCAAACATAGGCACCGCACCAGTATGAGAAACAATGTACATACCTCAAACACAGGCACCACATCAGTATGGGAAACATGTACATACCTCAAACACAGGCACCACATCAGTATGAGAAACATGTACATACCTCAAACACAGGCACCGCATCAGTATGGGAAACATGTACATACCTCAAACACAGGCACCACATCAGTATGAGAAACAATGTACATACCTCAAACACTGGCACCACATCAGTACGGGAAACATTTACATACCTCAAACACAGGCACCACATCAGTATGGGAAACATATACATACCTCAAACACAGACACCACATCAGTATGAGAAACAATGTACATACCTCAAACACTGGCACCACATCAGTATGGGAAACATATACATACCTCAAACACAGGCACCACATCAGTATGGGAAACATATACATACCTCAAACACAGGCACCATATCAGTATGAGAAACACATACATACCTCAAACACAGGCACCACATCAGTATGAACACATGTACATACCTCAAACACTGGCACCACATCAGTATGGGAAACATGTACATACCTCAAACACAGGCACCACATCAAAATGGGAAACATGTACATACCTCAAACACTGGCACCACATCAGTATGGGAAACATTTACATACCTCAAACACAGGCACCGCATCAGTATGGGAAACATTTACATACCTCAAACACAGGCACCACATCAGTATGGGAAACATGTACATACCTCAAACACAGGCACCACATCAGTATGAGAAACAATGTACATACCTCAAACACAGGCACCACATCAGTATGGGAACCATATACATACCTCAAACACAGACACCACATCAGTATGGGAACAATGTACATACCTCAAACACAGACACCACATCAGTATGGGAAACATGTACATACCTCAAACACAGGCACCACGTCAGTATGAGAAACAATGTACATACCTCAAACACTGGCACCACATCAGTATGGGAAACATACATATCTCAAACACAGGCACCACATCAGTATGGGAACCATGTACATACCTCAAACATAGGCACCACATCAGTATGGGAAACATATACATATCTCAAACACAGACACCACATCAGTATGAACATATGTACCATATATTCCCGCGTATAAGTCGGTCAGCCTATAAGTCGGTTGTATTTTTTGAGGTTATTTTAGAGGGATTTGCCATTGACCCGCTTATAAGTCGGTACAACTTTTTGTTAGAATCAGTTGACGATTTCAAACCAATGCTCTGATGTTTTAACCTGGTTTCGGTAAATATTCTTAGAAATGACATCGATATTTAATTTTAATTCATTTAGAAAAATACATAATGCACACTTTAAATAAAAATAAAGTTATTAAAATATGTAAATACTTGTACTTTATGTATAATCTCAGAATGCATAAATGATATGATATATCCATACTACATTTCGACGTCCAGATAATACTAATCTTTTTATGACTCACCTATAAGTCGGACCTAGAGTTTTGGACCAAAATTTAACTCCCAAAATACCGACTTATAGGCGAGTATATACGGTACATACCTCAAACACTGGCACCACATCAGTATGGGAATTCAGCATGACAGATGGCAGAGATGGATCTGATCCTGGTATTGTCATAATAACAACTTCTCTCCCAGGATGTACCTAAAAATGTATTGGATTTATATAAGGTTAATGGAATATGAAATCAATAATAAATTGTTATATACTATATTTTTTAAAGAAAAGTACGCCACAGATGATTTCCATGCAAATATGATGCAACATTATGTACCTAAAATAAAGTATCTTAATATTTCTTCCATTTAAATCATTTTAGATGAAATAGGAAAATCCAGCATCGCCATGATATACTGTTACCATGGTTACCTTCATACATATACCTCAAGTGTTCTGCACTGAATCCCAACATCCTTTGCTAAATTCTTCAGAAACTCAACTACTTCATCTAATTAAAATATACAAGACAAAGTATTAATTAATATTTTTATCTGAAAAACTTTTGCATACATGGTATACATTAAAGCTGAAATTCACTGTTTAATAACTCCTTCACAATTAACATGTGATTAAGGTTCTTTTTTGATTGATAGAATTTGAAAAGTCTCTCTAACATTGTAGATTTTTAAAAGATTCTATTATAGTCCCTGAAGCAGTTGACTTTTTATCTTTTCAAATGAATGGCGAGTGTGCAGAAACTTGGATGAGTGTAGACATGTTTGTTTTCATTTTCCTTACTTGCTACCTGAAAATACACTTCCATATAACAAAAGGCAAAATGGGAACCCTGAAAATTTACTATAAAGGAAGAATGAGAAATATATATCTCAGCTTAGGAAAATGGGATTAAATACATTGCATCAATTTCTGATTTCATTAAAATTAAAGGTTTTGCCACATTTTCTAAATATACAAGCAATGCATACATGGCAAAGCATTTAGCTAAAGGCTTAATTATGTTTGATAGTTGTACCTTCATGAAGATTGCACAAGTATTAATTTCATATTATACTAGAGTTGAACTTCGGTATCTCGAACACTGATATCTCGAATACCATGGATACGCGAAGTGATTTGGAAATCCCAGCCGTTTATTCTTTTTAAAAGTTTTTTAAAATTAACCTTTAGTTAGTAGATACCTCAAATCCTTGGATATCTCAAAGTATTTTCTTGGTCCCATCGAGTTCGAGATAATGATGTTTGACTGTATGTGAAAGTTAATAATTTCATTTATTTTCATGTTATTTCATATTCCACCTACTGTCAATCTAGAATTATAGTGAAATAAATCACATTGACCTTTAGGTTATAACCTCAGGGCTCACAATTGTCTATATAATAATTGGGACTATTCAACATGTTCAAATGCTCCATTCCCAGATCAAAAATGGTACCACTTTTTTCCCAATTGAATGTGTTAATTTTCCCAAGAGTCATTTCTCCTAAAAATCAAAGAAAATAAAAGGGATCTTCCTCACACTGATTCGCTATCTACTTAAAAGCATTATAAAAGGTAACCCCTCCCCCACTCCCCTCAAAAAATGATAGTAAGGCTATCCAACGTTAATTCTATGTTTAATGTCACCCGCGCGCATAGGTTTAAGAGAAATATGTCTTTGAAAAAAACAAACAATTCAGAATTTTAAGTATCCGTTTCAGTTTGAGTTTACATTTAGTGACATAATTTTGCATCCCATAGTGAAAGTGCTATAAGAAGAAACTGGTGATGAAAACAGCATGCAATCATAAAAGAAACATGGATGGTTTTATAACTGAGATTAATGAAAATGTTTGGTGAGTGTTTTATGTCAGTGGTCAGGATATCACAGATTCTCAGTTCATCATATTTTTGCTGAACCATTCACTGTATTGGAGAGAATCATTCAGTAGAGCTCTGAAAACCAAGATTTTATAATATACAGTGAGATATATCACTTTAACATGTTAAATTTTATTTAACAATGTAGTTTCGATCATCTTAAAATATTGCTATAAAAATTAAAAGGAGAAGTAAGTTGATGTGATTATACACATATTATTCATGTAATCACAACTTAAAAGAAATGAAAAAAATTGACAGTGACGCTTTAGCAGGAAAAATCTTTAATACAGAAGAAGAGAGCTTTCAAGTGAAAGGGTCGGTGTAGCATAATATTTTGATACTGCGATATATTGAACCCGGGTTTAATATATCGCATAATATTTTGAACCCGGGTTCAAAATATCGCAGGGTTCAATACATTATATGACACCGGGAAGGAATGAGAGTGGAGGAAATATTCCAACGACCCTGTCTTGTGTGTGTGAATATCAGATAAATTTAACTATAATCAGCTAACAGCAATGGTACACCAAATATTGTACTTTCCCTTTCAAAACCAAATACTAGACTAATACAATTAATGTAAATAACAGAGAAACATAGCATATATATGTTCAATTTTAAGATACAGTGTATTTCAGTAAAAGAATGCAATAAATATTGTCGTCATTATTTTAATTGTAGATACCGGTCAACTATTTCCACAGGAAGAAGCATTTTCATACAGTGTACCATGTATGCGGTGATATAAATCCAATGGATATACTACTAGACCTAGTTGTAAGCCACTCTTCTGCACATCCTGTCTACTTTGTGTGCTCAAAAAATGACGCAAGCCAATATGTGTATTTAGGAAAAACTTTTTACTTGTGAAATGCAAAACTGACTTAGCCTTAGATATCAAACTTATACTCTTATTACACAACATTGTTCTTTTTATGTACTGAATAGGTTAATTTGCATTGAACATATAATCATTTGTTCAAAATTTTTGTTTGTTTATTTTTTTTTCCTCCCTCCCTCATAGGTTTTGAATTTTGTAGGTGACGTTAAACATAGAACTAACTTTGGACAGCTTAAGGCTGTATATTTAAATACAATGTACCTGTCTCTCTAAATGTATATATTTGATAGAAGCTAATTTGTGTGACCCAGTTTTTTTCTGTTAAAGATTAGATTCTAGGTATCTCTTGTTTGCTTATTTGATTTATGATTACATGTATTTGCATTTGGCCCTTAAATAATAAATACTAAAGTAAATAAGTGAGACAAATTAAGACTTAAACTTAAAAATCTTGTAAGCATCAATATACCTAAGTTGTCTTTCTTCCAATACCATATAATCATTTATAGTATATACTCGCCTATAAGTCAGTTGTATTTTTTAAACCTTAAATTAGAGACATTGACCAGCTAAAATACCAGTCTTTTTATAACTCACGTATAAATTGAATAAAGAGTTTTGAACCAAAGTTTAACTCCCAAAAAACCGACTTATAGGCGAGTATATATGGTAGTAAAAATCTTAAATATTTAGGATTGTTTGCATGATTTCTATTAACAATTAATTATATTGCAAAATTTGTTAATCATGTTAAGTACATGTAAGTAGTTTGTCAAATATAATTGATATTAATTTCTAAGTTGTAAGCTTCATTATTCTCAAACTGATTTATATCCGGATATCTGCAAGTTCATGTAATCAGTTCCTGTAGATATATATATATTGTCCATGTTTGATGTGTGCTTCATACGACTTATAATAAAGATATTATGCTTGTAAGCATGGACATGCCAGGTACTCCAAGATAATGTGGCTGCATACTTAACTGTCAGGAGTTTGCAATGAAAGATCACTCTTGCAATATGGAGAAAGAAATAATATTAAATGAACTCCAAACAAACAATGACAAATATTAATTGACCAAATTAATTCTGTTAGTGCTCTGATGAATTTGTTCATCATAAGAATGAATGCAAAACATCTATTCCATTATCATCACATTGAATTATAATTATCAAAAAGTTAAACAATGTATGAGGATTCTTGAATTTTCAACAATTGAATTTATTCAGAAATCTAGGTTCCTGAAATATCAATTAATCAAATTATGAAAACCTTTATCAATATGAAATTTTCTCAGTTAGTAGAAGAAAATTGAACAAATGAAATTTGTAATTGAAAGCAAATAGTTCTTAACAAACAGCTAAATTTTCAGATATCATAACTATTATCTGAGTGTCACTCAGCTGTCACTTGCGGGTTGTGATCAAATTGATCGATACATAAGCATTTTCCCTTCCCTGTCACTTACCATAAGCCGGTGTTGGATGCACAGTTTTTATTCGCAAATAATCTCTGAACACTGTCACAGCCCTCTCTTCAGTCATTCTTGAGTAAAACAATTTAAACTTAACTTTCCGAGCTCCCCAACATGTAGGCCTTCCACTTTCGAGGAAATTCGAAATGAACTGTATCTCGACCCCGACGTAAATTATGCAACATCACGAATCGTGTATGCTTTCGCATGGTTAGTACAGATACCGTCATTGTATATGTAACCCGATTTTTATTGTTTATTGTGAAACGAAATTTTGTCCTGAAATTCTCCGTTTTTTTTTTAATTCAAACAATTTTCAAAGAAATACACCAAAAGATGTGCAAAAATAAAACACTCATACAAAAGTAAAACAAAACAAAATTATATATATATTCCAGTAACCAGTTACAAATTGCCGTTCCTAATTTTAACATTCCTTTGACTAATGCAATAAGTAACTACTGAAAAGTTATGACTTCTTAAAAAAAAATCGTTAACTCGCTGTTTGTATCAATACTTGTTAATTGCAAATTATGCTATATACTTCGTCTTCATTACATCATTTATCTACGTACATGTAGATTGTTTATTAACTTTTCTCCCTAAGCTTTTCTTTAGAATTCGGACCAAACACGACACTTAACAGTACAGACTCTGTTCAAATAATTACACAGTGAAAGTTTACAATATACCTTAGACAGTTTAAATAAAACAAAAAATTGATTTCCTTTTCAACAAATGGCCATATTCTCAAGTTCCTTTCAGTAATGCGTAAAAAGAAGTCAAAAGTCTAAAGCGACGATCGAATAAGATAATTTGTATAAATGCATGTTTTAAAATGATGAAATCATTATAACCTATCCGTTACAAAATGGAGTATTGGATACGAATGTTTACCGTGCTCTGTATAGTAAAAGGTGGGTGGCTTCAAAATTTTGCATCACGTTCAAGACGCTATTAATGAAGTTAAACAGAAAACACTTATCATTTTTCGTGAAAATTTGTGCTTAGTTCCTTTATATATGTTCAAAAGAGAAAAGTAAGAGAAAAGAATGGTATATATGGAACATTGTGTATAAGGCAATTATTTTTTTTGGTCATTATAATTCGATATAAAGTTTTCAAAATTAAACAGCAACCCCAAAAGGATAATTAAGGATTACATTTATATCACTGCTTATATATAGCACCTGTTTCGGAACATTCAGAACTTAATTCAGCATCGCGATCGACTCCTCACTATTTTTAAGATCCCTATATTTTCGAATATATTGTATAGAGATTCTCAGTATTTTGGTTTGATCCATTTGCTACACATCTTATTGTCATATTTGTATGTAGTTTGCAGTGCGGACATGTTTAACATAATTCCTCGACTGGTAGACAGGAAATCAGATGGTATTCCCATGGCTACAACAACTGTACCTATGATATCAATGTGTGCCTACCTGTGTAAGGCGAACAGTTCCTGTCGGGTATTCCACTACAACAACATCTCACAGGAATGTGGACTTTATAACAGTCAGAATCACAGAGATGTCGGTATAAAAGTGGGGACCAAACACTTTCAAATAATGCCAAAAGGTGAGAGAGAGAGAGAGAGAGCTCTTTTGAAATACGTATTTTCCATATATCTCCTTTCCCCTCCCGCCAAATTTTATAATTATTTGTTGCCTTGTATCAACTCTGCTCAATTTATTTCTAATTTCTTCTCAGTTGAGTCCCATGAAATTATTTTAGATCATGAAGTCGGCCCAATATCATACCTTTACAAGGAATTTTACATTTTATAAGGACGTTTCCTTATAAATGAGCCACGATTTATAATTGAATTCAATTGACATTTTTTTCTTCGGCAACGAAACTTGGAGAAGGTTACTATTATAATAGTATTTTCATCCATGTGATAACTTTTTTCGTCTGTCTGTCTGTTTTCTGCAAAATATATAGATTTGGGTGATCTCCTCCTCACCATCTAGTCCTTGTTATGTCCGTGGGCACATAGGGTAAGGGATTTGGGTGACATTTTAGGTTAATTTAGGTATTGTACCTTAAAATGGGGATCAGTTTTGAAGATGCAGATGGTGATTTCGTTCTCTCGCCTTCATCAAATGTTGACAATATGACTCAGAAGTTGTAAACTGCAATTTCCAATGAAAGGGCATTTTCTCAATGTCAAGTTTTGTTATATCGTTCCTCTTCACAAACCCTAGGGTTTAATTGTGTAGAAAGAACGAATATCACAAAACATTGACATTGTGAAGATGGTGAAAGGGGAAATTTAAGGGAAAATTTGCATGTGCGTTAGAGGCAGAAACATCCAGTGAAAGGTAGACTGAGGTTTTTTTTGTAAAGCCGTTTACTTGGTATCATAATAGACCACACTGTAAGAGATGCATTGTAGTTTTAGTTTACATGTATATTCCATCTAAAAGAATCTAATTTCAGAATGACGGAGGAATGCAATCTTTGTTTGCTTTCTTTTTGTATGTGTTATGAAAAATAATTTTCAGGCTCGACCTGTGTACATATATAGCTACAATCTAAATATTTTATCCAAGTTTTGTTTTTCTGTAGAGTGTGTTCCAGGAATAGATGAGTGGTTCCCAGATATAAACCAATGTATCTACATTCATACTACCACAGTGATATACGGAGATGCCCAAGGAACGTGCCATTCAATGTCCAGAGAATTAATGAGTATATATGGAGGGAAGTACCTCGCCGTCAAAGCAGTGATGCAAAAACTTGATATTTGTGAGTACATGTACCATTGTAAACCAACTCCATGAACGAAAAATGAAGTCGCCCGCGTGGCGCATTGGTTAGAGCGTTTGCTCAAGAGTCGCGGCGTAGAGTTGATCCTTTCAGGTTCGAATCCACTGTGCGACGTGGAGACCGGTCTTTCGGATAAGACCGTAGAAACCGAGGTCCCGTGTCGCAGTAGGTGCTGGCAAGAAAAAAAAAATCCTCACTGCTCAAAGGCTGTAAGTGCCGAGTACAGTACTAAATTGCAGTCCTCCACCGGCAAATGGTGGCGTCTCAATATGAATGAAAAATTCTCGAAAGGGGACATTAAACAACAAACAAAAAATGAAAAAAAATTCTTTCTTCTAAATGCCAACTTACTTTGCCATCCTGGAGACATACAGAACAATATTTTATTCTCTTTCAGTGGGAATTCACGTATACGCTAAGAGGGTCGGTGCTTTCTCCTATGAGTGGCGGAATGGTTCGGCGATCACAGATCACTGGTGCCCTGGTGAGCCTCTGGAGGACCGTGATTGCGTTGCTTTAATTGAGACTACATGGTGTCCAGAGTTAGGGCTGGACGATAGCTCCTGTACTAAAGCCAAGAGAGTGTTCTTTTGCGAAGAATGAGTGCATTATTAAATATGTCCGTGACTATCAGCATTTAACTTTGCCTTAAATGATTTAAAATAAAACCAGACTCTTTAATTTGGCCACATGCTACATGCATCTGATTCGTCGTGTACATACAGTAATTGAATTTCACATTTTGTACATCCATAATGCTATATAGCTCTAACAAAAGTCTAAATGTTCACTTTTTTGGTTCCTGTACAAATTCAACAAGGGCAGCGCAAAGCGGAGCATATCGATCATCCCTAACAAAAATGTACTATATAGTTAACTATAGTTTACTATATAGTTAACTACAGTTTACTATAGATCAAAGTTTTTACTGTGTAGAAAATAAAAGTTTTCACTATAGTAAATCAAAGTATTTTTACTATGGATTTAAGATTGTTATATTTTATGTTCCATAATTCATATATGCTTATTTTTTCATATTAAATGGATCTTCACTCGTATACTAACATATTATTTATAAATTTTACATCATTGGTTTTAAATTTAAAAGATTTTAAACTTTAAAATCTGAAAAAAGTTCTACATCAAAGTTTTCACTGTAAATCAAAGTATCGAAGTATTTACTATAGTTAACTATAGTAAACTATAGTTAACTGTAGTAATTTTTTGTTAGGGCTGATATGAATTATCACTTGCTTAACTTTTGTTACGCACCAACTCCCTCCCCCACACCCACCCACACACCCTCACCCCCCCCCCCCCCCACACACACACACACACAAGCGTTACTATGTCCTCTCTAACTTCGTTGCGAGGGGATTTTTTTTTTTCTCTCAAGGGAAAAAACAATTTTATTTTTTAATATTTTCCTTGGAGAATACTTTTATAATTCTAAGTAAATAAAAAGTTGACACTTGATTTGAAATACTGAGCATGTTAAGTTTTATTGACATGTTCCATGTCATGAGGTATGTGGAACGCTGCTACAGTTTGATTTATTAATCAGTGTAAATTTATTTGAGCAATGATCATTATGAATGATTTCTGATCGAGTTATAACTGAATGCGAGTGACATACTCTGTAGCTATTATTCTTTAACTACAAATTTTGCCTTGCTGCAGTGAACAAAAACGTTTATAAATGTTGATTTTCAAAATTTCTTTCTTGACCAGAGTGTTTATTAATTTTTCTGTGTTTCAATTTGAAGAATATGGCGTAAATTACATACGAAAGAATCGGATCTGAGACAACCCGTGATTGGCGACTTCAGTGTACGTAGGTAATTCAAGCTACATGTATTTAGCTAAATATAGTGATTGTTCAAGTGCTGTTAAGAGGAAAATGTTTAAAGGGTTAAAAAATACCGACAATAATCGTGGATACGTAAATAATTGGAGACTTTACTATGCGTAAGTAACTCAAGCTACGTAGCTAAATATGATGTTAACAAAAATGTCGAACTCGATTGCACACAACTGATCAATAATAATTTACACTTGGGAAAAGCAAAATACTGTATGTTATATTTCATTATCCCCTCGTTCAATTTTATTTATGTGATTGGGATATGAGAAGATCAGTCAATAGATGAATGAATAAATATATAATTTATATACATATATTTCAATCAAGTCAACATTCGATCCCGGTGCAAATTACGTCACTTCCGTTTCGCATATATGACAAATTAACCCACCCACAAAAACACACACGCATAGCGCGTTACTATATCTCCTCCGCAACTCCGTTGCGAGGGGATATTGAGGACTTTGCCGTGGTTTGCTTTTGAAAAACCTAAATCTAAACTACACTGAGGACACACTGCATATTGGGTTGTTAAGTTAACAATATCTAATTAAAAGCAATCTAAAGTAATCTCAAAGTACCGTATAAACAGAATTTTTAGGGAGGATTCAATTTTGGCATTATTAGTGATAGTTCTGAGATCGCTGAAATTGAATATCGCTAACAATCTATTCCATATCGGTTGTTATAGTTATCTCTCTTGACATTATAAAATCGCAAAAATTACTCGCTAAAAATATATACCAATTTTGGGGGATAAATCGCTAAATTTGCGTCTCGCTAAGATTTCCACTTATACGGTAATTGACGACATGTTTGGTTTTAACAGTGAGTTGTTAAATCTTGGTTCTTCAAAACATTTACTCGATAAACACAGGATATTAAAAGATGTTAATTATGTTGCATCTTAGATGTATGTTGTCAGATACTGGTGTTAGTAAGTAAATTTACCTATATCAAAATTAGCTCCTAATTTATTAATTTCAGAATTTGAATTTCTATTAGAAAAATAATAAGATCGATCTGAAATCAGCAAACCAATAGGATCCCGAACATACTTGTAAGTTGATTGTTGTTTAGTACAGGGTGTATCTTAGTTCATGGTCATCTATGACAAAAGTTATTAAAGATTATCTACTAAAACCATCTACAGGACCCCTTTATCGTCTCCCCCCTTCCAGGTGTTTATTATCATATACAGCTTACTGTATACCAGTTTTGCGTTGGTTTAGTATTATCCAATATTGGGACCAAAGAACTATATACGGTAAGGGCGTATTCCGGCCCCCATAATAGTCAAATTTTGAAAATCTCTTGAAATGAGCAAAAGTGCATATATTGTATAAAATAATCCAAATTAAGACAATATATTATGAAATTGGAAAAATTAGTTGGCTTTTCTTGTCTCTGTGACATCACAAACTATTTGGATTTCCGTTATTTTTAAAATAGAGGCCAAAATGCACAGAGTTTGTTCAAATTTGACTATAGTATTTATAGAGCGCAAGCTTGCTCAGGTACCATATTCACATATTTCATTGATATTATCATTCTACACAATATATCAAAAGATCTAGTCTGAGCAGACCTGCGCTCGATAATTTCCAATCAAAATACCGACGTAAAATACACTATTTTCTCTCAAAATCATTGCAATTTGGAATTTACGTCATTTTATTGACGTCATATCTAACTAATGATGTCATAGTTGATAAAAATATTTAATGCTTTGAAGTCTGCAAATATCCACCTGGTTTAGAACATAATTAAAGATTTCTCCATCAAAGTTTTATTTTGGGGGCAGATACTGGCCACTACAGAATATAGTCCTTTGATAGATTTTTTCCTACATCGATTATACAGCTGTATACATGTACATACATGTACGACAATAGAATAGCAAAATTGTACAGCAAAAATAACCAGAATTACAGTATTTGCTTTGAATTATACACATCTAAAGAACATCTAGTAAATGATTTGCTAGAAGAACTTGGTGTTAATTCTACTTTTGGAAATCAAACTTATACCCCCAGTTCACTTTCTAAGGATGAAATTCTTCAAAATCACGTTTTAGTCTTTAATGCTTAATATTCAAGTCAACGAAAGTGAATTCAATTTACCCTACCTATTCTGGATTCAAAGATACATGCAGGTTCCAGCAAATCCTCTACCAAGTCCCTATTAATACTCCTCACAAAAATATTAACTGCTGTGAATGAGAAACTTCAGACGTACATGTACTGTGCTACACCATATTCAAGAAATGGTGTAAATTGAATGTAAAATTTCAAAACCTCCTACGATCTTTTAGAAAATTAGAAATCACACATTTTTTTTCCACAGTCAGTAACTTCAAAACTTATGACATGATTTTAAACACTTATTACAATGAAATATGGAGATACGAACAGTAATCAAGCTCAAAAGTCCATTAAACAATACAAAGTGGGAGCAGAGCAAACACGGACCTCTAAAACATCACAGGTAGGATCGGGTACCATGGAGGAGTAAGCATCCCCTGTTGACCAGTCACTCCTTGTACTCCTTGTCATGATTGGGCAAACAGAAAAATTTCCGTAGATAATTCAGTGTGTAAATAATGGCCTTACAATTAGTATGAAAATGTCAGTCAGTCAGCATTCGCCTTAATGATAGATTGTATTTGTTTACAAGATCATTGTTTTGTTTGTTTATTGTTTAACTTCCCTCTCAAGAATTTTTCACTCATATGGAGACGCCACCACTTGCCGGCTCCCCTGACGTAATTGTTTATCTCCTCGCACTAAAGAGTTCCTCTATGGTCTGTTTTCATTTCTATGAAAAATACTTAAAAGCCACAGTAGAGGTTCAGTATCACATAAAAGAAAACAGACTGTAGGAACTCTTCAGTGCAAGCAGATAAACAATAACGTCAGGGGAGCCATATTTTGAACGGAGATTTTAGTGCATGTTTTTATGGTGGGATTTACATGCCTAGACGGTAAGCAATGTGAAAATAATAGTGACAGAGAGTTAATTGAACAACTAAATGACTTAATTGAAGCGAACGACAGTGTCGCCTAGATGAATAATCCCTGATATAGCCGGCCGAAGTTAGGGCTGAATCTCTTGACGTGAATTATGAAGGACTGTCCCGAAATTCGGTGGGCGTCAGACCAAATATCTAGCCCAGCCGAATCTCCACCGAGATTAGCCGTTGGAGGTCTGCAAATTTTGACCTATACTCGGCACTCAGGGCCATTTAGCAGTGAGGGATCTTTTTTGTGCCATCACCTACTGCGACCTCGGTTTATACAGTCTCATCCGAAGGACCGGTCTCCATGTCCCCCAGTCGGATTCGAACCCGCGACGTAGGGATCAACTCCTTACTCCTCGACTCTAAAGCAAACTCTCTAACAACTACGCCACGCGGGCGACTCATTGTATCGACCACAGAAATTGCGAAATGTTGACTTCAAACAAGACTGTTGATATCCTCGTTTCATCAACTTGTTTGTCAATAGCTTGCCTCGTTTTAGAAATTGTTCAACGTAGAACATGCGTATCAAATCAACCGGGAGGCATAATCTCCATGTGCAGGTGATAAGGGTATATTGCTACATAGATAAGGGAAGTTGACGATAGGAAAGTTGAAGTCATCACGTTTATCACAAAATTTTGTTGTTAGGTTACCATTTACATCTTTTTCTAGAAAAATATCCAAATATAAAACATATGTGCCAGGCTCTGTGGTCTTTTATTTGAAGTTCACTGGGATATATCAAGTCGACATAAGTATGGAAGTAACTATAATTAATTGTTAATTGATAATACTAAATGTTAAGTTAAACATAGGTCTGCTAATAAGGGGGGAGCAATTGCTACCCATGGAAATTCCAACAGATTATTGGTAGACTTGATCTGCAAATACTACATTCATTAGATATTGTCAATTAAATCTCGGACATCTTTTTTTTTAAATATGAACTTCGGAGGACTTGTGTGTACAATCAGAATGACTTTTTTAAAAAATCATTTTGCCAATGACAAAGTAAGTAAATTCACGGGTTCCATTTTTATTGAAAAATGTCAAAAAGGCTGGGCTTTAATTTATCGTGGGGAATGGTTGTGTAAAGTGTTGAAAGGTCGTAGTTTTGATCTAATTGATTTTTGTAAAATTTTGTGATTTCAAATTTTCTAGAAGTTCCTTGGAATTTTTAATTATCCACATTTGATTTACATCACTTCTCGAATATATTGTTGTACAGTACTCCCGAAGTTTCATCTTCATTGCTTTTAATATTTTAGTGAGGAGTAAAGAAAGAGGTCATTCCTGATGATAAATGAAAGATTAGGCTTTTTGATATAGACAACAGCTTCTTCAAGAAAAATGGAACTCGGAATTCATCTGAATTGTATGACAAATGGGATGATTTCACCTTTTCCACGAAATGTGATGATAGTCATGCTGAAAAGTCCAATAAAACGATACAAATCGTAAACAGAGCATACAGGACCTCTGAAGTTGGATGAGGTGCTATGGAGAAGTAAGCATCCGTAGTCAATTCAGTATAAAGATAATGGCCTAACAATTTGCATGAAAGACGTCAATCAACATTCGACCTAACGACAGATTGTATTTGTAATCAAGGTTATTGTAGGTCATTGTATCGACCATAAAATTTGAGAAATATTGACTTAAAATGAGGTTAGAAATACCCTTGTATCATTATTTGCCTTATTTTATATCTTTAAATCTTATATTTATAACTTTTTTGTCAGTAGCCTGCCTCATTTTTAGAAATTGCCTTGCTTATGTCTCAACTGCGTGACATAAACCCCATGTGCAAGTGATACTAGAAATGGTATCATAAGAGAAGTTGACGATAGAAAGGCTAAAGTCCTTACGTTTATCATAAAGTTTAGTTGTTAAATCGCCATCAATGTCTTTCTTTAGTAAAATATCCATATATGAAGCAGATATGCAAGACTCCGTGGCATTTCTTTTATTTCGAGTTCGATTGGACATATCAAAATAATGTATGAATGAAAATCAGTATTGTTAGTTGATAAAATATCGATACATCTAAATGTCGAATTGAAGGCCATAGCAAGAGATTTCTTCTTTTCATGTTAAGGTTTTTTTTTTTTTTAATTAAATGAATTCTGCTTCATAAGAATAGAAAACAGGAATCTATTGTATAGTATGTGAATCATATACGGTACCAATTTTGATGCATCAGATGCGCTTTTCGACAAATTATCTCTTCAGTGATGTTCATGCCGAAACGATGGAAATCCGAAATATTTAAATAAAAAGGACTTTGAAGAGCTGAAAAAAGGGGACCAAAGACTGGAGCTAAATACGTCGAAGGATCAGAGCTATGCATGAGGGAATTAATCCTTAATTTTGAAATAAAATGTTAATTTTACCACAGCAATTAAATATATATCCGTATTGCCGAAGTAATTAGCCACTGAGCTGTAGAGATCCTCGGGAACTAACAGTCCACCAGCAGAGGCCTCGAACCAGGGATCATAAAGTAAATCATATACGGTACCAATTTTGATGCACCAGATGCGCATTTTGACAAATTATGTTTCTTCAGTGATGCTCATGCCGAAACGTTGGAAATCCGAAATATTTAAATGAAAAGGACGTACTTTGAAGAGCTGAAAAAGGGGGCCAAAGACTGGAGCTAAATACGTCGAAGGATCAGAGCTATCCCTGAGGTATATAATCCCTAATTTTTGAAATAAATTTTACCAAAGCAATTAAATATATACCGTATTATCAAGCTAGTACCGAAGTACTTAGCTACTGGGTTGTAGAGACCCTCGGGGACTAACAGTGATGGCATATACTGAGGAAAACAGCCACCCCATGCTCTCTGTGCCTCAGCCGGTTCCTATGAAGCTGGTGAAATATTAATCCAAATGAATATGAATGAGTAATTTTTAAATGAATAAATCATAATCGTAAACGTCAATTCATTTCTATATTTGTTTTTATGCTGTTGAATCTTGACCCGGTTTAATAATCAAAATTCAACGATTTTCACTCGCTGCCGCTAGGGTCTGAATTCAACACTGTTGGTCTCAAATTCAACGCTGAAATATGACCCCGGGGTCACTGTTCAACTCGGGTCAAAATTTACGTTACAACGGTGTATTTTTTTAAAAAAATATTTGCTACCTTCTTGAAATACTGCTAGAAATTGATTAATTAATTTAGCAGAATAACTTTGATTAATCTTTGAAAATGATCAAGAGGCCTTTCGGTCTTTTATTATGTTCAAGGGTCACTCTGGACTCCTTTTTGATAAAAAATTATTACCCTACACTTAACATTAATTGTAACCTGAGAAGTTTTCATATGAGTCTAAAGTCCTTTTAAAAGTATCAAAAAGCTACAGTTTATATGTATCGTGCTGTAACAGTAGTGGAATTATAATCAAATGTTGATTATTAAAAAATGAAAGGAATTTAAAAAAAAAAAAATTGAAATAACAATATTTCTCCAAAATTATTACCAGCAAATGACAGCTTACAAAATCTTTCCTGTTGTGTTGATTTGGTCCAAAGAAGCTGGTATCAGGTTGACAGCAGAAGCTTTTAGAAGATTTTAAAAATGACGCACCATTTGACAACCTTAAGGGTGTTCAACTGTAACAAATATTCTGAGAGTATTGCATTAGCAATACTAGTCCCCTACCGACAAGTGTAATCTGGTTCCCATTAAAAATTAAAAATGCCATTATTCCGTCAATAATCATTGAAGCGGAACGAAATGCAAACTTGATCTATAACCCATCAAGGTAAAGTCACATACCAAAAATCAGCTCAATATCTACAAGCGTTTAGAAAAAGGTGCGGAAAATCAAGTGGGACAGACAGACAGACGGATAGACAATTGTGGAAGAAACCTACAGTCCCCTCCGGTTTTACCGATGGTGAACTAACAACTGCATGTATAAAAAAGGCAAACTAATATTATCATCATCATTAGTTTGCATTGGGTATACATGCATCATTAACCATTTATCCCTTGATATTGTTAATTAGTTTCCAAAGTATCCGAGCTGATATAAAGGTCAATGTTGTAAAGACACTGTAATTGAGTGGGACGCTGTATTAAAAGAGCGTTATGGTCTATATGCCACATACTCCTGTACTAGAATTACAATCTCACAAAGCTATTTAAATATCAATGGAAGGAAAAGTAGAGAGCGTAAATACCTAACTTCTCTAAGCGGTATATACAGGCTTTTTGTAATCCAATTTGTAATCATGTTGTCAGATCTCGAAAGTTGTCCTCTTCTAACCAGCAACAGAAATGATAATTTTGAAAATGCAGGTGAAATTTCTCTACAATCACTGAATACAGAATCACAAGAACAGCAAACCGAAAGGGAAGGATTTCAAAGGTTTATCGAGACAGAAACAGAAACTCTGGAAAAGGAACTTTTCCAGCAATTAAGCAATACTCCAGGCCCATCACCAGAAGACAAGGAAGTACCACACATACCCCTGCCACCCGGGAAGAAACATCATTTGTTTGTGTCTTACTCTGTAGAGGATCATAATGAAGCAACGAATATTTGCGAAGAGTTGAAGAGAAGATTTAACCTTAAATGCATGAACTGGTATCACGATTTTCACCAAGCTAAAACTATAGAGGAAAATATCCGTCATGAAATGCAGCAAAGTGTTAAATTCCTCTTATTGATGAGTACGTCTTACTTTGAGAGTTTCTGGTGTGTAAATGAAGCACGCGAAGCGTGTCAACAAACTTTTACAGAAAAATCAAATGTTATTCCGGTATTATTGAATCCTCTGAACACCGAATTGCCCATTTATCTGAGTTCATGTGTGTATATAGACAAAGGTAAGGAAGAGGATGTTGCAGCCAAAATTTATGAGGTTTTTAATCGTCCAGGTAAGTGTCTAGTTAAATTTATTTCATTTTAATTTTATCTATATGACGTATTCATCTTACAATTCCTTTGGTATTACACTTCTGGTATTTCAAATTCTTTTAAATTAAAGGGTATAAAAATTTAAATACTTTATAATATATAATTTATAGAAACCTTGGACCAATTACAGCTGGGCAGGCCAGGTATGTCCCTAATATGAAATCTAGTGCAATGCTAATTGAAACAAAATTCGCTACCACTTATAATCAGTTTTGCGCATATAAAATTAACTCTACATTGCATCTCAGAACATGTAGCTGCAAAATGAGTGTTGACACAGAAAAATATGATTTCAACAAACTCCTAAAAACAATGAACATATTTAGTCACATGTTTAAAAAACATCTTTTGGTCAATATTATGGTCATTAAACTCAACTCAATTAATGGTTGAAAGGAGTCTTAAATGACTGCTAGTATTAATTGGCCATTCAGTCAACCACAAGATTGATAAGATTCCGCCTCCTTAAAGAGGCGAAGACATTAATTTGAAGTTTATATTCTTAAAAATTTTAGAATGTCATGACTTACACGTGACAAGAAAGTTTCAGACCAATATATTAGAATGAGCGAAAATTATCTTTAAAAAACTCTAAATGTCGGGGGAGTTTGATTGTTTTACAGCATAGAACTTCAAAGAAATAAAATCTATCCCTAATATTTAAGAAAAGTGGAAAATCTGTTGTGTATAAATAAGACATATTTAAAACTGTTATCAAGAAAAATCAGAATAAAATATAGGAAAGTAATACAACACACCAGACTGAGTGTTATCTGTTTGCGTTCAGTGATGTGTGCAGTGTTAGCTAATCGAAAAAAAACCTGCTAAAATGTAAGCATAAACATTAACAATTCCCATCCTTATCTTTACAAACGCAGGTGTATATTGTGAGGGTTATGAAGAATGAGGTTGTCATTGAATATTTCAAAGAATCTAATAGATACAAACAATACAAATCTATTAACAGGGCATAACCACCCCCCCCCCCCCCCCCCCCGAGATAAGGTGCCGAGGAGGGGTAAGCATCCCCTGTTGACCGTTCACACCCTACATGATCCCTGTGTATTGATCAGGTAGACGGAAAATCCCGTAGTCAAAATTTACTTTGAAACAAAGGCCTGAAACACGTGGTATGAAACACGTCAGCCAGAATTCAACTCGGTGATAGGTTATGTTTTGCTAACAAGGTCATTATAACGACTTAGACTACATAGAACTTTTTTCAGTTTCTAATGCTAAACCGTTAATTTACTCTAATTAAGACCCATTACTTTTACTTGCACAATTATCTTTTTGACCTCGCTGGACTTTACGCGGTAAGTTCTTAAATAGTTTTCGTTAGTCCATTAAATGAGAGAAAAAGTGTAAATTGACAGAACGTTAAAGGTACCCAAGCTATAAAAGATTGATTAACAATTGTCATTAAGATTCTTTATCAAGGTGGTATGGGATACCAAACAAAACTTCTCCTGCATATTCATTTACCAAAATTAAGAGGAAATGAAATGCCCCCACATTTCAGTATGTTAAATTGTAATTTTAATAATTTTTTTTTATTATTTTAATGAGAAGTACAAAACTGATTTTTTTTCTCATATAATTCTTTTTTTCAAAAGTTTAATATCATAGGCAGGAATTTACTAATATAAAGTGTATATAAAAACAAAAATGACAAGAAATATGTCTTAGTATTTTTTTTAATTTTCAACAAAAAATTAAGCGTAAAAACTGGGAAAACTTCATTTCTTGAAAACAGACTAATAACATTTCATGAAAGTCTACAATTAGAATGTATCTTGATATGTAAGTGTAATTTCTATATTTTACATGCATAGGTTTCTTTAAATAACCTTGCAAACAAAAATAGTCAACTAAATGCTTATATAACATGCATTTTAGTGATCTACATATATCAGATATAGCTTCTTGTTTAAAAACATCACACATTCTATTGTATGTTATGTCTAATATAATACTATCCTTTTGATTACTATGGTACAAGTCACCCAAACCTAGAGTGTACATTTCATTTTTTATACTCATATTCAGGGATCTTTATTCTCTACCATATCTTGATAACATGCACTCAATATACAATTATAATTACTTTTTCTTAATTTTAACCAATATTGTAATATTCTGCGCTTTCTGTATATATCTAGTGGTATTCTACCTAACTCATAATAAACAGCACTATTGCAAGTATTTTTTCTTACACCAAGTATTCTTTTACAAAAATTAATATGCACTCTTTCAACATCTTGACCTTTATGAAACCCCCATATTTCAGCTCCATAGCATAACACACTTTTAACACATTAATCTGAGTCAACATTGAAATTTAAATCTTTCATTTTACTATAAATACTAAACATTGCCTTGTTACCTTTATTTGCACAATGTTTCTGTGTGGATAAGAATTTACCATTATAGTTAAATAACATTCCTAAATAGTTAAATTGATTCACAACTTCCACATTGTTACCATTATATTTCCATATAATAGTGTTTCATTTTAAAGAAATTTAGAGACGTGATAAAAACCCTTTAACATTTTGATTCAAATTCTGGAAAGTATTTCTATTACAGAACATCCTCTTAATTTTCAAATGATCTCATAATATATTTAAAAAGTAACACAACCTAGCAAATTAAGGGATTTTAAAATGCTATAGGTTAGATGATGGAAAGCTTCAGTCCAATACAGACGTATGTCAGGATTCCTTGGAATAACTTTTACACCTAAGCTTTTGCACTGTCAATAACCCTATTTAAATGAATATCTTTGCCGCCTGAATACAAATAACTCCATATGCAAATATTATTTTAGATTTTTTTTTTTAAAGAAGTGTATGGCATTGAAGTTATTTTACATTTCATTTACATCTCTTATAAAGTTGGAGAAATTTAATTACAAAAAATGTTTAAAAATCAACCGTTGTCCACTGCCTAAAGTGGATAACATGGGAAATTGTTTCTATCTTTTCATATCTTTTACTATCAAAAAACCCATTCAAAATGTGCTTTGTTTGCTTCTTTTGGAAATATTAAAGTGGTAATTCATGCTATTTAATACATTTTTCTATTAAGAACAAAGAACTCAATTTTAAAAAAATAAATCTCTGATTATGACAAGATCATTAATTTTCTTTTTAGCTGCCACAACTGCCACACATAACGGTGCTTTGATATGCCAAAAAGTTGCAGAAAAAGCAAAATTTGCTATCCATGGACTTGCTTTCAGATTTGCACCTTTAGAGAAATATGAGCTCGGGAAAGCTACTCAATTTGACATAAGTCAGAAACAGGTTTTCATTGTTTTTAAATTTATTTTCAATAAACATTCAATATAATATTAAGAAATATTAAGGAATATATGAAACCAAACTCATAAATGCTTTACCTTATATTTCAGTTTGAGAACCATTACATCACTCTCACAACGACATTAAATAATAAATTTTTGTTCAGAAATTATCAAGTACTAACAACAGTGGAGTGGCGATGCATGGCTTTGCTATTCCTATTTCTAGTAGCTGTAGCCATTGAGGGATCTTTAGTAGTCTTAAGTAAAACCAATATTTACGAAACCGAGAAATATAAAACGTTTAACCTGATAACGCTGACAGTTGGATCAGCAATGACGATTTCAATAGTTCCGATTGGATTTTGTATTATACATATATGCAGAAGAGTTGTAAGTAGTAGACGGACTTATCTCTCTATTAATTCTCTCTCTCACTCTCTCCTCTCTCCCTTTTCTCTCTTACTCACCTCTTTCGTTTTTCTCCCTCTAATATCTCTCCCATTCTCTCATTTTCTCTCTCTCTCTTTCAGATATGCCTCTTCCGCTTTTCTCCCTCTCCCTTCTCTCATTAATATTTTCTGTCTCCTTATTTCTGTCTCCATTCTCTCTTTCTTTCACTCTCTCATGAACTCTCGCTCATACACATAGGAACGTTTTGTGCTCTATGTAGCCTATATATTTTATTAATTATCTAATTTCATTTTTTTTTTAATTAAAGCTTTGTAAAGATGTCCACTTGATTGTGCTTAAATACAACCTGATGTTTTACAAGGAGAGTAAATGTCTTGTGTACTTTGACAACTCGTGCCTTTCCAAACCTACAATATCCTTAAAAATTCGTTCAAGACAATGCAAATTACAAAACAAATATTATTTTTCATCCTTTTAAGTAACATGCAACAATATGGACAAAGACTATAAAAACAATTAAATAAAAATCTAAAACACAAGTTGGTTTCTTTAATTTCATTGAAAGTATATATCTTAGTATTTCCAACATTGTGGATCTTTGTTATCTTATATATGCACAATGATCATATTATACAATTATTGCTGTTTTGAGGTCAATACGATGATTTAGCCACCTGAGGAGTACAATATTCACCGATCCCGAAGAGTGAATATTTTACTTCGATGGTGGCTAAATCATCGTATTGAAAAAACAAAAAAAAAAACAAAAAAACAAAAACACCAGCAATAATTGTTTTATTATATGATTCAAGGATTAAGTGATAAAAACACATTAAGCAAACCATGCTATGACGTTTGCTGAAGACTTGGCCAAACGCAATGAAAGAAGCGGGGCCAAAATAAACAACCAGTTGTAATAATTTGGAAATTTCTTAATCTATTTTTGGTGCGATGTAGAACAGATAAATATAAGGCATTTAGCATCGATTTTGAAAGGGGGAAATTTACGGGAAAATAACAACTTATCTGAAAAATCTTGTTTCTTGGGGAGGGTGTTAAGGTCCAATAAATTTTTGGAAATATAATACTGTATCAAAAAGTGGGGGAAAGGGCCAATCAGATTTTTCACTGAACATTTTCAAACTACATTGAGAGTAAAAAATTACGTTCAGAAAAAGTGGGGTGCCTGAATGTTGTGTTAACCTGAGTGGAAATCATGTGCAGGTGAAATAGCTTTTCAGAACTAATTGTATCAATTTGTAAGTTCTAGATCTCAATCTATTTTTAATCCAATGTACAAAGAAAAATCCTTATGTTCACCTGGAAGGTCACGTGCAGGTGAACTTAACAACTTTACGTAGTAATTTTTCTACAATGTCGTAACTCAGCCAAACAAAGAGCTATGAACAATTCAATCATATAATAATGGAAATTATAAGCAATGAAACATTAAATTCTCTACACATTACAACCTGTACAATTACCTTTTAATTTCATAAAATTTTCTTAACAAGTGAACCAGCTTTATATCTACAGATACGGTACTTCAGAATGCGAGGTAATAATATCTCATGAGTTCAGTACTTCTTATCAATTGGCTCATTTGAGCTTTCTTATAGAAAAAAACCCTTGTCTTGCGTTTTGTTTCGTTTGTTTTCTGCAAATCATTTACATGTTCGATTTCTTCTCTAGAACCTTTTACTTAATTTCAAGCAAATCAGACAGAAAGTAACACTGGCTGAATGGGACTTAAGTTTATTCAAATGAAAGGTCATGTGTTTCTTCAAGGGGAGACATTTAGCATTCAGAACTGGTGAATGTGGCTATAGTATGGGGTTATCTAAAAATCCGCTTCAGACAAAATAAGACAATCTTATACGAAATCCCCCTTCTACAATGCAGAATTGAGTTTGATCAAATCGTACCCCTTTCCCACTTGGGTTTGGGTTGGGTCAGGATAGGATGTTGAAGTTTTATATAGGAATGCATACAGGAATAAAATAATTTCAAAATCTCAAGACCGGCCGAGCAAGAATATACCATCCAATAATATGGAAATATGATGATTCCATTGAAGTTTCGTTCAAATAATGTCCCCAGAATGAAATGGAACCATAGCAGGGGTTAAATATTACAGTTTTAACATAGGGTGTATAAATATTTTTGTCATAGAATCTTTTTTCTCAGGAAGATTATTATAAGTTAAATTAATATGAAGACATCCTTACATGTATGTTGTGAAGACGCAGATTTCTTTGACTCATAGCCCGTGGATCAAGGGTGAAACCACAATAGGATTCAAAGCTTCACATGATAGGAGGGTCGTTAACTAAATAATGCAAAAGGTCATCTAAAAATAGGAAAAGCATGTAAAGCTCATTCTTAATACTTTCAATCCCTCATAGCATTCCTTGTTAACATTTACACAGGTGTAAAGTCTTTGTACCCATGACCAGAAAACATCAGCATACTCATCTTTAGAGATGCTCTAAAGACACTGATGAATAGCACTTTCCATGATATACCTGAAATTGTAAAATCTTCCTTTGATTAATTTCATATGTTTTTAGAAGAAAAAGATCTCACAATGGCTGAGATCTAGCTAATGTGGGGGATGCCCAAGCTCTGTAAACTTTCCTTTCTTCAAAATTTTATTTATTTCTCTATGCTTATTTGCAGCAACGTTTTCATATGCAGAAAAATACTCCGGGGACGGGTATTTGGATTTGCTTTGCAGGAAATCTGCTCAACTTTTCTGATTGAAATTTTCACATAAAAATTACCATTGATAATCCTTCCTTTGGCTGTATTACCTGTTTTACTAGACCTCTTGAATAAAAAGAAAACCAATAAAACATATTTGGAAGTCTTGCTTCTCTTTGCAATAATAGGACGACAGCTTTCTCTTTTATTCCACATTTTATTCTTGATCTTCCATCTCGGCTATAAAAAGTACACCCATGTTTCGTCATCCATAACTCAAGTTTATTAATTCTTCTTTTTTGTCACAATGTTTATTTTCAAATAGACCATTGGCACATTTAATGTGTGTTTTCTCATTGGCATTTGTAAAGAAATAAGGCACCCATCTGATAGAATTATTGATTTATTTCATTTGTCAGAACTCTATAAACTGTTATGACGATGAAATGTTTCGTGTTTTAGCAAAGACTATCAAAGGAAATTTGGCATTTTCTGATATCATGTTGCTCACAGCATCGATATTTTTTGGTGCACCTACAGATTTCGATCGATCAGTTTGACTGCATTTTTTTAATTTTACTTTTTTTTCTTTTAAATTTCCAAATCCATCTGAAAACTATACAGCGTAAAAGACTAGTCTTTCCACATTTCAAAATCATATCTTTTATATGGGTTATTCAGCTATTTATGTAATGAAGTAAAGTTTTCACATACGCCCTCATTTTTATCTTCTTGGCAGAGATCATTTTTAAACAGTTTTCAGCTCAGTGTATTGACCATGCTTACTTTAAAAGTGAATTCCTTTGCAACAACAATAGGAAAAAAACACGGTGTTTTCTTCAATTAGGAGATCTAAAATAGGACCTTTCATCTGTTAAAAAATAAAATTCAAAACTTCTACATTCATTATGATAAACTGTATGTTGCATTACTTATTGAATGACCCTCGCATATAAACAGCTACCACCTGCATATTCTCATATTTTTTTCAAGCAGGAACCATGCATTTCGCTCTTGTGGGACTACGGTTGGGGTCAAGAGCCACTGCAACTATTATCAGTCATAATTTGTCTTCATCCCCATAAAGCGTAGTCTCACGTATGTTCAAATCATGACCCCTTGGCTAGAGTAAAGCCTCAACAGTTTTACAGATTTTGATTGATGAAATATGGAGATAACGAACCGTATTTAAGCTCAGAAATCCATTCAAACAATACAAACTGGGAGCAGAGCAAACACGGACCTCTAAAACTTTGGTACATTCTTGCCGTGCGGCGATAAACAAGACCCAAAGATGTGTATTTTAATATTTTATAAAGTATTGCATATATCTGAATGAAATTTCAGGACAAATAGATAGAGATATTAGTATATGAAGTTTTGTTTAAAAATGATTAAAGATTTTATAGCAGGTGTGACATTAGTTTTGGATCAACCCTCGCATATATGTGAATGAAATATGGAGATAACGAACGGTATTCAAGCTCAAAGTCCATTCAAAAAATACAAATTGGGAGCAGAGCAAACACGGACCTCCAAAAACATCATGGGGTGGGTGGTGGGGTGGTGGTAATATTTTTTCTTCAATGAAGTCGTCTGTATTACCTCAGAGATTTTTGACTGATTCTCTGCAATGATTCGAACAAAATTAAAGTTGGTTTGTAGTACATACTGGCAGTGAAATTTCATTCCATGTTTAAATAATATGTTTCTAAGTTCAAATAGCCATACCATAAAGATTTGCAACTAGTTTTATTGTTTTGGGTGATGTTTTAAATAGTCCCTAACGCATGTTACAATAAGGAGATAATAGTTTATAAAGCAAGACTTTTATTTCAATGTAATTTTCTTCCGTTTTATGTTTGTTATTTTGTTTTTAGTTTGTATGTAACCTAAGGGTTAAATGGAACACGTGATTTCCAAACAACTTACTTACTTACTTATCCTCTCCGTGCCCCGGAGGACGCATGAGGCCATTTAATAAAGAACGCCACTTACGGCGGTCGCTGGAAACAACCTGCCCCTCCTTCCAGCAGCTCCAATCCAGTTCTCCTCTTTCTTTCTCAACAGAGCGTTGTCGGATGTTCTTTGGCCGTCCTCTTCTCTTTCCCTCAGGGGCCCATGTGAGAGCTGTTCTTATATGTGAGCTGGCTTCCCTTCGGAGGATGTGGCTTATCCGTTTCCATCTCTTTCCTTTGATCGTCCTTGATAGAGGTATGGATCTTGCTCTCTCATACATGTACAATTGTTGGTTGGATATCTTTTCAAGCCAGTGTATTTTTCTGATCCTCCTAAGGCATATCCGATGGGATGAGTCAAGCTTTTCATCGTCTTTCTCAGCGGTTCTCCATAGTTCCGAACAATGCAGCAACACAGATAAAACATTTATGTTGAAGATCTTAAGTTTGGTTTTTTTGCTGTATTGTGCTGACTTTCATTCTTTGGTGAAGGATGCGAAAGCAGTCCCTGCTAAACCTAGCCTTCTCCCATGTCTGCCTCAGTACGAGGGTCATTCAATAAATAATGCAACGTACCCTACATCATAATAAATGTAGAAGTATTTTATTTTATTTTTTCACAGTTGAAAAGTTCTTCTTATCATAGAAAATCCCACGATTTTTCATATTGTCCTCGCAAAGAAATTCACTTTCACAGTAAGCATGGTCACTACACTGAGCTGAAAACTGTTTAAAATAATCTCTGCCATGAAAGATGAAAATGGAAGCTTATATGAAAACTGCTTCTTTACATAAATCGCTGAAGAACTCATATTTAGGATATGATTTTTATGCCCCCATATTTTGCCCTGTCCGTCCGTCTGTCTGTCTAGCTGTCTGTTTGTCTGTTTATCTGTTTGTCCTCAAAAACTTTAACATTGCTCATAACTTTTGATTGGTTGGAGCTATGGCTTTCATATTTTACATGTGTATTTCTTGTGACAAGAACTTTCTTTGGGTACCACCATATTTGACCTTGGAGTTTGACCCAGTTTTACAAAATTTCACACAACTTTAACCTTGGCCATAACTTTTGAACAGTTGGAGCTAGGGCTTTCGTACTTCACATGTAGTCTTTGTGACAAGACCTTCCTCTGGAAACCAACAACTTTGACCCTTTGATCTTGACCTAGGAGTTTGTCCTACTTTTGAAAAACTTTAACCTTGGTCATAACTTTTGAACGGTTGGTGCTAAGGCTTTCATACTTCAAAAGTGTAATCCTTGTGACAAGTCCTTTCTCTGGATACCAACATCTTTTACCCTTTGACCTTGACCTACGAGTTTGACCTATTTTTAAAAAACTTTAACCTTGGCCATATCTCTTAAACGGTTGGAGCTAGGGCATTCATTTTTCACGTAAGTAATCCTTGTGACAAGTCCTTCTTCTGGATACCAACAACTTTGACCCTTTGACGTTGGAGTTTGACCTACTTTTGAAAAACTTAAACCTTGGCCATAACTTTTGAACAGTTTATGTTAGGGCCCTCATTCTTTACATGTGTAATCCTTGTGACAAGACCTTCCTTTAGAAACAAACAATTATAGCCCTTTGATCTTGACCTAGGAGTTTGTCCTACTTTTGAAATACTTTAACCTTAGTCATTACTTTTGAACGGTTGGTGCTAAGGCTTTCATACTTCAAATGTGTAATCCTTGTGACAAGTCCTTTCTCTGGATACCAACATCTTTTACCCTTTGACCTTGACCTACGAGTTTGACCTATTTTTAAAAAACTTTAACCTTGGCCATATCTCTTAAACGGTTGGAGCTAGGGCATTCATTTTTCACGTAAGTAATCCTTGTGACAAGTCCTTCTTCTGGATACCAACAACTTTGACCCTTTGACGTTGGAGTTTGACCTACTTTTGAAAAACTTAAACCTTGGCCATAACTTTTGAACAGTTTGTGTTAGGGCCCTCATTCTTTACATGTGTAATCCTTGTGACAAGACCTTCCTTTAGAAACAAACAATTATAGCCCTTTGATCTTGACCTTGGAGTTTGACCTACTTTTGAAAACTTTAACCTTGGCCATATCTTTTGAACGATTGGTGTTAAGGCTTTCATATTTCACATGTGTATTTCTTGTGAGAAGGCCTTTCCTTGGGCACCATTAAGTTTGACCATTTGACCTTGACCTTGATGTTTGACTTACTTTTGAAAAACTTTATCATTTTCCATATCTTTTCAATGGTTGCTGCTAGGGCTTTCATATTCAAGAACTTACTTTTGATACATGTACCAACATATTTGTTTTGCATTTGAGAAAGTTTAACCTTCGCTATAAGTTGCCATACGGGGGGCATCAGTGTTTCACAAACACATCTTGTTATATGTGGAAAGAATAGTCTTTAATACTGTATAGTTTTCAGATTGATTCAGAAATTCAAAAGTAAAAAAGGAGAGTTCAAATATAATGGTCAAACTGATCAATTGAAATCTGTAGAATCCTGACAAAGGAAATGAATATAATAATATTTCTATCATACAGGTGCCTTACATGTATTTTCTTACAAATGCTTAAGAGAAAACATGCGTTAAATGTGCCAACGATCTATTTAAAAGCAAATATTTTAACAAAATAGAAAATGACATAAACTTGTGTGATGGATGAAGAAACATGGGTGCACATTTTATAACCGAAAAGGAATATCAATAATAAAACGTGGAATCAAAGAGAAAGTTGTCTTATTATTGTTAAAAGAAACAGTGGGCTCATAACGTGTTTATTCTAGTTTTCATTTTTTTCAAGAGGCCCAGTAAAACCTGTAAATACACCCGAATGAAGGAGCATCAATGGTAACTTTTATGTTCAAATTGCCGTTAGGAAAGTTAAACAGATTTCCCGCGAAGGAAGTCTAAATACCGGTCCCCAGAGTAATTTTCCTGTACCTGACAACGCTGCTGCAAATGAGCATAAAGAAATAAATGAAATTTTGAAGAAAAGAAGGTTTATAGAGCTTTGTCTGTAAACAAGAACGAAAACAAGGCAAAACACCCCCCCCCCCTAAAAAAAACAAAACAAAAGAAATAGAACTTTGGAAACACCAGAGGAGGGACCAGGTGCCTAGGAGAGGTAGGTATCCCACGTCGACCAGTCACGCCCACCATGTGCCCTCGATATTGATTAAGTAAAGGGAGCAATCCGTAGTCAAAAGTACAAAAATACATTCGCCTAATAATTGATATGAAATTTTGTAATCGCAAACAATACATGTACCATTATGTCTACCATAGAATTAACAAAATGCTGACTTTAAATTTTTTTTTAGAAATCTCTGTGACATCAACGTATTTGTCATTAACCTGTCTCGGTTTAACAATTGATTTTATAAAACATACCCTTGACTACCATATTAGTTAGGGGACATAAACACGATAAGAAAGCTGATAGTTGAATATTTTTTACATAAATATAGGTATAAATTTAGGTACGTTGACGGCTGAAAAGCTGAAGTCATTCATTCCGTTTGTCAGATAGTGTAGTTGTTAGTTTGCTCGTAAAGCTTATTACCGGTAAAGCATCCAGATTTGACTAGATGTGGCAGTTCTGCCATATCCATTTCAAGAAATCTGTATTATTAAAATTGACAACAGTTTAGTTTCAAGATGTACTCGACCTTTGTTGTTAATTTTCTGATTCTTAAGTTCTTTCCAAATGAGTAATAAAGTAAAAGGGTTTGAGCAGATCAGATTTTAAATGTATAAAAATCTTACGGACAAAATGCCCATAAAGTTCTCTTTTCAAGTGAACTTAACCCACAATAGAATTTGATCCTGTCATTGATTGAAACATGCTCACTTGTTTAAGATTTATATCAAAATTCAGATAAAATATGTTTAGGAACACCTGTTGTGTCTATTGAGAACAAAAAGACCCTCAAGAGATGTGGACACTATCAAAGTGAGTTTTACTAGAACTTCTATACCATGCATGTTTTCTAATTATTTTATGTTTTTAAATCGTAAATCATTGCTATTGATTAAAATGAAATATGTTGACAAAATGATTTTTTACTTGATAAACAATGATTAATTATGTCCGTATTTTCAGAATAAAGTTAAAGACTTAATTGAAGAAAAATTGAGAGAGTTTCAGAGTACCAATGCTATGAAGAATTGGACTAGCATATCAGAGAGTGCCACTAATCGTCATCCAACAAGGAATAACCGGGCTTGTCTTTGTGAAATGATTGAGGACTTTGTGAACAAGAAGCTTGATAATCAAACAGTTATTGTGGCCTGATAAAATGGAATCTTTTAGAATATTTTGTTCAAGTTTAGAGCTAAGCTAATTAAGGCTTTTAGCTATAAATGTTTATCGCATTCATGACATCTTTAATGATTCTCAGTTCATAAATATGCTTTTAGAGTTTAAAAATATGTGATTTCTAAATTTTTGAAGGAACAGCTATAGAATTTACTTTTCTATATTCTGCGATCATCTATTTCATTGAAAAGACTCTTTACTTAAATTCTACAATATGCAATGTTTCATAAATTTAAAAATGAAAATAAAAAAGTAAATGCAACATTTAATAACTCTAAAATGACTTTTTATAAAGGATGTCATATTTACCTGTTTGTATTTCAATATACTGAGAAATTACGAAATGTTAAATTTCTGTTTATTATTTTTTTTTCATCATGCTTTTTATTACAGTCTTGTAATTTACGGTCCGCTGTTATTTCTTATCGTTGGTCCTATTATTGTTTCAACGGTATACGTGGTTCAATTTTGTTACGTAATGGCCAACCTTAGTAAAAGTTTGATTTTGATTTAGTCCGCATTATCTTACAACTTAACTTTTAATATTACAGGTTCAAATTCTGGATTTTTAATAGTCTTTTTTTTCAATAACAATTGAATTAATTATACATGTAACAGAGAAAAATAGGTTGTGATTCGAAAACTTCAGTTGGTTACATTGTTCATAAACAGTTTCTCCCGATTAACCAGTATAAAACAATAATCATTACATGTAAGAAGTAGCATAGATAGGCAGTATAGAAACATAATTTTTCATTCAATTTTTATGCAAGGAAATAGTTGTATTAATGTAAATCACAAAAACATTAATTTGACTTAAACGTTACATTACATAAACATTTATTACTATACATGTACTACATTAAAGATAATAAACTTTCAAAAACAGCATTTTTTTTAAATGTATCTCTTGGTAACAATAGTTCTAGTTAAATAAAATGTAAATGTGAATGGAAGACAAAAACCAGATGAAAAATAAATTGCAAACTTATTATTCCTCCGTGTAAAAGTTGGTTGTACAGTAGTAAATAGGGATATGTGTGTATAGATCAGAGATGTACTGAGCTTAACAGGGATGCGTACAGTCTGGTCCAGTGATGTACAGTACCAAACTGTGATGCGTACAGTGAACAACAGAGGTGCATTATGCTGTACAAGGTTAAGTACTGTTTAGAGCTGTGCTGTACAGTGCTCTCCTGTGATTGCGTACAATGACAAACAGTTTTGTACACCGTGCTGTAAAAAGGGTAAGTGTCTATACTTATAAATTAATAAATTTTGCAAATAAACTCCGAAACGGGTGCACCAGAGTTCTTACTAACTCCTCTATGAATACACTAGATACAAGATGAGGTCCGTAAACTATATTCAGATTTCACTTTCATAGTAAGTATCGTACATTGAATTTAAAGTCTACTTTCATTTTCTATAAACAGCAATGAAATAGTAAAAACTTGAGTGCGGTGGCGGTTCCGGTTGGCGGATATTATACACTTATTTCATGACTACGAGGGGAACAGTCAAACTGTTGTCCCGAGGTAATGGGGAAGACCTGGGAAACTGTTGCCCGAGGCCGAAGGCCACACGGAGGAAACTTATTATTCCTCCGTGTAAAAGTTGGTTGTACAGTAGGCCCCGTGTAACGTGTAATATTCAAATCTTCAAGACATCATTATGTTGTTAACTACATGTTTTTGTTTAATTTATTAGTGAATGATAATATCACACCCATTAATTTTTCTGATTTTACACCAATCGGTGTGAGAATTTGATTAATATTAACTTGTTTAGTTTGGTTTTAAAAAATATCAAAAAGCACAGATGATCACGGGTATTGTAAAATGAAAAAAAAACTTTGTTGTCCATTTAACTGTTTAAATGCCTAAGGGATGCTGCTCGTTTTCCTTAACCTTGAAGCGCTAGTGTTCTGAACGTGGTACAGACTACATTTTTTATATCATTTTCTAGTTAACAACGTAACAACAAATTATAAACGCCCGTAGCATCTTTCATAGTTTTCTACTCTGTTTACTTTTTCATTAAACAGTTTTTTTTAAAAATTGTTTTTTTTTTTTGGGCAATCCATTCAATATCGATTGTAGATTGAGTTGAACCACGTGTTCGAAGTAAAATGTAAATATATAGGTGTAGGGTTGGATACCGGTACTCGGTACCAATACCGTACCGAATAGTTACTTCAAAAATACCGGTAAAATACCGTTTCATTTAATACCGGTACTAATAACGGTATTTCTCAATCTTTGAAACATTTCAATACATTCAAAATGATTTTTAAAAAAGAGATTCCAGACTCGCTAAAATAAAATTCTCCGCGCATTGAAAGGGTAGGCTATTTAACGAAATGGATGCTTAGTACGATACTTGCTTTTGACTGCCGATATTCGAGGTAAATCAATACGTATATTTAAAAATAAAAAAAACATTCACATTAATCGTGTTTTAATTTTATTTATAAAAACTGATAATAATTGTAAATAAAAAATGCAAAATGTCGCAAAAATGTGATGTGCATCTCTATCCATTTTTAATGTTTTGTCGTTTAGTGCGACCAAACAAAATGGGTCCTGGCAAGTGGCAACCGGGTGAAGCGGTCAGCTGTATCTAGTTAGATTAATTTGTTTGAGATTCAATTAATTGTTTTGTTGATGATTTATTAAAAGATTGAAATATAACATAGTTTATAGGTTCATTTTAGATTATATCATTGAATGGTTAAAGTTTCTCATTCATCGAGGTATAGTACCGTATCGTTAAAAATACCGTATCGTTTTAAAAATACCGGTATGGTATCGTACCGTTTCATCCTTAACGGTATCCAACCCTATATAGGTGTCAAGTTAACGTTGCTTTTCATTCAATGATTGGTCAATTGTTGGTGGTAAGATCCTCTGTGCGTATTAATAACAAACAAACAAACAAACAAAAAAACAAACAAACAAACAAACAAACAAACAAACAAAAAAAAAACAAACAAACAAAAGCCATAAAAGGTAAACAAAGGTTTGTCATATACACTTTTTTCTACCAGCGTATCGGGCAATTTTGAAAAATTAACACTACTAAGCTCCAATTTTCGCCGTAAATTATCACAAAAGCGAAGATTAATTAAGTAGATTGTGATTTTTTGAATCCCACCCATCTTTGTTTCAAATCTTGAAAATCTTTCAGGCAGTTTTTAAAAGAAACAGATTATAGCATTTTCCTGTTTACTGCCAATCTTATTTATAAAACCGATTCTACCTTATAACCTTTGAATGGGTCAACCTACACCACGTGTCTTCAATTTAAATCACAATAACATTAGTAGGGGTGAGCATATTCAGGGACTGTGACGGTACATAATGTCGCTCTGTACGTACAGTCGCCGGCGACAATATGTACCTACCCTTAATGGCAAAGGCGACAATATATATCGAGACAAGCCTTTTTTTCCTCCTGCAGAATGGACGACAAAATGTCACACATCGACACATATTGTCGTCGGTCACAATACATACTGTGAACATTTGTAAATTTTGTCGCCAAAACATTGTTTTGAAAACTATTTTCAAAGCCAAAAATAAAAACAAACAATATACAAGAAACACTGCTTTTGCAAGCCGAAACATAAATATGTCCCCTCGACCACAGCGGTGTTATATTGGATTTGAAAAAAGTAAATACTCTTCTAAAGTTGTGCAAAATTTCAAATTTCTAGAAATAAATGAACCATTTTTAGGTCACCTGAGTCACCCAGGTGACCTGTTGCTATCTGTTTTTGTCCGTCGTCGTCCGTCGTGCGTTAACTTTTGAACATTTTCAACTTCTTCTCCAAAACCGCTAAACCAATTTCAACCAATTTTGGCAGATAGCATCTAGGGGGAAGGGGAACAAAAACTGTGAATTTCATGGTCCCTGCCCCCCTGGGGCCTGAGGGTTGGGGAAACCACCAAAATTGATGCAATCTTTAAAAATCTTCTTCTTTACTCCTGGACACATAGCAGTCAAACTGTTGGCGTGATTGTAATAAGCATTGAGCCCTCTATCAAAATTGTGAAATTCATGGCCCCAGGGTCAGGGGTTCTGATGCTAGGGTGGGGTTATATAGATCATAAATGTACATTGAGGCTTTGGGACATGTTGTCCTAAAAGTAGGTCACAATGAACCACATTTATCTTTTAGTGTTGAATTCTTTTTTCAGTTATTTATATTGAACACTACGAGGTGCAGGATCACAATGATCTACTAGCATATGTTGACCTAGAAGTAGGTCACAGTGACCTACTTTATAGCTTTCACGACTACTTATTTTGATTTTTTTCAGTTAATTATATTGAACATTACGAGGTGCAAGGTCTTCAATCTATGTGAATTGATGTATCGTAGCAGAAGTAGGTCATAGTTCCATATTGTCTAAATTTTCCGACTATTTATTTAATTACGTTCAAGTCTTGTAAACAAAATATCGTGAATACTAAGAGGCCTAGAATAATCAAACCTTATCATTTACTAGTATATTGATTTAAAAAAGACTTTAGTCTATCCTACATTTCAAATACAAGTTTTATATTTTATATTTTGAAATATTAGAACTCTATGAGAGGCAAGTTCACAGCATCAAGATATTTGATGCAACCTGGCCGTGGGTTCCAGGAGTGTGTGAAGTCAAAATTATATCATAATGAGATACATGTTTTTTCCCCTTTTACAGCTACTAGTATTCTTTTTCATGCTTAAGTTGTTGGATGTGGGGAGTATATCTCTAGATATGTAGAAATTGTAATGTTGAGGATCATCAGACCTTGTTGATTGATAAATGTTGGGATGTATGTAGCAGTGACGTTGCCTTATTAATACCATAAACGGAGAACAGACTTAAGGACAGATGATACAAACAAACTTTTATCACAAATCTTGAAAATAACGTTTATATAATTAAAATGAATACGTTTAACCGCATAGATTTTAATTTTTCATTCAAAGTTTTACAAAAATGGGATTTAACGTGACAAAAATTGTATCTTAGTTTTATTAAGATTGTTGCAGAAAGGTAGGTAGAATTTTGAACATCAAAGAAAGTTTACAATTTCTTAATACTTAAGAATTGTATTATTTGCATCATTTGCAACCGA